TTTATATCACTTTATTTATTAAAAGAATAGAATTACAAGAAAAAATATTAAGGTAATATAGGTTCAGGTCATAATTTTAATTAATGGGAAGGATGTATCTGATGGAGTGTCAGCAAACGATCAATGTTTGGCTTTATTTTTGTGAGCAATAACCGCAAATCCCCCGCTCTGTGATGTTTAATTTGCTCCTTTTTTTTTTTGTTAAGAGGTTTGTAACGGCACTAAAACTCCTTTCGACAAGGTATGACGAGGGAAAAGCTATTAAAAATTTCCTTGCGATTTCCCACAGTCCAGGATATTTTTCGGGTATTTCTGCTTGCAGCCAAAATGTTGGGTAGCCTTTTCTAAATTTCACCTTCAGCTCCTCATTAGTGCTTAGCTCGAGCAGCTCCTCTTGTAATACAACATTGGCCACTTCCGTTTCATCAAATGGATTTATGATCCATGGTGGTATATCCATCGTCAGTATATCTTCAAACCTGGTTTTGAAGTCATCATGCAGAGCACTTAAATGTTGACTGTAGGTATGGATATCCTCATCAATACATTCTACCTGCGACAAGTTTGGAAATTGAGAGAATTCGCGCCGACTAATGTTTTGCTTCATAAATTTCAATTTCCCAAGAAAAGCCGAAATTATCCCCTTTGTTTTTATTAAATTCAGGCTGTCCCCTTGTAACTGCAAGTTAATATCATTAAATTTTTTAAACAAATCTGTCAAATACGCAATGTCTGCTTTGAATTTGATCAAGTTTTCTTTTAAATCTGGATCTCTACTTTCTAAGAACTCTAATATGGAATCGAAAACAGAGTAAAATCTCGTTAAGCATGCACCTTTCGACAACCAGCGTACTTCAGTATGTAAGAGCAGTCGTTGGAAGTCTTCATCATTTTCGTCGCACAATTGAGCAAATAAACGCGTATTCAATGCATTGCTTCTGATTTTGTTGACAGCTTTTATTACAAAATGAAGAGATTGGTTCAACCTGTCACTTAAATGTTTTGCCACAAGATGTTGTCGGTGGATTACGCAATGAATAGCTGTAAGTCCTGGTATAATTCTTTTGAGATGACTTATAAACCCACGATATCGCCCGACCATTGCAGGAGCTCCGTCTGTTGCCACTGAAATAATGTTTGTAAATGGGATCGATTTTTCCGTAAAAAAATTACTCAGGACATTAAATATTGATTCGCCTTTAGTGTCAGTCTCCAAAGTTCTGGCAAATAGCAATTCTTCGTGAATTTCTTCCTCAACAATAAATCGGACATATGCCAATAGTAATGCTTCATTACTGGGTAACGTTGACTCGTCCAGTTGTATAGAAAAATGAGTTTTTTGCAGATGATTGCACAAAAAGCTTTCGATATCAGAGCTCATTTCATCAATGCGTCTTTGTACAGTATTGTTACTTAATGGAATTCTTTTTAGTACGTCAAATGGAGATTTGTGCAAAACAGTTTTTAAAACCTCTTCAACAGCGGGTAAAATTAATTGTTCTCCGATAGTGTGCGGTTTTCCAGATTTTGCTATAAGTAATGAGATATTGTAAGATGCCCGCAAGCCATCATCGTTACTTTGAGATGTTGAAGCGAACATACTGTGCATGGTGGGTCTCTTTCCATATTTTTCTTTCAATGTTTGAAAATATTTTAAATCTTTACCTATTTTATCAGTATGACACCTTTTTAGATGATCTTCGAGCTTTGATGGTTTCATAGAGTCATTGCTCAAAACTTTGTTGCATAATAGGCACATGGGCAATTGTTTGTCTGCCTCTGATGGAACAAAACCATATTTCAAATAATCGATACTATATTGTCGACATTTTTTCTTTGCTGTAGCCATGTTTCGTGTCAGTTACCTTACCTGTAAAAAAAAAATGTTTTAGTAACCAAGTTTTTTTCTGAATATAGGTATCACACCGCAGCCTTTGTCAGCACGCGGAAATAGAATTACGGCTTGTAAAGGGACCAACTAATAAACCGCTGAGTCAAATACAGACGTTTTCACAAAACGGTATCAATTTTAAAGTACATAATTTACCACTAATTTTTAATAGTATAAATAAAATTGGTGTACTCAGTATCGAATACTGATCATATTTGTGTAGGAAAAATAAAAGTCGAAATCCCAAAATTGTCCATAAAAACGATAACTAACATTTTATTAAATCAATGAGTTCACGCGCTCCGTGTATTTGCGTATTTTTGTCTGCGGCTTCATTGTTAAAACGTGACAAACTGGCATCGAAGTCCAAGCCCCGCCCTTTTCCCGTCGCCCGCGCACCGCTCGCTCTTTCCGAAAAGGAATAGTTTTGATAAAATAGTTACTTCAAAACCAATTTAAAATGATTATGAAATTACTGTTTTATAAAATTAGTAGTTATTTGCAATTGCTCTGCAATATTGCTTATTCGGCCTTTTTAGAGAGGCAGTGTTTCTCTCGTGAAAAAACAATTGAATAAAACGTGCTGTGTTTGTCTTCAAATCGAAAGAGGACAATTAAAATATCTGTAAGTTACTAAGTTACCTATCTATACAGGCCGTTGTGATCAACCGACTAGTACACGTAAACAAAATACTTAAGTACTATAACAAAAAAAAGGTAGGTTACTTACTTTTCTCCGGCACTAGCAAACACAGATATAAATTTTCTCACAACTTTTTTTCCAAATTCCGCCTTTTTTCGAAATTCCGGAAACAAATGAATGCGTTTGCCTTTGGCATCAAGTATTTATAGTGGTGATCAAGTTCATGTCTGAACAAGCATTAAGCATTGTCGGGCGGATAGCGCTTTGCAAGTCTGTACACGAAATTGTACGTAATATCGAATACGCAAGTTTGGACAAGTAACAGTCGCTTGCCTTATTAAAATATTATCTGCTTAGATAGGTACTTAAAACAATGTAGGTAGGCCCTTATAAAAACTATGCTTACATTTTTGCTCTTTACTATCAAAAGCAGATAAATTTTCGTGGACCCCCATTAACATCTTATGGACCCCCATTTTTTGTTCACGCCTACGTAGACCCCCAGCAAGTCTCCCGTGGACCCCTGGGGGTCCACCTGGACCACTTTGGGAATCACTGATCTAATAGGTAACTTTTAACGTTTTATATGCTAATATTGGCAAGGCAGTTCGGCAACACAGCTTTAAGACGTGGTTGGTATGTCAATCTGTTTTTTTTAATAAATAGTGCTGAGTCGGTGGTTGGTTCCTTGTGAAACATGGTTGAAATATTAGAATTTTAATAAAACACGCTTTTATATGTATTAAAAAAAATAAAAAGAGTAACTTAGGCATTTTTAAGAGTTCTTTAAAAACTAACCGTCTGACTACATTTTAAGGATATATAATATATTTGCTATGGTGGTGGTTTCTACCTGTTTTACCTATACGTACATGGCATTACAATTATAGCAATCCACCCTATATAAAGCAATGAATGGAATTATTGTGATTTTCATTGTTGGAATAATATTTTTGTAACTTTATTTATTTGATTAATTGTCAAATTAAATTGTTTAAATCTTAATTCTTAGAGTTTTGTTATAGTGTAGCGGTTACAAGTAATATTGAGTGTCCCATTTTCTGTGTCCTATTGAATATCTAGCTACGCGTAGCTAGATATTCTGTGCTATAAGTGACTACAAATAAAGCATACCTAGAAAGTTCATTGTAAGCGCTTCTTTGCATGGGTTGCGGTGACCACTTAGTAAACGGAGTTGCAGTCTCGAGTCCGTTTCCTATGCGATTACGCAATCGGTTGCGCTAGCCGTATAGGAAACGGAAAAATGTCGCCGGGACAAGGGAATTAAAAGTCTCACTACTCAATAGATGACTCAAAAAACGAACTATCGAGAAACTATCGAAAGCATCTTGATAAGTTGGTGGTTTTCAAATTCCTGGTGTAAAAACGTGTCCGTTTTTCTTACCGATCAGTGTAGATACGGACTATACCGGGTGCGTCTCAAAAGTGGCTCACCTCTATAACTTTCTTATTTTTTTTTTCAGATAGAAAAACGGGATTTGGTATGTTAGTATATGACATAAATTAGGATTAATTGACTATTCAATTGTATTTGGTCACTTCCTCTTTCACCGGAAAAGACTGCAACTTTTGATTTTTAAATGGTACCCTCGGTATATTTTTACTTTTATTCGATAGAAAATGACACTCTGAATAGAATGACATATCATATGTCAACTTTTGACATTCTCGCTTAAAAAAAATGTATTTAAATTTCGATATAGAGTGCCATGGCTATGTTAAAAACACTAATTTTTAAACAAGGAGCCTTGGAAAAATAGGTTTGATTGTCTAATGTTTTTCGTGTCTTGTTCTGGCCGGTTAAAAGATGCCCACATCGTATTTTTAATCATACCATATTTTCAAATGAAACAAGTGTGGTTCATTAGCATATTTGGAAAAAGCATTTTTTTACGAATAATTTGATACCACACACTTGGTATTTCGAGTCAAATTGTCGTTATGAACCGCATGTTACAATTTCAAATAAACCATATGCAAAAATGTCAAAAGTTAATATATGATCGGTCATTCTATTCAGAGTGTCATTTTCTATCGAATACATAAAAAAACCCGGGAGTGTCATTTAAAAATCAAAAGTTGTAGTCATTTCCGGTGAAACAGGAAGTGACCAAAAACAATTAAATACGTCAATCGATCCTAATTTCATATACTAACATACCAAGTCTCGTTTTTTATCTGAAAAAATAAAAAAGTTATAGGGGTGAGCCGCTTTTGAGACTCACCCGGTACGTGTATCACTGTATTTAAATACTCGTATATTAATTTTAACTATGTTTTTTTATACATTCCACAGAACACGCTAATATCTATCTCACTATATACCGAGATAAAAATCCTTGAAATATTCACCACTGAAACACACAATACATACTACCTAGGTATCTATTTAATTTATGGGAACAGGAAGTTTTATTTCAAATTTTCTCCCATTGTCTGTTGCAGTATCGCATAAAAATGTCCAAAGTAATTACGGTTCGAGTTTGTGTGGACCCGGAAGACCACAAATTCCACAAAAAGGATGAAGCAGATGAAAACGACCAAGACTTTGTCGAAACAACGCCTTCCATATGCTTGGATGAACCTGATGAGAATGATTCAATCATGAAATGGGCGAAATCAAATATCAACGAAGATCCCGACTTCAAGATTCAAATAATTGAAGAATTTAGAAATATGATCTTTGGTAAGTAAAATTAATTTGTAATTAACTGTTTGTCTAATGAAAATGTGTGTGTGTGTATGTGTGTGTGTGTGTGTGAAACGAAAACAAAAAACAATGTACATGGTAGCGTCTCTCATACGCGCGCCGCGGAGGCTCCAAGGAGATCGACAGTTTGTATTGAAATTAAATTTTGTGAGCATATGTAGGTTAATTCAGAGCGCTTTTTAAAAATATAGAGAGTTCTACAGCATGTCCCCAAAAAAAGTTACATATCAAAGTTGTGTTTTTTGTAATGGAACACACTATATATTAATTGATTTTCGGATTCTGGGAGAAAAATAAAGGTGAGTTTTATAAGAGAAGTATATGACTAAAATGTAAGGTTTTTGAAATATTTAACATTTTCTAGAAATAAAGAACAATTTTTAAATTACAATAAAAGCTACCTAAATTGGAATTTACCCGGTACAGCGTAACATGTAGTTAAATTAACTATTATACTTTAAATCAAATTACAACTTGATCCAAAAAGTTATACAGGGTGGGACAAAATTAATATTGAACATTGGTCACCTTTAAAGGCATGTTACTCTTTTATTTTAAATGGAACACCCAGTATATTATTACTATAATCAATGGATAATTCATGTATCTTCAAAATACTATTAAGGTTGCCTACCCCTCAAACAAAGATTTTCCTAGATATTTTCATTTACACGATTTGATCTGAGTAGATCTTTATTATTTGATAAAATCTAGGTGGCTGTGATATGTCTGACGTTACTTCAACATAGCTGTCTAATTAGACCAACTTTAACAACTAGTTATCATTTTATGTCAGTTAAAACAAAAAAATTCTCAGAAATTTGCCGGAAATGCAAACTTATCCTACGTCAGAAAGAATTGATATGATTCTGTTAGTTGGTGAATGCAGTGTGTATTCACCAATTAATAGAATACTTAAATGCTCCTGATTTTATCTAGTGTGTTTTTGTATGGGGAGCTTCCGCGGCGTATGAGAGGCGCCACACTGTAATGAGTGTTCCATTTTCATGTGTTTTACAGGGTTTCTCATTTATAAGTAGAGATACAAAGATGTGGTTTTCACATCACTATGCTACTTTTTGGTGCTTTTTTCGGTATTGTTATTTTTTATAAACTTATGTAGCCTGTCTTTTAGAAAAGGTTACACACTGCTTAGATTTTAATAGTAATTGATTAAATATTATACAGGGTGGTCATAAATATAGGCCAAAATTACATTTTTAACCCAATATTTCTTAAGATATATCTTATTAAGTGGTATTTCTTATTTTTAGAAAAAGGAGAATGTGATCCAGACAGAACTGACGATGCCTATTTGTTGAGGTTTTTGAGGGCACGCCATTTTATTATACGAATGGCACACAGACTGGTAAATACTTAAATTGAATTCAACTACAACACCCATAATTTATCTATATTGTAATATTTATATTTATACAGGGTGTTTTAAAAAACATGTGCCATCTCTCCTGGGGAGATTCCTCACGTAAAAATAAGATTTATTTTTCATATCGACATAGGTCCGATTCTGCTTTGTTTCGTAGCTACAGGGTGTTAAAGTCTTAATAATTTTTCGATTTATTATAATTTTTTTCCAAGGACTTTTTTGACTTTTGAGGGTAAAAGTAAGCGCTACATATTTTAATGCTAAAAAAGTGTCGATAAATTAATCAGGGACGTGCATATGGGTTATCACTGGAATATTTTTCAAAAAAAAAACGTGCGTCACTAACCTTTTTCTTTTGATATCAAAATTGAGTAGGCCGTTTAATGCCGATTAAAAGTTATCTCTTGATATTTTGTCGAATTCGGCCTCCTTGATGAGATAAATGCAATTTTATTAATTACAATTAATAAAATAAAAATAAAAATGAAATTAATAAATTACATATTTTACCTTATTTACTAATAAATATTAGTTATTATTACTATTAGTCCAACCTACAGAAATTTTAAATAAAATAATTATGGTATTTAAAATAATTACAAAAAACCTGATTTTAAAAAGTGTTAATATCCTGTAACTCTAAAACTATGCATTTTCATATCCATGTATATAGGAACTTTTTTTCATATTTTTTGATGAGGAATCAATGAGTACTTATTTAAAACTTTCGCAAGTTAATGATATTAAACTTTTTTAAAAGTTTTTATTAGACTTGGATCAAGGCAAATTAAAAAAATTACGTTTATCTCATCAAGGAGGCCGAAATCGACAAAATATCAAGAGACAACTTTTAATCGGCATTAAACTGCTTACACTATTTCGCTAACAAAAGAAAAAAAAATCAGTGGCGTACATGCCTTTTTTGAAAAAATATTCCTGTGATAACCCATATGCACGTCCGTGGTGAATATGACGACAAATTTTTAGCATTAAATATGTCGCATTTATAGTAACTTTTACCCTCAAAATTGCATTCAAATTACCTACCAAGCTACCAAATTACCCCGAAGCTACGAAACAAAGTACAAAGTACAATCGGACCTATGTTGATATGAAAAATAAATCTTATTTTTACGCGAGGAATCTTCCCACGAGAGATGGCACATGTTTTCTGAAACACCCTGTATAATTTATGTAATTAAATATAAATTGAAAAATCAATTTATTCAAATTACTATGTATTAACTTTTTGCAGATTGTAAACCACGAAAACTTTAAAAAATCTTATCCGGAATTCTTTACCGATTTGGATTATATGAAAATTTGGGATATAGGAGAAACTGAAATTTTCAGTATACCGCCTTATGTTGACAAAGAGGGCAGGAGAATGTTGATTGTACGATTTGGTAAGTACCCCGTTTCTGATATAATAGCATAGTATAAGGAAACTAGTAGCTTTACTCCTTGTCAAATCCTTTGTTCTTTTTCTGCCACTTTATATGACCTTTGTTCTCGCCTCCAGTGACAACTGACGTAGCTCTATAGTCGTGGTCTACTAACTAGGCAAAGTATAGTCGTGGCACTCGCCATAGTTTCACAGATATGTATTTAGGAAAATATGAGTTCACAATAAAATAAAATAAAAAAAAAATGATCATCGAGTAAAAACTTGCTTGAAAACAGAATATTTTCACATTTCGTGTAGGTAACAATTCTTCTGTATCTGAAAATCTTCTGATGGGAAGAAATGCGGAAAAAATATACAATGACATTTTTATATTATTATCTATTTCAGAGATTTTCTTTTTTGAACTTTTTTTGATTTAAAACAAGTTTAATTTTCTGTAGATAACTGGATGCGGCATAAAATTCTGCATATAGTACACTGTTTTCATTTAAAGCACACTACGGTGTTGCCATTCTATTTCTTATTTACTAAAACTTTGGTTAAAAATATTATATACGAAAAGTAAAAAACTAGAGTGAATATAACTTTATTAATACTCTTGAACCTTGTTTCTAAAAATTCTGATTTTTTTTTTTATTTTCTTGGGATTTAGGTTCGGGAAAACTCTGATTAAGTTCGTTTCGGCCAACATTACAGCCTTCATCAGTGTAGTGTCTATAACAAAATACCAATTTCAAATTAACCTATCACAAAAATCTATGTCAATTTTTTTTTTTTAGAGAAAGAACATTATTTATACAAATCACGAATACATAGTTAAAATTAAAAAGTCAAGTAGTTTATATATAAAAAACCTTAAGAAGCTTAGTGTGACAAAGTTAATGTTATAAAAACAATAATTCTTTAAAAACATTTTTTTTTCATACTTATTTCCCGCTATTGAAAGTTAAAAACAAAATCTTACAACACTTACCAAATCACGACACTGTTGACCATCGACACTGTTTTTTGTAGACTGTTTTTTTTTTGTTTCTGCGGAGACTGTTTCAAAAACCAATCTATTTAAATTATCTCGTAAATTATTATTGGAATGAAAATTTTATGGCAAATCCCCTGATCAAAAAATATTTTCATGCGCATATTTGAGACAACCTGTATATCTAAAAAACTATTTTTAAAATCTGTCCACATGCTAAAAAAATAAGAACACTTAATTAATTACATAATATCTCACCTTCTAAAATAAACAAATATAATTAAATGTTTATCGATAATTACTATCAGCTTATCGATTTACATCCGATGAAAATCTAAAAAAACTCAAAGAACAATTTTTTGAATTATTACTACAATTAATAGCAGCACACAGTAAGGCACTCATTTTTTGTCAATCCGTCTCTGTGCTGGGACGCAACGCTCGAACCTCGCAGCTCGACGGACTGAGTTCAACTGAAACGCTTTGCAATCTGCCGATATTTGACAGATTGCAAAAACTGGCAGAAAATATTTGCGAGAGTACAACTACTCTTTTCCTTAAACTATGATAATAGTGGAGCCCCTACTCGTTCTGCGGCCGACGCATAAAACACTCATTTTCTCTAATTCAACTAGCGAAAAGCATATCGAAAACAGTGTGGAAATGAAAGCGACAAGCGACAGTATTGCCATAAAAATGGCTAAAATGTGTAATATCTGTAATCCGTTTAACGAAAATATCTTTGAATGAAAAATCCGCGTTTATGTAATGAAAATAGTCGATTAGTTGGCTTAGTCAATTAAAGTTAGAATTGTCGTTTAGTTGGCTTGTAAATTACGAATTATTGAGATTTACCATAATATTTTACAGATGAAATAACAGCGATCTTAATTTCCAAGCCAACTCTGAGACCGTTCTTTGTTTACTCATATAATATTATATTAAATTGTTTAATGATAAAAAATCCTTATCACCGTCCATATTATTAACGCACTGTATCCAAAATTCGTAAATCTACGGATTAATCCGTAGTTCTGGCAACACTGTCCACGGCCACTCCTGAGGGTGCATCCACACTATCCTAAAAATGGCGTATCGGCTTAATGGCGTAACGACCTTGAACCGATTTCCAGTAATTCTATTGGCTGCAATTTTTGACAGATGAATTTGACAGATAAAAGTTCTGACAGATGAATTTTTCAGCCAATTGAATTACTGGAAATCTATTCAAGGTCGTTACTCCGTTACGCCGATACGCCGTTTTTAGGATAGTGTGGATGCACCCTGAAAGCAGAACTGCGGTACAGACGGTATCATGACGGTATCGCCATGTGTATCGCCAGCTGTATCTGGGACAGGTTTTATTCCACGAAATAGGCCATGAGGTTGCGCATCTTCGTTTCTTCAATCAACGCTATACCACACACTGTGCCTATAATAAATAATCCAGAGACAATACAGGGTGGTCTGAACTCTATTCCGGAAACTTCGGCAGCATATTCTGCAAATGAAAATAAGTATAAAAGTTCGTATAAACGTATGTCCTAAAACGCTTAGTTTTGGAGATACAGGGTGTAGAAGTTTCTCCTTTATTTCCATTTTTTTCAAATAATTTCTGAAGTAACGTCAATATTTGGATAAAAATTGGTGTCTGGGAGTTTTTTGACATGAGAAATTTGATTTTGATGTCAATATGACTCCTATTAATTGTAGGGGGCGCCACCTACATGTGTTTTAAAGGTTTTAACTGATTTGTAGAGTAACAACTTTTTGTCCGTACCTGTATAAAACTACTGAGTGAAAAGATACACATTTCGTGATTTTTTACGTAAAGAATGTCTCTTGGTAAAAATCGCTACGAGCAACCGTTCTCACGATATTTAGAATAGAAGTAGTCAATACATGTCATTATAGACAAAAAAATAAACATATATGTTGAGTAGATAGTTATTTGACTGAAATGATAAATTTGGGAACTTTTTATTTTTTTAAATTAACCATAAATTTTTCTTCCAAAAAATGATGATAAAACAGTTTCTGTTGAACTTTTGACACAGAATCATTTCAAACTTATGATTTCAGTCTAATAGGTAACTGTCTAGTCAACATGTTTAATTTATGCCAGTGATGACAGGTATTGATAAATTCGATTCCAAATATCCTGAGAACCATTACTCGTAGCGATTTTTACCAAGAGACCTTTTTTACGTAAAAAACGTCGTAAATATATATTTTTTTACTCGGCAGTTTTATACAGGTACGGACGCAAAGTTATTACTCTTCAAACCAGTTAAAAAATATCTACTATTAAAAAAACTTCTACACCCTGTATCTCCAAAACTAAGCGTTTTAGGACATACATTTATACGAACATTTTTACATATTTTTATCTGCAGAATATGCTGCCAAAGTTTCAGGAAAATTATTTGGACCACCCTGTATATTAAAGAAAATATATTTGAACCAACGACCTTTGAACAGTTTTTCTAATTCAATAAACCTATTATTTGGATTGGTCTTTGTAAGTGCGATTCTTAAAAAAATACAAGTAAGAAAATTATTATTTAAAATACTTGCAATAATAATTATTAATTCTAGTTATTACAAAGATGATATTTTGTTATACATGCATAAAAGCATTTTATCACAAATGTATTGTATTTTGACCTCTGTTATCTGTAGTGATAATATAAACATAATAAAAATACGTCAAGAATGAGTTTAAAATGCAATTTGTCTATTACGCTCATCAAAATTGGGCATTTAAGTTGAATTCGTAAATAAGTTTGAACACAGGTTTAGAATTTGGGAAATATTTATTGCTTGTTTGACTATACCGGGTGCGTCTCAAAAGTGGCTCACCCCCATCAAACATTCTGTGATCGGGCATTCGTTGCACATGACCAAACCATATGAGTTGTTTTGTTCTTATGTCGTCCACAACTGTGTGTTCTGCTCCCATAATCTCCCTTACTCTGTTGTTGGTTATTTGTTCTCTTTTCGATTTTCCAGCAGATCTCCTCCAGTAATCCATTTCGGTCGCTAATAGCATGTTCTCTCTTCTGCTTTTCAACTGCCATACTTCGCTTCCGTAAGTTATTATGCTTTTCACTACCGTATTATATATGTTCTTCTTATTAGCTTTAGAGATTCCTTGATCCCACAGTACACTATTCAACATAGATATTGCCCTTCTGCCTTGCATTATTCGATCTTTTATACCCTCGTCGAGTTTTCCATCGTTAGTTATTTTTAATCCGAGATATTTATATTTGTCACAGTTTTTTATCACGCTTCCATCCTCTAAGACTATGTTCTCTTGTGGTCCCCCTACAGTCATACATTCAGTTTTGGTGATATTTACCTCCAACCCCCATTTCTTATACTGCTCTATCAGTTTCCTTACCATATATTCAAGGTCGTCCTGATCTTGGGCTAGGACTATCTGGTCGTCCGCAAAAAATAGGGTGTATAGGGTGTCTTCATTTATTAGGGGGATTCCCATTCCTCTACACTTAAGCATCCATTTTTTTAGTGCTTGTTGCAGGTATATTTTGAATAGTATAGGAGATAGGCACATCCCTGCTTGAGGCCTTTTGTAATTTTTATGCTTTCTGACAATGAGTCTCGGATTTTTATTCTAGCTGTGGTGTTTTGGTATAAATTCTTAACTGCTTTAACTGCTGTTCTGTTCTCGGTAAGTAATGTTTTAAAATACTATTCCCATTTGTCCATTGTTACTGTCGATATTATGTCCTTATTTTGATTTTGTCTTAATTGTTTTATCATTTTCCAGCTTTCAGTACTTTTTCTTCCACCCAGATAGGTATTGATTTTCATACATTTTCGTTCCCAAGCTTCATTTTTCTTCTGTGTTATTTTGCGTCTGACTATTGCTTGTATTTTTTTATATTCTACTTTATCATTGTCACTATTTGTATTTAAAAATTGTTGATATTTTTGTCTTTTTTCAGTTATAATACTTTCTATATCTGAATCCCATCAATATGGTTTTTTACTTGTGGTATATTCATAAGGTCCCAAGGCCTCCAGCGCAGCTGAGTGTATACTGTTTTTAATGTCTTCGTGATATATTTCGGGGTCTTCGAATCTTGTATTTATTAATTTCTCATCTAGGCGTTTTCTGTATAGTTTTTTGTACTCTCATTGTCAAAGCTATCTATGTTATATCTCTTTTGTTGTTCTTTGTTGCTTTTTTGTTGTTCTTTGCCTTCCATATTTACATCGGTTCTTCTCGGTTTGTCTACTAGTGTAGCTTTGAGTAGATTATGATCACTACCACACGTGGCTCCTCTATACACTCTTACAACTTTTACTTTTAGTTGGTAGTCTTTTCTAATGATATTGTAGTCAATTATAGATCTTAATCCCCTTGTATTTTGTATCCATGTGTATTTGTATATATCTCGATGTTGGTAGAAACCTTGGTATGCTAGTATATGACATAAATTAGGATTGATTGACGTATTCAATTGTTTTTGGTCACTTCCTGTTTCACCGGAAATGAGTATAACTTTTGATTTTTAAATGGCACCATCGGTATATTTCTAGTTTATTCATTAGAAAATGATACTCTGAATAGAATGACATACCATATGTCAACTTTTTGACATTTTCGCTTAAAAACAAATCGTATTTTAATTTTCAATCTATCCATAGCTGTGTTAAAAACACTAATTTTTAATCAAGGAGCCTTGGAAAAATAGTTTTGATCGTCTAATATTTTTCTTGTCTTGTCCTGGCTGGTTAAAAAATGCTCAAATCGTTTTTTTTTTTTGGGATAACCATATCTCAATTTTTTCAAATGGAACAAGAGTGGCTCATTAGCATAAGTGGAAAAAAAGCGAATTTTACGAATAATTTGGTACCAACCACTTGATGTTTCGAGTCAAATTGTCGTTATGAACCGCATGCAATTTCAAATAAACCAGATGCGGAAATGTCAAAAATTGACATATGATATGTCATTCTATTCAGAGTGCCATTTTCTATAGAATAAAGTAAAAATATACCGAAAGTATCATTTAAAAATCAAAAATTGTAGTAATTTCCAGTGAAACAGGAAATGATCGAAAATAATTGAATACGTAAGTCATCCCTGTTTATGTCATATCATATGGTTATATGCTAACATACCTACTCTGGTGTTTTTGTTTGAAAAATAATTATAAAAATAAGTTCTTTAAATTTTATCTTAAAGTCGGTACAATATACATAGATTATCTGACTAAACCACTTATTATTTTTACAATTGCTATAATTTTTGTTTGTAATGGGAAAATAATAACACGCATAAAGGCTATTGTTTTAATTTTACATAATCTCTTTGTTTTTTTTTCTGTACGCCATACTTGTGCACAAACAAACGAGACATAAACATAATTAAATTACTGTAATCATCTGTTATTTTAGAACAGACGTTTTAGTAGGGGAGCCCAAGATGCTAAATGGGAATTTACTCGAGCGTCGTGAGTCGTGAGTTGTGCTAAAAATAAAAAAAAAATATATGACGTATGGTCTTTTACTGGTGCAGGGTGCGGGGAGCGTGTACATACAGGTTCTCAAAAATGTAAAAATAAATCACAAAAGATTACTTGGACGTTTCAGATATTAATAGTGCATGCGCCCCAAGTGTTTCTGATAATGGAGGGAAATGGAATCACTCTGTATTTCTGACTAGTCTTCTTGCAGAGGAAAAATTAGTATACTACTTTAAGATAAAGCGTTTTGTTGTAAATAAACATGACAATAAAGAATAAACGACTGCTGCGATTTATTTTCTTGTGAATTTTGTGTTCAGTAGTAAAATCACGATTGTCCTCAACAGATGTACAGAGGGGAATAACTATTACTCTCACCAACCAAGGAATGACCCAAAGAGTCGTAGCAGAGATAGTAAGCGTTACCCAGGGTGTTGTATTGAAAACATATGCCATGTACTTGGAACTAGGAACTCTCAAGAACAGGCCAGACAAAGTCGTCAAAGAGTCACAACTGAACAACAAAACCACTTTGTGTGCCAAATTGCTAGAAGAAATCCCAATGTTTCTCATCCAGAACTACAAAGAACTTCTTGCAACTACAAGTGTGAACGATTCAGTTGAAACCACTAAAAAAGGCTTCGTGATTGAGGGTTGTACAGTTGGGGGTCCCACAGTTATCTCGGCAAAATAAAATTTACCGGCTAAATTGGTACCTTCAACATCAAAACAGGACAATTGAGAATTGGCAAAATGTTCTTTTTTCGGACGAGACCAGAATTGACCTAAGATCAGATGACCATCGAATTCGGGTTCTTTTGAGAACTCGCTCTAGCTCCAGGAAGACGCGCGAGGCTCCAGGCTACGAAATCTGTAACAAAATATAAAGGAGGAACTGTAAATGTTCTGGGGAGGTATTATGCTGGGAGCAAAAACTCCATTCAACTTCAACAAACTTTAACGGCATGTTGATTTACTGCTAGATTATATTGATTATTATATTGATTTACTGCTCATTATAATATTGTAGAGCTACAATTAGGGATAATTTTAACTTCATGCGCGATAATGCACCTTTCCATACCAACAGAGTGGCTAGAGAATGTCTTTAAACGGAAGGTGTCATACTTTTGTACTGGCCTGCATGTTCACCAGACCTAAACCCTATCCAACACTTGTGGGACCAGCTCAAAAGGAAGGTTAGAGCTCGTCGAAACAATCCAGGAAATCTCGCAGTTTATTGAAGCAGCATTAGCAGAATGGGAAAACATACCTCAAGACAACGTTGATAATTTAATAAGAAGCAAGCCAGCGCGGATAGAAGCTTGCATAGAGGTGGCAACACGGATTATTAAAATTGTCAATTTTCTTTTTGTTTTTGCTTTTTGTCCATCAAAATTTCATTTCGTTTCAGAAACCAAAAAAATACCATTGTTTTTATTTTGGGAACTGATTATTGTTTTTCTATTGCTATATTATGGATTATTTTTCATTAAGTCTTTGGTAAGGTAAACACAAAATGTTCATACGTCTCAAAACTATGTAATTAATACATGATTCCATATAAGTTTGGTAGTGTTTAAATCCCAAAATCCTCGCCTGGGCTCTCCTACTATATATTATGAAAGTGTATTCTCTTATTTTACTTCCTTGGTTACCACACCTCGGACGACATATATTAGATAAATGCAGCAGATTAATTATGATTGAACGCCTATAAATATGTGCGTTTGGCGATTTCTTAAATCTGTAATTTTAGATACTATATTTATATTTATTGGTGTGGGAAAGCAAAAGTGAACGGTATATTTACAAATATAGATAAAAAGATGTGTTTCGGTAATAATTATATAGTTGTATATGATTAGAGTTACTTCCTATGTATGTTTCTTCATTTTACAAATACTTTCGTTAGTTGATGCTTTCAAAAAATGAATAAACGGTACATGCTTCAACAAAATTTCAAACTCACTTTTCTGAATATTTCATATATACAGGGTTTTTCGACAAAGTTATTATTCAGTGTCATTTAAACTGGGCTGTGTAATTTTAGGAAAATGGGACCCGTCACAATTTACGACAGACGAATTGTTCCAGTCGATCATAATGATGATTCAGATTGCCAGTTTGGAACCAAAATTCCAAATTTTGGGCGGAGTCTGTATAATTGACGCTGCCGATATTGGAACTGGTCAAGCATGGTACTTAACCCCCACTATCATCAAGCATATCCTATCTGTTGCCTATGTAAGTTCTATCATTCTTTTTAATGACAACACACACATGGCCAAAATTATTGCATATATCGTTTAAAAATATACGGAATATACATAGCTTTGATAATCTGTAATAAACATTTTTTTGTAAAAATGGATATGGTAAACAATGTTTATCGTTCAGACCCAATATTATTACAAATTCCTGCAAATTTCGATTTGTGGTCTCTTGGGTTTCAGAAGAAATTTGACCATTGTTTTCGCCTTAAAATGCCTAGAAACAATATTTCACAGTTTAATAGAGTCAGAATAGTAACACTGTCTCAACAGGGCTACCGGCAAGTTGCAATAGCTGAAATTGTAGGAGTTAACCAAAGCGATATTTCGCGAATATTAAAAAAATCAGGGAGACAAACGAGGTTACAGACCGGCCTGGAAGAGGTAGAAAGAGAGTTACTACTGCTGTGGAAGACCGTCAAATATCCCTAATTGCACGACGCAATTCCCTGCTTTCTAGCACTGCTATTAAAAATGAGTCAGATCGCCTTGAAGGAGTAAATGTTTCAAGAAAGACCATAGCAAGAAGACTCTATAACAGAGGGTTACATTTAAGGAGGCCTCTACGTGTTCCGAAGCTTAATTTGCAGCACAAAATTACGCGACTACAATGGGCTGAGGAGATGAGAGCAAATGGACTTAATTGGAATTTCGTCATGTTTAGTGATGAAACAAGAATAGGCCTAGTGTTATACTCGCGACGAACTTTGGTCTGGAGAGCATCTGGAAGACGAGCACGCTTGAATGCAGCTCAACCCCGTGTCCCGTTTCAACGGGAAGCATTATGGTACGGGCAGGTAAAATGCACAGAGCTCGAACTCCCCTTGTTTTTATTGATGGTACAATGACCGGTGCCTCATATCTTAGAGACGTTTTAGAGCCTATTGTGCGTCCAGTTCGAGGGGCAGTGGGAGATGAATTTGTTTACATGGACGATAATGCTCCTCCCCATCGCACTTTAGCGGTTCGCGAATTTTGTGAGGAAGAGGGTATAAAGGGGGGGGGGGGCGGACTGTGGTCGTTTCACAGCTTGCATTGAGGCTCGAGGAGGTAATACAGACTATTAGTTGTGAGAAATAATTAAAATTGTTTTCAATATTTTCTGTTTAAAATGAAGTTTGTTTTTGTTGATTTTCACTCATTATGAAATAAAATTATAATAACAGCCTAGTTGCACTTAGATTTTTAATTTTATATTAGTTAGTCGTGTAATAAGCCAATATGTCCAAAAATATAATTATCATATTAGGTCAAAAATAAAATAAAAATATCGTTATATGGCAATAATTTTGGTCATGTGTGTATGTTAAATGATAGGACGTAATTTTCATAATTCTGTTTTTTTAGGGTGCCTTCCCTCATCGAGTTCACGCATTACATATCATAAACGCATCGAAAATCTTTGATTATGCTTTTGGTATGATCCGGCCTTTTCTGTCGGTCATCATGAAACAAAGAATCTTCATCCATTCGAATTTTGACAGTCTACATAAACACATCGAACCAAAATACCTACCAAAAAGGTAAGTTTTAAAAAATATATACCGGGTGCATCTCAAAAGTGGTTTAGCCCTATAACTTTTTTATTTTTTGAGATAAAAATCGAGATTTGGTATAATAATATGACATTTGACATAAATCAGAATTGATCGACGTATTCAATTGTTTTCTGTCACTTCCTGTTTCACCGGAAATGAATGCAACTTTTGATTTTTAAATGGTACCCTCGGTGTTTTGTTGCTTTATTCGATCTGCAACCTAACTAACACTCTGAATAGAATGACATATCATATGTCAAGTTTTGACATTTTCAAATATGGTTTATTTAAAACTGCAACATGCTATTCATAACCACAATTTGACACAAAATACCAAGTGTGTGATACCAAATCATTTGTAAAAAAATGCTTTTTCCAAATATGCTATAAAATAATGCTACAACAAAATTGAGATATGATTAAAAATAAGATTTGGGCATGTTTTAACCGGCCAGGACAAGACACGAATAACATTAGACGATCAAATCTATTTTTCCAAGGCTCCTTTTTAACACAGCCACGGCACTCTAGAATGAAATTTAAAATTCAATTTTCTTTTAAGCAAAAATCTCAAAAGTTGATATTTGATATGTCATTCTATTGAGAATGTCATTTTCTATCAATTGTAGTCATTTCCGGTGAAACAGAGGACGTGGTCGAAAAGATTTGAATACGGCAATCAATCCTAATTTATGTCATATACATACTAACATACCCAATCTCGTTTTTTTATCTGATAAAATAAAAAAGTTATAGGGGGTGAGCCACTTTTGAGACGCATCCGGTATATACAGGGTGAGTCTTAAATAAGTGCAAATATTTTCAGAGCTGGTAGATCTCGACAAAAGGAACATATATTCTTTCTTACCGTTTTTCAAATAAGTCCAAAATAACCGAGATATTTTACTTTGAAAATTTACAAAAAAAAATGATTTTTCGCTTAAATTTTGAGAACCACTGGATCTTTTCTGGGTTTTCTTTCTTGCAAATTTTATATACTACCTATGTTGCCATAGATTATGAAGAGATTATGTTTTTTAACTAAAAATTTAAAAAGATTCCAAAAAAATTTTTCAAACTTTTCAAAATTTTTTTTCGCGAAAAAACCTCATAGATGTGTTTCTGGGGTCGAAATAAAAATACCCCTAAAAATATTTGCACTTACCCTAATATTTAAGACTCACCCTGTCAAAATGCCGAGGGTGCCATTTAAAAATCAAAAGTTGTAGACATTTCACATTTCCGGCGAAACAGGAAGTGACCGAAAAAAATTGAATACGGCAATTAATCCTAATTTATGTCATATACTAACATACTAAATCACGTTTTTTTTTTATCAAAAAAAAAATAAAAGAGTTATAGCGGTGTATACACTCTTGAGAAAAACCCGGTATATTATGATCGTGGCCCTAGAAAAATAAAGCCTTCTCTATAAATAAATAATATCAGAGAGAAAATTCAACTTCAGTTTACTATAAAATGCTTCAATAGACCACAAAATTACATTCGCAACAATATCGCAAATCGCAGCTCCTAAAACATCAAACTAGCAGATGTTAGGTTATCACTGTCCTAGTTTACAAAATCACAATCACAACAAAATCGCAACTGTAGTAATATTGGTTACTCGCAAATAGACGAAATCACAAATCGCAGCAAAATCGCAAATCGCAACTATAGATAGTAATTAGTTCAGTCATTGGGGATCAAAAAGGGGCCTGCTTGGAAAAAAGTCCGGAAGTTTTGAAACTTTGCAGGTTTATAGGTTTTGGGGTTCCTAACTAAAATCCATAAAATACACATTTCCAGACTTGCCGCCGGCGCCGCCATCTTGCCTTTGTGAATATCTCGAAAACTATGTGAAAATTTGAGGGAAGCAAAATTAAAGAGAATAAAATTTCCTATAAAAAAGGTTTCATGAAAATTTTCGCTAAAGTCAACCGTTTAGGCACAAAAGCCCTGGAAATTTTACAATTTTGCGTAAAATATGATATATTATGTATAGTCGATTTTCCGAAATCAAATGTCGATTAGGGTTCACTAAAACTAGTTTTAGTTTAGTTTCTTCAATTTTGTCATGAAACAGTGGCGTATCATTAATTCGCTCATATTAATTTATGAATAATTAATTGTCGTGCTGGACAGCATTCATTGCGAACTTACCACCAGGTTCAGCATTGGTCTGGTTGTACCAAAGATGCCGAAGAATGGGGTTGGAAGAAAACAAAAACAGGCATTACTCCAGTCACAACGTTGATAGATCCAGCTCCAAAATCCCTGTTGGCATTTTTATCCTGTAAATGCAAAACCAATAACTATGGTAAAGCCTGCGGATGCAGAAAAGCAGGATTAAAATGTTCAATGATTTGTGCATACTGCAATGGGAAATCCTGTGATAACGTCACTGAAGAGTCACTCGACGAATCCGATGAAGAGGAGTTGGACTTGTGTAAATATCTCTCTGGCGGCTGAAGATGAAGAGTTGGACGTATTGACCGCCCTGATGAGCCCAGCACAGCAGACACGATCGACTTTGACATCAATAAGCCAGATCCGTCGGGCTTGTGCAGATAAGTTAAAGTTTTTAATTTATCTAGTGGAGTAGGCCTCCGGGGAGACCATGTTAAAATAAACGCGCCATATACTTTACCTCTTTGGTGGTGTGGAAACAAGTACACATTATTCAATAATTAAAATTAATTATTCATAAATTCATGAGCAAATTAATGATACGCCACTGTTTTATGACAAAATTGAAGACACTAAAGTAAAACTAGTTTTAGTGAACCCTAATCGACATTTGATTTCGGAAAATCGATTTACGAAAAATTGTAAAATTTCCAGGGATTTTGTGCCTAAACGGTTGACTTTAGCGAAAATTTTCATAAAACCTTTCGCGAAAAACGCATAGTTTTCGAGACATTCACAAAATACCGATTTTGGGCGCTATCTTGGCAAGATGGCGGCGCCGGCGGCAAGTCTGGCAGTGTGCATTTTATGGATTTTAGTTAGGTTTCCACAAACCTATAAACCTGCAAAGTTGTAAAACTTCCGGACTTTTTTCCAAGCAAAAATCCCCAATGACTGAACTAAATATTGGCCTAGAATATTGGTCGCCTAAATTGAAACTCGCAAATAGAAGAAATCGCAGTTTCCTATGAGAGTCAATCGCAGGTTACGATTGCGAATTTAAAATCAATTGATTGAATCGCCATTTTTTTTCTCATCTCTAGTTGACACTTCAAAGAACCAATGAGAGCTGTTTAAATTTAAAATTGACAGCTGTCTGAATTTGGTACAAATCTCATTGGTTATTCATCTGACGTGTCGCTGGCGACAATACGAAATTCTGGGAACGGGGCTTTAAAGCAAAAACTAACGCCAATGACAAATTATCTTTTTCCAGGTACGGTGGGATTCACAAAGACTACTTCTACAGAGACTGGTTATCAGAACTGAAGAACTGCGATCCTCTGATAGAAGAGCTCGAATTATATGGATACGAAGGTTGCCGAGAATTCATAGAAAATATTTGATACTTATATACGTTTTTATAGTGTCGTAACGCTTATCAAACACACCGCTGTTTTAATTGTAAAGTACAATAAAGAGTGACAATATTTTTTGATAGACACCTATATATATTTTATATCTTTCTGAAATATAGGTACATATATTTATACATTTTTATACATATCTCAGATAAAATACCATGTATAGTCTGTCCAGCGAGAGAATATGCCAGAGTGACAGTTGTATGTCAATATAATTCAAAAATCCTTTTTTATTCTTACAATTTTGAATGTTGTTTGTCAAAATCGCCCTATCTCTCAAAGGATAAACTTAATATTATGCTGTACTTGTTAAATATAAGGTAAAATTTACTAAATAATGATTGAAATATAGGTACTTAATTTTGCATCTTTATACAGATTCTGAAATAAAATAACATGTATATAATGTACTATATATTTTTCTATAAAATTCCTTAAACAATACACAAAAATTACCTGCCTTTAATTATTTAATTTAATTGACTATTCTATTCCAATAAATTATATCTTGTTATACAGCTATAACAATAACTTGACATAAACTACCTAACTAATTTAATAATAATAACAGTGTAGTTGTATTAATAAATAGTTAAAATGTCGTTCGGATATATGTTCAACCTTTACCTTCAAACCGAAAAATAATATTTGAACCTATTCTGCATACAAATGGATGCGAATGAATTAATCAGTTTTAATTTTTCATTGAAGCAAGTTGAGTATTCGTAGAGTTTCATTTTTTACATATAAATTATGGTAGACCAGCCGAATAAAACAATAAGTGAATATGACAGAAAAATGCAAGAACTACATGATCTTCTCAAACGTAAGTAAAAGCAAAAGTTATTGTAAGAATGTATACCAGGAAATAATAATCCAAATAATTCCATAAAAGACATATTGAAAACTTTTAATATAAAAAAATACCGTATGCTCGAATGTCCAATTGGCTTGGAAATGAGAATCGATGACATTTCCAATATAATCTAATATATAAAATTCTCGTGTCATAGTTTTTGTTACCACACTCCTCCAAAACGGCTTCACCGATTTTGATGAAATTTTATTACGTATATTCAGTAGTAGGTCTAAGAATTTTCAATAAAATAAAATTTTACGATTTGGCATTAAAAAATACATACAACACTAAATTTTCACCTTTCTACCATCAACCCCTATTTTTTAGAGGTGTTTTTTTTATTTTCTGTTACCATACTCCTCCCAAACAGCTTAGCCGATTTTGATGAAATTTTATACATTCATTTTACATTCAGTAGGTATGAGTATTTTTAATAAAATAAATATCTAATCTTTAATTAATAATTTGGCGTTAAAAAATACATACAACCCTAAATTTTCACCTTTCTACCATCGATCCCTATTTTTAAGTAGGGGTGTTTTTTTAATTTTCTGTTACCATACTCCTCCAAAACGGTTTAGCCGATTTTGATGAAATTTTATATGTATATTCAGTAGTAGGTCTAAGAATTTTACATATACAGATACAACCCTAAATTTTCACCCTTCTACCATCAACCCCTATTTTTTAATAGAGGTAGCTTTTTTAATTTTCTGTTACAATACTATTCCCAAACGGCTTGACCGATTTTGATGAAATTTTATATGTATATTCAGTAGGTCTGAGAATTTTTAATAAAATAAAATCTTTATTTTATGATTTGGCATTAAAAATACATGCAACCCTAAATTATCACCTTTCTGACATCAACCCCTATTTTTTAATAGGGTGTTTTTTTAATTTTCTGATACCATACTCCTCCGAAACGACTTAACCGATTTTGATGAAATTTTATGTATATTCAGTAGGCCTCAGAATTTTTAATAAAATAAAATCTTTATTTTTTGATTTGGCATTAAAAATACATACAACCCTAAATTTTCACCTTTCTACCACCAACCCCTATTTTTTAATAGGGGTGTTTTTTTATTTTCTGTTACCATACTCATCCGAAACGGTTTAACCGATTTTGATGAAATTTTATATCTATATTCAATAGATCTGAGAATCTTTAATAAAATAAAATCTTTATTTTATGATTTGACATTAAAAAATACATACAACTCTAAAATTTCACCATTCTACCATCAACCCCTATTTTTAATAGAGGTGTTTTTTTTTAATTTTCTGCTACTATACTCCTCCAAAACGGCTTAACCGATTTTAATGAAATTTTATATGTATATTCAGTAGGTCTAAGAATTTTAACGAAATAAAATCTCTATTTTATGATTTGACATTAAAAAATACATACAACCCTAAATTTTCACCTTCCTACAATCAACCCCTATTTTTTGATAGGAGTGTTTTATTTTATTTTTTGTTCAATTATTCAGTTCGAATCAGGGAAGATGATTCGTTGGACAGAATTTATTTCATTACCTTAAGTACTTATTATTATTATTATTACTGTAATTTAATTTTACAGAAGAAGAAATGTTGAGCAAGATACAGTACGACCAAAAATATTTCGAAAGGTTTTTGTTCAGCTCCAACTTTGAAGTTGCCGAAGCCTTTAAAAGAGTATGAGTAGTATCGTAAATTATAAGATAAAAAATACTAATATAAATAATTTTCAGATGAAGCTCTTTTATGATCTTCTGTTCCAATACCCCGAATGGATGACCAAAGAACCACCAGTCAACAAAAGACATTTAATAGACAAAGAGATACGTGTTGCTCTTCCCGATACAGACAAAGAAGGAAGACCTATATATTTAGTTAAAATAGGTATCTAAAGACTCATTTATATTTGTCATTTTTAATAGACCCCATAACACAAGAAGATAAAAGCTTGATTTTCATGCATCCGTTATTCGACGATGCGATGATACGATATTAATTTTATTAGTTGAATTTAAAGACTTCGATTGGTTAGAAAATTACGCAGTTTTTAAATTTATTGCATTTTAATGCCTCCGATCATCGGATGTACGACTTGCTTGTGATTCATGCTTGTGATAGGTGTCATTTTATATTATCATTTCCATAACGATATTGCTGTTTTACTTATAGTCTAAGAGCTAGAAACGTTTTCGAGAGAGAATTTTAAGAAAACTTGTTCTTTAATATATCTCTTGTTATGCTCTCTTGAACAGAGTGCGGATCGTCTGGCTGCCGGTAGGCGTTGCGTTCACTACTGCGCATCATATCTGTATTCAACATTTGTCCACTACTGCGCATCACAAATTCGCCCTGTATTTCAGGAACTAAGAAGGCTAGGACAAATATGAAAATCGCATCATTGTATCTCTACTCATAAACGAGAAATCCCAAAAACCACACGAAAATGGAATACCCTACACAGATGTAATGCGCAGTAGTGAACCGCAGTAGTCTACCGGCAGCCCGACGGCTCGCACTTTGGTCAGAGCACAAGATACACTTAATACACAAAAGATATATTAAAGAACCAGCTTTCATAAAATTCGCCGCTAAATAGCCTTTGATACAGATGCGGCTTGAAAGCTAAATTTCTTCTTCTTTCTTAAAATTCTCGTTTTTCCGACGTTGCTAGCTCTTGTACTATTATATTTTTATTAAGGTTAGGTAAGGTTATTAAGGTTATATTTGTCATAAAAAAGTGTCAAAAAACCTCCGTTATCGTACGATCTCTCTCCGTTGACGGGTTGGAGTAAAAAATTTACGGATAAAAAGTGGCGCGAAAACGCTATGACCAATCAGAGCACAGTCGGACCATCGTATCAACGGATAACGGACGCATGAAAATCAAGCTTAAATCTTCTGGTGTAGGGAATGTTAATGCTGCGAAGACACATTACAATTTTCTGACTGTTTTTTTAGGAAATGTTGACTGTAACACAATGTCCCTAACAGACGTGGTAGCTGTGGACGACATCTGGCTAGAATCGATCATTTTGAACAGCAAAGCTTGCAAGCAAGGCTTGTGCGTCATAGTAGACATTGCCAACTATCCCTGGAGGATGATCAAATGGCTCACTCCCCACAACATCAAACTATCTCTAAGAAAGTTAGAGTCCATACCCATTAAAGAGTACAGATTTCATATTGTAAACCAGGCAACTATGATACATGCGGCTATCAAACTGACTTGGCCTCTATTACCGGAATATATTAAAGAAATGGTAGGTAACGGAATCTGAAAAATTATTATACAGAGTGTGTCCAAAAATATTGCAAACATAAAAAGGGGACTTTATTATTACTTATGGGACATTATTTGAAAAAGTGCTCACCAAAATGGGAAGAATAAGTGTTCACTAAATTACAACAGTGCACAGTGGTTCCCCTTAATTAGCTGTGCGGTCATAACTGTTATATATCTAAATATAACTTGGCTGCACCTTTTTTAATAGAAATTGATAACAAATGCTAAATAAACGTATATAAAAAACTTAATGTAATATGTATTAAAAAAATTGGGCCCAGTTCGTGTGATTTGCATTTTAAGTTCTAACTATTCGGAAAGCTATACAGATTATGTTTGCACATATGTACATGTGAAGAATGTACATGTCATTCATATTGAAGAGGTCAAATTTATTTTAAATGTTGAAAAAATAACAGAGACAGTTGTTTCATTTTATAAATACAATTTTATTGTCAATTGATATACAGTGTGTCCACGAAATAAGTTGACACGAAGAGGAAAAAATAAGTTATTTTTATTTTAAGACAAAAAGTCAATCTTTAACCACTCGGTATAAGATCCGGCGGAAATTCGCGGCAGCCAGTGGCAATTATTTTATATTCAATATACTTTAAGCAACAAGTATTTTCATGCCGTTTAAGAGGATTTGAAAGGGAAAGTAGTTAAAAGCCTTAAAGAGCGACAAGCAAAAATGTAAAAATACTGTTTTTGTTACCTTCAAATAAATTGCCATAAACTAATATTACTTAGGTTTAATTAAGTTCAAAAAAGGAAAAACAGTTCTTTTTACCTTCTTTTCGAACGTCCATTACAGAAAAAGCAACAGTTTTTATCAATTTTAATAAAATAAGTAATTAATTGGCGTTATCTGAAAACTGTTTATGTCAGCTTGATACCAGTAGCAAAAATGTGACATTTCTATTAAAAAAAGCGCTACACTAGGTTTACTTGATTTTGTTATTTATTATGTATCGTTTACAGGGGAATATAAGAAAAGTATTAGGAACAGTTTCATGCAAACATTTTGAAATTAATATTTCTAAGTAATGACCTATCTGGGAACCACTGTGCAGTGGGGCAAAAAAACAATATGGGAGCGAACTGAACTTTAACGACCTCTTTTTAATTATTTCCTGTTCTAAAAATGTTTAGCGCTTCTATCAAATGTAGAACTTTTGCTACAGCAGTGCCATCTTAAGTCTTCTCTATTTTATGACCCATTTTTCAATACACGAAGATATTTCTCCTTATCTCTACCCTCCATAGATCTATACAAAGGTTAATCTGGACAGTTTGCTCCTTCAGAATACCGCCTATTAGACTCCATCTCTATTTTAATTTTCATCGTTTGCGGCAGATGCCAAAAATTAAAGATTTCCAATAAAATTATTCTACAGGGTGGTCCGAATTGTATTCCGGAAACTTCGGCAGCATGTTCTGCAAATAAAAATAAGTAAAAAAGTTCGTTTAAGTATATGTCCTAAAATGCTTAGTTTTGGAGATACAGGGTGTAGAAGTTTTAGTTTTATGTCGATTTTTTCCAAATAATTTCTGAATTAACGTTAATATTTGGATGAAAATTGGTGTCTGGAAGTTTTTTAACATGAGAAATTTGATTTTGATGTCAATATGACTCCTATTTGTAGGGGGCGCCACCTACATTTTTTTTAACTGGTTTGAAGAGTAATAAACTTGTTGTCTGTACCTGTATAAAACTACTTAGTAAAAAATTATACATTTAGGACGTTTTTTACGCAAAAAAGGCAATAATCATTGACATAAATTAAACATGCTGATTAAATAATTATTAGACTGAAATCATAAATTTGAAATGATTTTGTTTTAAAAGTTCAACAGAAACTGTTTTATCATCATTTTATCGAAGAAAAATTTTTGATTAATTTAAAAAAATAAAAAGTTTCCAAATTTATCATTTCAGTCAAATAACTATCTACTCAGCATGTTTATTTTTTGTCAATAATGACATGTATTGACTATTTCCATTCTAAATATCTTGAGATCGTTTGCTTGTAGCGATTTTTACCAAGAGACATTTTTTACGTAAAAAATAACGGAAATGTATACCTTTCCACTCAAAAGTTTTATACAGGTACGAACGAAAAGTTATTACTCTTCAAAACAATTAAAACACATGTAGGTGGCGCCCCCTACAAATAGGAGTCGTTTTGACATCAAAATCAAATTTGTCGTGTCAAAAAACTCCTAGACACCAATTTTCATCCAAATATTGAGGTTAGTTCGGAAATTATTTGTAAAAAATCGAAATAAAAATGAAACTTTTACACCCTGTATCTCCGAAACTAAACCCAATTTAGGACATACATTTATACGAACTTTTTACTATTCTATCTTCAGAATATGCTGCCGAAGTTTCCGGAATTCAGTTCAGATCACCCTGTATATTTTAAAAATTTTAGGTCAAATTTCACTGGAATGACAGAGAATCCCTTCACAACCACATCGATCCCAAAGTCTTACCACTTGAATATGGCGGATTTAATCATAAGTTAGACTACCAAAAAATTAACACAGATCTGTACGAACAAAATGAGCAAATCCACATGAGCTTCAAACGATATAGAGAAGTAGCTCTGAAATGACCCAGTATCTCATATTGATATACCTAATAAAAAACACAATTAATTTATAAAAAGTACCTTTAATTATACAAATACATTATATTTTATACACCGAAAATGATATTTTTTTATAAAATTGACACCAAAAGGTATTTATTTTAATATACTTTTATTTAAGAACCAAACCTTAAAAACAAAGTGTAATTCATATCATTACAAATTGTGAATTTATTTTTTTTGAAATAGAAATACAGGGTGTGCCAATATTCCCAACAGACGGTCTTAATTCGGTACAAGTAAAATGTCCGTATTTTTCGTCTACACACAAGTTTAATTCGATACGTTTTGACTGGACAGGTAAAACGTAAGATAAAACCTTATGTGTAGACGAAGCTTTAAAATTTGAGAGAGATAAAAAATAAATACGAAAGTAATAAAAGTGTTGAGAGATTCGTTAGATATTTTTTCTCAGTAAAAATGCATATTTTTAACAAATGAAGTACTTAAATATTTAAATACTATGATAATACTAAATAAATAGTCCTGTTTCATAGAAAACATCGATTAAAAAAAGTATCCATAAGTCGAGATTTTACAATAGTAATCGATGATTTATAAACATCAATATATCGTTTACATCCCTACGTCTGAGTGTTGTCAACTTTTTTTTCCTTAGATCAGAGAGAAATTGTCAAAGTAGCAACATGGCTATTCATATTAAGGCGCATTCTCACCACTGGTGTACTTGACAAACATTTGTTATTGGAATATACTTGCCATGTCGTAAGAACGGTTTACTTGGTCACTCGTCGCGTCCCCACTCTCTGTCGATAAATATAGCCCGAGTCAAAGGATCACAATAATTATTCGTACACTTGCCAAGTGTACTTGGCCAGCCTTGTCTATACCTGCCGAGGCGCAAAAAAACGACTGCGCAAATAATTGTACTGTTACAGAGTATGTCCCGCGAAATGTCCCCTTTATTTCCGAATCGTAGGTGTTTTTCGGTTTAATTGCGGATAATTTAAAATGTTAAAACAATAATAGATTATATAATAGCAAATTTACATTATAACTTCAATATTGGCGACATACCTAAATTGTTCTCACAGCAATAAATGGAGTGGACAAATGAAGATTACACGGAAAAAAAAAGATATGTCACATTTTCATAGAAATTAAGAAAGCGATACAACTTTATAGGAAATGTTAGCGTCATTCGAGAAAAAAAGCAATAATACGCCTAGTCCCAGAGATATTACAGCTTGGTTATTTAGCCATACAAGGGAAAAACCAGAGTAGTCCACGCGTAAATGACAAAAACTAGAGATGTCCTTACGCATGGTCGACAAGCATGCATCTTGCAATTAGTATTATATGTTATAAATTTATGTATTGTAATAAAAACCGACTTAATTATTAATTTTCTTCCTACAACAAACACATAATAGTTTAGATTTATGTTTTATAAAACCTGGCTTTTTTCCCTGTTTTGTTTTGCATTTTGACATTTTTATTTCAGTTAAGGTAGAATATGGCGATAATTCACAATATTAATAATTCAGAATTGGTAGTAATATATATTTTTCTAATTATTCAACAGAAAATAACATATTTCTTTAAAAACACTAAATTGCATTTTTCTCGGCTCCAATTAAAATGGACAAAAATCGTTTTTCCCGTCTAGTCTTCAAATGATGTTTTGGAATTTGTGGATTTATAAGAAAATGAGCCCTTCATATGGATGGCTAAACATAAAGAACCTAGAAATCGTATTGCAGTGTACAGTATAAGAACTTAAAAAGAAAAAAGAATCACTAGCAACGACAATTTCGGGACGACCGGTATCCATCGATGCGACTATACTGTTTACTTGCCAAGGATTTAACAATGTTTGTGCTGGCGTACTTGTTAAAATGGCACGTCGTGTGAGCGCCTCACTTGCCGATGTTGTTTACAAAGTGGGGACTGGTGGGGATACTTGTAAAAGTCGTGAGAGTGCGCCTTTAAATATAAGTAGTCCTTAATAAGTAACAAAAAATATTCGATAATCGAACTCTAAACTAAATGAAGACAGCGACTTTCTTATGATATGAACACTCGGCATGAAGGATTTAATACTATTATTACAGTAAAGTCAGTATATACACCTAATTATTGCTAATAATAAATCAACCACCATTAGAAATTTGAAATATTTGAAAACAGTGATAAGAGTAACACCCAATTCACTTTTAAAAGGCAAGAAAATATTTTTGTTCATATTATTTCATAGATATACAGGGTGACCCTGGCTGAGCTTCCATTAGAGGTAGTCTAGAAAACTACAATATGTTTTTCAACTTATTATTTCGGTATATTAAGTATCCATATCAATCTATAAGGCTAGTATATTTAGGAAATTAGGCAAAATTTAGCATTAGGAAATGTGGAAAAGTATAAACGAGATTAACAATTTTAGAACAAGCAAAATTTTTTATGAAGAATGCATTTTTTTCAAAATGCCAATAATGAAAAGGTTTTTCCTCTTGTAAAGACAATCCAGGGACATACTGTATACTAGCCTTATAGGAGTCTTACTTATACAGGGTGTCCTAGAAATCAGTGCAAGTATTTTAAGGAGTGGTAGATCTCGATAAAAGAAACATATTTTCTCTTTATCGTTTTTGAAATAAGTCCAAAATAAAGGAGTTATTTTACTTAAAATTTTGCTAAAATTTTGAGAACTACTGAATCTTTTCTGGATTTTCTTTCTTGTAAATTTAATCTACTACCTATGTTGCCATATTATCAAAAAATTATGTTTTTTTTTAACTAAAAACTAAAAAAATTCCAAAAAAATTTTCAAAAAATTCCGAATTTTCAAATTCTTTTCCCGAAAAAAACCTCTTAGGCGTGTTTCTGGGGTTGAACTATACTACCAGTTAAAACCCAATTATTTCTGGGACACCCTGTATAGAGAAACATAATACAAACTCAGACATTGACACCCTGTAGAATTCACTACATTTACACACCATCATATTTAAACTGATTAATTCAACGTTAAATCATCGCAAAATATATTATAAAATGTTAACAAAGCACAAAAAAATAGAAAAACTTACACTATACATAACAACTAAAATACTTTATAAGCATAACAATGAAAAAATTACGATTGCTTGTTTAATAATTAACCTACCTCATATTAAATATGCTTAAACATGGTGAGCCAGATATCACAGAGTTTTCTTAATATAAATATGGGTGTATCGCGCTACTTTTTCAGTGTTCAGCATAGCAATATGAATTAGGAATGTCCAAAACGTATCGATATTTTGTTTAACGGACATCCCTAATATGAACTGATCTAATTAATTTACCTATGTACAAAACGTATCAAAAATCTTACTTACATTTTTATACAATAAAAAATACCATTGGGCGGATTAGAGTGTGACGTCACTGAATATTATGCCATCTAGCAAACGAAATAGATTCGGAAATTGGCATTGTAATATAACCCTTTAGAATTGTTCATTTAAAGGTAATATTTTAGCGTCTAAAACATTGCGAACTGTTACTTAATGTTGATATTGTTGGCGACATACTTTGTGACGTCACTACTAATCTGACCAATTACAGGATGGAAGAAAAATAGCCAGTCAAATATTTCAGTTGCGCACCACTGGATCAGCTTGTCTATTATCAGGATAGACATCATCATCTTGAAACAAAGAAGGAAATTAAAAAATAAAAGTGTAAGGGTATTCATTCTCTTAAGATAAAACAACACTCTGTTCATTAGACGCAAGATTTTTTTTATTATTAGCTAGACCACTTTTAGAGAAATTAATAAAAGCTGGAATAAAAATTAACAAAAAAGCCAAAACTATTCCAAATTAAATTTCTAATAAATAAAAATTAGTTTGAAACTTAGAGCGCACTTTTTCCTTTTTCTTATAATATTATATCCAAATTATATCCTAAGAAGGTCATTTTGGATTTTATTTATTTTTTCTAATCTGGCATTTAGTCAATTTCAGTCATATATAAAAGAAACAAATTTAGATTGGAATGCTCGGCTTAGTCGGCTTACCACCCAAAACTTAATTGTTTTGGAGCTTATACCACCGTACATAAAACTCAGTTTACATGAGTACATCAAACTGAGTTTTATGTACGATGCTTATACCTTGTAGGGCGCTGCTATAGCGGTTGCTAAAGACAACCGCCAAACAAGAGCAGAAATAATTTTCTCTTGTCAAAGTCAGAATCTTCAAAAATTATAAAATCTTTTAAAATTTGAATCGCCCTCATTGAAAAAATACCGAAAAGTGTTTAAATCGTCCATTTTCAAAGTAACTATTGCCTATCTTGTGAGTTTAATTTAAATTTTATTTACTCAAACCCGCGATAATTGTGAAAAAGTGGCATTAAAAACTTAAAAAGATGTGTAAACAGTCAAGAAAAAAATATATTTTTTTTTTAAAAACAGTGTACCATTTAATGGTGATTTTCAAACGTAAAAATGGTGATTTCTTGTTGTGTTGCAAAGAAACTAACAAAACTGCAAAAATGTACGCGTTTCCAAAAGACGATAAGGTATGTATCTTAGATAAAAAAAAATGTATGGTATATGTATTCGTTGTTTGATTTTTTTTTTCGTTTGCTTTATAATCTATAAATCTCGGTCTATTCATTAAAGAGCCAGTCGTCTTACGATCATTTACATGAAACTCTGTAAAATAAATAAAAAAATAAATTGTAAAATATATATATTCTTATGTTTTATTAAAGTTACTCTGATCTACTAATATATCAGTGTAACTTTAAAAATAAATCCTGTGAATTCAAATATAAACATAAAAAACATTTACAGCAGAAAAGACGAAGGCGCTGGGTTAAACGTAGTCTCCACTAAAAACACGGAGGGGCGCTTTGACCCAAAATTTTACTATTAAGTTTCATATCTATCTTAATAAATAGTTGATTATTTTCTTTTATCTATGATTAGGACATAACCGTAAAAGTTATGTCAAATCAATGAGCTTGACATTTGAATACTAATTTTTACATTTTTATGTGCCATCAGTTTGACGATTTGAAATTGGTGCGTGGAGCTTGCCGACCAATGATGCCGGTATCACCTGTGACGTAGTGACCAACCTGCACAATATCATACCTTGTTTTCTTTGTATCATGGTCTAATGAATAGATTGTGTGTTGTGTTATAACCATACAGTAACCAGATTGTCTCCAAACTACATTCTGTGAAGCCGAGCCGGTGAAATGGGTGAAACTTTTAGGAATTTACATAAGTCGCTCAGTTAGGCCTGCTCAAGCAAAGCGCGCAAGCCTGGAATTATCGATCTTATAACTAGACCAATAAGAGACTAGACGCTAGCGCCAGCTGTTCATTCGTACGGCTTCGTCCAACTTCGTAAGGCTTTCGTTTCCGCTCCTGTTCGACAATTGGCTAATCCTCAGAGTAAGGACTAATCGATATCCGGAATTTTGGAGTTGCGCTATTGCGCCAGTGTCTGTCTAACAGACGAACTTATGTGAAATATACATGGACCCAGGGCCGGGAAACTTTAATACGACAAAATGTTTTGAAATTTTTTACGATTTTGAGCGCCCCCGGACGAGTGGACTGAAAATGATATATTTAATTACCAAAATTGTGTTTAAGATGGCGCATATGTCGATTTTTCCTCCCTCTTGACAAACACGTGGCGCTTGCGCAGAACCGTTCCCGCCGCGTGGTAGAGAAGCCGGCCGGCATGGCTGGCAGCCGGTGTTCGCCCAGAGCTTCTTACGACTTAGTTCGGCCGTTCTGTGTTAGTTTTCTTTGATATTAAAAGCGTTTTGTGTTGTTAATTTACTGCTGTGCTGTGTGTGTGTGTGTGTGTGTGTGTTGTGTTTTTTAAAAATAATCATGAGCCCGACATATATAGAAAATGCTGTGTTCCCGGATGCAAGACTGAGACTTCTGTTTTATTAGTTTAATGTTGAACGTTTATAATATTAAAAGCTACTGTTTAGTTTAATTTTTGTGTTACTTATCTATTTAAAAATAAATTATTTTCTTAGATATAAGCATCATTTGTAAATAAACCAAGTTATTTGATTATAACTTAGGTTTATTTTGTAAATATTTCAAAATATTATTGTTTTCTTATCAAATAAATATTGCATTTTATGTATTTTCATGCATAAAATATGTAATATAATAAGAAAGCGATAAAATTCTTAATATTTATATATAAACCTAATTTTTAATCAAATAATTGGGTTTATTTACAATAGTGCTTATATCTAAGAAAAAAAATTATTTTAAAATTTACCACCCTACCAAAATATTGAAAAGAAAGAAATCTGTAAAATATTTCTTCAGTTATAGTAGATACCTGTATTTTAAAATCTTAAATTAAAAGGTGATTTTCAGTCCACTCGTTCGATGTCGCCACGCATCATTTGTTTTTTTTTTCAAATTTTCCGGACATATTTAATGCATGAGAGTTGCCAATCTATTTACGTGATCTGTGCATGGACCGGTTATCTAGTTAGTATCTCTAACTCGGCTTTAACTCCAACACATTGCAGGGATAGGTGATAATCTGTATATAGTTTATATGTATATGGTTATAATTTACCTTCGTCTTCTTCCCGTTGGATATCTTTATAGTCGGGATCGTCGTGTTTCTTATTATCCGATAATTTCAAGGATTCTTCTTTTCTGTCCAAGTTTTGACCCATATCCCCCAACGCCAAGTCGTCGAAAACATTATTTTGAGATTGATCAACGACTTCTTTAGCTACGTTTTCGTTTTCCGGCTCTTCTGTAATCAAAGTAACAAAAAATTAAAACTTCATATACTATGAAGGTACCAAATCTTTGATCAGGACCCTGAAACTTCACCATAATATGTATAAAAATGTGTCCCAAATCCGAAGCTTATCATTGGGATCCCTGTAACTATAGTAAGAGATCCTAAGAAGTAACTTCTAAAATTAAGAAATATCTTATAAAACGAAGTAGATATTCTGAATTTTTAGATAAAAATAAAAAGCTTCAAGTGTGGAAAAATACAATTTTTTGTAAAATTGATATGATTTTTGATATGATGTGATATAGTTTTTTAAACTGCGATTTGAGTTTCTTTTTTAATTTTTTTTTATCTGCCATAAAATTAACCTATATGTTTTAACATACGCAATTACACGTCTCGTTATATTTCGTACATTATAAAAATTCTTTGAATAAGAAGACTAAGGAAGGAGCATATTAAAAATCTTAGGTCCACCGCGATGGGCCTCAAATATGGCCGATTAAATTCCGGTTTATCAGTGCCGTTCTAATTTTATTTAAAAAATGTAAAACTATGATGTAGGGTAGACGTGGGGTAGACTCAATATTTTTTTTTATTTTACGTTATAAAAATATAAAATTCTAATAAAAATAGATAAGTTATAATAATTATTAATAACCGCATAAACATCCGATACGCTACTGAAGCAGGTAAGTCAAATTAACGTATCTAACTTTGGTATCTAAATTCTTTGACATCTAATCTTTGACAAGTAGTAAATAAAAGCAAAAATGGAAGAAAAAATATATAATTAGTTAATTTAAGTGAATTTCGTAAATGATCTATATTATATAGTCACTTACTAGCGAAAAGTTGATCCATTATTTCACTCGATTTTTGCCGAGATCTACCGCACGCTACACAACCAACTATTTTAGAGTCCTTTTCGATAAATCGCGATAGTGTCACTGTTAATTTAAGTCCTGCCACACAATTCCCATCTAAATTTACTACCTTTATACAACTATCAGTAGTAGAAGAAATAATAAATAACATAAAATAAGCTCCGTAAAGACTGACAAATCCACAAAATTTCAAATCAAATTCAAATGTGCCAAATGAATCGTCAAACAGAACTCATTAGCAAGCAACGGGTATGTCAATGTTAGATCGGAACTATTGTGAACTAAAAACCTAGTTCAAGGAACTATTCCTCTAATGTGCACGCCAACTTTTATTTATTTCTCTGTATTTCTGTTAAGCTTGTAATAAATAAATAAATGCCTTTATTGTGAAAAAAAATACAATTTGTAGGCAAAAGTAAAGTAAACAAACAAAAGAGAATAGAAAACAAGTATACAAATTACATTGTCAGTCTTATTGCTTAAAATAAACATTTATAAATGTTTACAATGTCAAAGAATAAAAAAATAAAGATAAGATTCAAAAATATTTAGTAAGTTTATTGTAAATATAGTAATAGCAAATATTAGACCAGTGTTTACAAGATCAAATTCGATTATCAAAATATAAATAATTTACGGCTAGAAAGCCTTATCTAGTAAATAAGATTTCAATGCTTTGCGAAATGAAGAAAATGATGTTATGGATTTGATTTCAAAAGGCAGGTGATTGTGCATTTTTTTCGAGTTGTATAATATTGAACTTTTAACTAACTCTGAGCGTGGGGTAGGTAGATAAAGATCTTGCTCCGCGTTCCTGAGCGGATAAGCGTGAGATGGCCTTCCTTGAGAAGCTGATACATGCTTACGTATTAGGCAAACGGATTCAAATATAAATAAGGAAGGAAGAGTTAATATTTTTCATTTTTTAAAAAAGTCCTGGCAATGAGTTCTGCTGTTTAGTCCCAGTGAATATTCAACAGCTCTCTTCTGGAGCTTGAAAATGCGGTCAGATTGAGTCGCACAACACGTACCCCAGAATGGAAGGGCATATCTGAGGTGCGACTCAAAAAGTGCATAATAACAAGTTCTAGCCACTGACAGGTTAAGCTCCTTAGAAACAGATCTTAATGCAAAACAGGCATAGCTCAATTTTTTCGACAAAGCGTCGATATGCATGTCCCATTTTAGAGAATTGTCTACAACAACAACAATAAACGAGTAATTCCACATACCTTTGCCGATCTTATCCCTATCCTGTTGAGTTTCAGGCGGTTGCTCGTTTTGATCTTCCCTATTAACCGGAACGGCAGGCACGCCCTGTGGAGGTTTCAAATGGCCGTCTTTCTTAGCGCTCTCCATGGTGACGTTGGGCAAGATTATCGGCTTGGCACCGATGAGATTCCCGTGTTGTGAGGATGCTTTAGGTCCGGCTTTCGTCGAACTACTGGGCTGCTCCGCCGCTTTGAATGCCGGCAGGTTCAGAGAACTTTTCTCCGAGGCTGCTTTGTTATTATTGTTCTCTGGTTGTTGGACGTTGGTCTCTGCTGCAGACGGTCTATCCGACGGTTCGCATTTTTTCTAAAACATTTTTTTTTGTTTTAGAAAACGCCGTTTTTTTTCGATCATACGGTATATCTTCTTTATCCTTCGATATTTCTCTATGGTTTCATAACGGGTGCGTCTCAAAAGTGGCTCACCCCTATAACTTTTTTATTTTATCAGATAAAAAAACGAGATTTGGTATCTTAGTATATGATATAAATTAGGATTGATTGACGTATTCAATTGTTTTCGGTTACTTCCTGTTTCACCGGAAATAACTACAACTTTTGATTTTTAAATGGCACCCTCGGTATTTTTTTACTTTATTCAATCGAAAATGACACTCTGAATAGAATGACATATCATATATCAACTTTTGACATTTTCGCTTAAAACAAAAAATTGTATTTTAAATTGCAATCTAGAGTGTCATGGCTGTGTTAAAAACACTAATTGTTAATCAAGGAGCCAGGGACGCGCCAAGTATTTTCGGCGCGGTCGTGCGAAATAAGGGTAGGCGCCTTTCTCCAATATTATAATATTAAGCCAAAATTTCCAATGACGAGCGGCGCGGCGCTCGACATTGATGGATAATATATTTTCACAACTGGCGTTCATAGATAAAAGTATTACTTAAATTTTATGTTAATTTGTTGATAAGTTCCAAAAATTGGTTTTATTATTTTTTAAAGTCAGTGACCGCAGGCGCCTTTAGGGCTTTGGCGCCGTCGTGCGCCGCACGACCTTGCCCATATGGACGGCGCGTCCCTGCAAGGAGCCTTGGAAAAATAGGTTTGATCATCTAATGTTTTTAGTGTCTTGTCCTGGCCCGTTAAAAGATGCCCAAAAAATTGTATTTTTAATCATATCTCAATTTTTTCAAATCGATTATTAGCAAATTTGGAAAAAGCATTTTTTACGAATAATTTGGTACCACACACTTGGTATTTCAGTCAAACTGTTGTTATAAATCACATGTTGCAATTTCAAATAAACCATATTCGAAAATGTCAAAAGTTGACATATGATATGTCATTCTATTCAGAGTGTCATTCTCTATCGCATAAAGTAAAATATACCGAGGGTACCATTTAAAAATCAAAAGTTGAGTCATTTCGGGTCAAACAGGAAGTTACCAAAAACAATTGAATACGTCAATCAATCCTAATTTATGTCATATACTAACATACCAAATCTCGTTTTTTTATCTGATAAAATAAAAAAGTTATAGTTGTGAGTCACTTTTGAGACGCACCCGGTATAGTATAACGTTATGGAGAGTTAAAAATAATTATAGTGTACAAGATTATAGTATTGTTACCTGTAATACATTATATTTATCTTCTAAGTCATGGAACTTATTAGAAAAAAAGCTTATGGTATCTTTGGCCTCTTTATTATTTGCATTCTCACTTAAGGCAATCTTCAATTTTTTATTTTCTAGTTCTTGCTCAACAAACCTGGTCTACAATAAGAATAACAATATAATACATAGCATTTTACTGTTATATTGTAGTTCTAAATTAAACAGAGGTATTGTAAGTACCTTAACTTGCTCCCTAGACTCCTGAACCTTTTTTAATTCTTTATTCGCTTCTTTTAATTTTGCCTGCAAACTGTTTATCTCATCGAGTTGTTCTTTTTGTGTTTTACTACACTCCTCTTGAAAATCCGCATATTCTGTCTAAAATTACTAGAACTGTGTAATATTCAGCATTATAATTTACTTAAGAAGTACCTTCAACAAATCACAATGCTGTTTTAATGCACTAAATTCCAATAAACTATCACTCAAAACCTTTTCATTTTTCAAATTTTCTTCGGTAATTTTTTTCTGGTGCTGAGCTACTTCGCGTTTCAGTGATTCTTCTAACTTTTTCTCATTATCGCCTAATACTAAAATTAGAGACAAACTTGAAACCACAACAAAAACAACAAGGATATCCAGGAGCATTAAAGTAGGATAGGCCTACCTTTTAGCTGCCTAATAAATTACACACACAATTAAATATATCTTGATTTTTGTTTACCTCTAATCTGCATAGAAAAATGTTCATTCTGCCTACTGCAAATAACATTATTTTTCCTAGTTTCGTCCAGCTGAGAAAGGGCATTTTGATAAATCGCAATCAGCCCTGTTACGATCAAAACTCCGCTCACGCAGAAAAATATTTTGGCTTTTGTGCCACGTATAACACGTGAGGAAGTCATTACATTTGCTATCAAGACCAAATTAATTATTCTACCTGAGATAAATCATTCGCATTTAATTTTTTTCACTTGGATAAAAACTATCCGGAAAACCTTTCACTTAATTTGTAGGGATTTGTTTACCTGTCAATGTCAATAGGGTATATTTGCTGGAGTTATGCAACTAATAATACACAATCATATACACTAATGCTAATTTCTGCAGCAACTTCAAACCCAAAATTTAATCAAGTGTATTTATGTATTTATTTTTAGAACATATCTACAAATGATACAGTAGGAAAACTAATTATACAGCTTAGTTTAGTGGAGTTGGTATTAAAAAAGCAATTTTTATTTTATAATTTTTTATTTAAAAATAATTAAAACATATTACTTCTTCTTAGACACACCGACAGTTCTTCCACGACGTCCAGTGGTTTTAGTGTGTTGTCCGCGAACACGGAGACCCCAGTAATGTCTCATACCTCTGTGAGCACGAATTTTCTTCATGCGTTCCAAATCTTCACGGAGTTTTGAATCCAATGAAGCAGACGTGAGCTAAAAATAAATATTAAATGTAAAATTGGTATTATTTAAAATAAAACTAGTATTTCTTTAGTCTTAAAGCAAAATACTGTAGCAAGAACCAGTAAGCTTAATGAAATATTCAATATTGCTTCTCAGATTTCACAAAAATGTCAATGACTGATCTACAAAACTGAACTTTTCAAAGAAACGTTTCTTCTAAACCCTGCAATATTCTCTTGCACAAGCTACCAGTCAATATACTATTAAATTAAATCATACTGACCGTTTTATTGTGCCAACAAGAAATTCTAAATACAATTTTATTTAAGTTTCGGAACTTACTTGATTGTACTTGCCATCAACAATATCTTTCTGTCTGTTAAGGAACCAGTCAGGAATTTTGTACTGGCGAGGATTAGACATAATGGTAATAATTTTCTCTACTTCCTCTTCAGAGCATTCTCCTGCACGTTTGTCTAGGTCCACATCGGCCTTCTTCAACACAATATTTGAATATCGCCTACCAACACCTTTGATGGCTGTTAAAGCGAACATCACTTTCCTTTTTCCATCGATATTCGTACCCAAGATACGAAGAATGTGTTGGAACTTTTCTGGAATTACCAGCGACTACAACAACAAAAAACTTATTAACAGAAGTATTTTAGGTTATAAAATATGAAAATATTAAGATGGTATAAAAAGATGCCATTTAATATTGTCCTAATTATTTCAGGGCACCGTTAAAGTTATTTGAGGTGATTATAATTAAAGATGGCAAAAATATTAAAAGATTTTTCTAACGAAAAATTGAAAAACCTACCATTTTGATTCACAAAATTCACAAGAAGAAAGAGGGCGCTGAATTTTCAAAATATGTCAATTGTCAATGTCAAATCAAAATTTTGACATGCAAAGCGATTTCGATTAAAAAAATAATTCATATATATATTCAATAAAGTTCACACAGAATATCAAATTCACAATAAAATTTAGCAAACGCTAATTTTTTCCTACATGCTAAAAATATTGTATAAAAATCAGAGAATCTTGAAAGAAACAAATTTATTGCATTGAAAAATATATGATGGTACTAAAAATATATGATCCGAGCGATTTCAATTAAAGTAAATTCCGGTTGCCAAGTCTAAAAAAAATTGTATTTGTTTTGACACTTGTCATTTCCATTTGTTTTCATGTGTTTTAAATTTTTAGTGTTTTCTCATAAATTCACAAAAAAATGAGTAACACCAATAAATATGTACAAGTAGCGGGAAGCAGCCAAGGAATAACCAGCAGTGACAAAGTGGTTCAAGATATTTTAAACACTTTTACCGATCTCAGACACTATTCCCGAGAAATAGAGAACGAATTAAAAACCACCGAAAATCAGTCTATTAAAGTTTACATAAAAGAAAGCGAAAATATAAGCAGTCTTCACTCACAAATTACGGCCTGCGATACGATATTAGAACGTATGGAAAACATGTTACTTTCATTTCAAAACGATCTAGGTAGTATAAGTAGCGAAATTTTAACTTTACAGCGTAAGTCAATATCTATGAGCCAAGAATTGACTAACAGACAGGCAATTAGGGGCCAGTTAAGTCAGTTTATTGACGATATATCGGTCCCTGAGACATTGATTGTTGCAATAATGGATTTACCTGTTAGCGATAAAGAGTTTTTAGCACAGCTTCAAATTCTCAATCACAAAATCGGTTTTATCAAGGAACAGAGCTTTCGTGACACTAAATCCTGCCACGACGTGAAAGACGTGCTCGAAAAACTAAAAATAAAGGCCATGTCAAAAATTAGAACGTTTCTATTAGAGCAGATATCCAAGTTTAGAAAACCAATGACGAATTATCAAATTCCACAAAATGCTTTATTAAAAAATAAATGTCACTATGAGTTTCTTTTGATGAACGAAAGGAATACAGCTGAAGAAATTTCTAACGAATATATTGACACAATGAGTAAAATATATTATTCCTACTTCAAATCTTACGAGGGTCGAATAATGAAGCTTTTATATGACGAGAGTACAACCAAGGATGATTTGATGGGTATAGAAGATACAGCTACGAGAAGTCTTTTTAATAAAAGTCTTAAACACAAAGCTACAATATTTACTATAGGGAATAGAGGAGATGTGCTAGCACAACAATTAGAGGCACCGATAATTGTACCACATGCAGAAACAAAAAACAAAGTAAATTTATTTTTTATGAGATGTTTTTAACTTATAATAATTGTTTTATTATAGTATCCTTATGAAGCGATATTTAGAAGTGTCCAATATGCTTTAGTCGACAATGCTTGTAGAGAATATTTATTTGCTAGTGAATATTTTATGGTTCAAAGTCAGTTAGCGCTGCAGTTATTCAATAAAATAATGGGAAAAACTTTAACTTTGTTACAGGTATTTTTATTGAATTCTTTTTTATATTTAAATTCTATAGATTTAAAATCTATTTCAGAAAAACATTGAACAACATATATCAACTTGTTACGATTCCATAGCCATTTTCTTATGCTTTCATTTGATACTGCGCTATAAGATTATGTGTCATAAAAGGTGCGTTCCTGCTTTGGATGATTATTGGGAAAATTTGGAAAAATGTCTATTGCCCAGATTTGAATATATTGTAAAGTTAAATGTTAATAGTATTAGAGACTGTGATGTTACTAAGTTTAATTTAGAGAAAGGACCGCATTATGTAAGTAAAAAAAATTGTTAGTGCATTAGGGCTCGAACTCACTGATGACCAGGTCGCAACGACCTGGCCGTTGGCTGGCCGGATGTATTGCGCTTTTAGCTGCGGCCATATGAACGACCAGTTTCAACAGAGTTGTCAAATCTAACGATTTTTTACGTTTTACCAATTAGAAAATATTGTTTCAGAAATGTTAAAATATCCGAGGTAACTAAAAAGCAAAGTTGCTATTCACAACAAACAAAAAGCTTTGTGTACGCGCGACCGACAAAAAGGGATTTATTCTGTTTCTTTTTTCTACTGATATGGCGCCCTTATCGACTTTAGAAGTAAACATATTAGGGCCATCGTAAAAAAAGATCGTCAGACACTGGCTCTAAATATAAGCAGGTAGAAAGTTTAGCTTCCAGTTATTTCAATGTTTACAATAACGAATTAACGAAGAATCTACAACAGTAATTACTTCTATTTTTATGAATGTTTAAGTTACTTTCCTAATTTTTTTTTCAAAATAATGTACCTAGTAGAAATATAGTCTAATGAACCCTGTTTGAAAAAGGTTAAATTAAATATCATATTTAAAATACAGTTGTCCTCCTTGTACATGACTACAATACAACTAAAAAAACTAATTTAATAAAAAAAAAAGTGGTTGTCGAAAAACTTTAAATATTATTTTTTTTATTTTTTAAACATCGAAACTCAAAGCTATAATAACAGGTATCATACCAGCCATAAATAGAGTAGGTATGTCATAAAAATGTGTGTGTGTTTTGAGTTTTTACTAGAATCGACCCTTGATAAAAAAAGGGATTAGATTTAAGTTTACATTTGATCCAGTCTGTATACTATTTCTTTGGATTTTCGGCACGTGTGCAAAAACTACACTAAAACACTATATCTTATAGAAAATAAAATATTGTGCCTTGAATTTGTGATGAAATCCCTTCATCTGAAAAATTATTAATTTGGAAGAAAACCGGCAACAAGCGGCAGAAAATAATAATATTTCCGTGCAGTCTTCTGGTCGCAACGACCAACGGACGGCCAGGATGTTAGTGTGCGCTATATCATTTGATTTAATGGTTTTAGAGGTAGGTGCGGCCTGGCCGGTGCGACCTGGTCGTCAGTGTGTTTGAGCCCTTACATGCGCATATTTGAAGTAAAACTTCTTACTAACAGCTATTAAATTGGAAAGATTTGAAGGACATGTGAAGTGTAGTTTAGTACATTATAGTAGTACATTTGAAGTGTAGTTTGAAATGTTGAAAAAGTAATAAATTAAAATATTTTTTTACGCGTTACAAATAGTTTTTTACACGTAAAAATAGTTTTTTACGCGTAAAAAAAAGTTTTTTACATGTACCGTATGCCGTATGATGGCTTGAACTGATTGTTGAGATTTTTCTTTTACATAATATAAAATGACAGCGATCTTCATTTCATAACCATCGCAAACGCCGTTTTTTTTTTCGATCGTACGTTATTTTAAATGTTTTGTCTTGGTGGTGTTTCTAATATTCGCTTAATATTCTAGATCGCCCGAAGATATGCGGAATTCAGTGCCGCACTAGTCAGTATAAGCGAAAATTTCCCGAACGAACTTATAAACAGTCTCCTAGCCGAACTCCAAGAAGAAGTGGAAATGTTTATATTTCGCATGGCCGGTGTATTTACCGAGCGAAAAGACCAGCTAATTTTCCTTATTAACAACTACGACATGATCTTAAATATAATAATGGAACGAACGAGGGATAACTGTAAAGAAGCGGAAACGTTTAAATCGCGATTAGCCGCAAAAAGTGGCGAATACGCCGAACAGATCCTGTTCCCGCATTTCGGAGAAATGATCCAGTATGTTAAGGAGTGCGAACACTATTTCGAACACTCGAAATTGAAGGAACTGAAAGAGATGGAGGGTAAATCTTCAGAAATTGTGCAGAATTTCTCGCAGAACTGGAAAAAATCGTTGGAAGACTTGAATAGGGAGGTGCTGTTGTCGTTTCCTAATCTCGTTACAGGAGCTAGGCTGTTGCAATTGGCTTTAACTCAACTGGTCCAATATTATCACCGATTCCATAAGTTATTGGCGCCCAACGTTCGATCGCAGCTTGTTAACATACATCATATAATGGTCGAGATGAAAAAATACAAAACCAATTTTTAAATGTTGATCGGATTATATTTTGTTCTATTTATTTTGTTTCAATAAAAACAGTACCTTACAGAATGTTTAATTTTGTGAATTTCAAGTAGATTTACTCCTCTATAATCTATAATTCTTTCATCTCTCTCATTTTGTCAAAATTTTCGTAAAAAACTTATTTTAAATTAATTTAAATTTAAATAATATAATATTTTCAGTTTCAAATTTTGAATGTTTTATAAAAAAAGAAGCCACAGTGCCACAGATTATTCAACGGTTATTTTTAATATGACCTACATCATATATAAAATTAATTTTAAAAAATTAAATCTGTGTAATCTGTGGGGGGCGTTTCCTGCGTTTACAAACGTCTAAAGTCTAAACGTCACTGTCAACAAAATTAACAAAAAATTAAATGTTACTCAAATTGTAAACATAAAAACAAATCGATTTTACTAAATTCTAATAATAAATACATAATGGAGTTTAATTTCAAAAATATTGTTAAAGACGCTGGAACTGCGTTAAGTAGAGTAGTACAGGTACGTTTCTAGAATAGTTTTAAATTTAATAACAATAGAAGAAACGATTTTTTTAAGTTTACTGAAGAAAAACTCGGGAAATCGGAGAAAACCGAACTAGATGCACACTTCGAAAACTTATGGGAACGTGCGGAAAACACGAAGAAGTTTACCGAAAAAATCGTTAAAAATACAGAGGCAGTGCTTATTCCGAATCCGGGGAATCGTATTGAAGATTATGTTTATGAGAAAATAGAGAAAAAACGACCATCTAGACTGAGCAATTTGGAATATTTAGGTAATAACTTTGAGAAACTATGTGTAATGAATAATACCTATTATTTTTATCTAATAAATACAGCTTTTTTTCTATAAAATTTCAAAGTGACTCAGTGTTATGAAAAATTTCCTATTTCACATTTTGATTCCACTGTTTTTTTTTGCAAGATATACAGGCAGTGATAGTGTACATTTCATTGATATACAGAAGTGGATTTGTCATAAAATTCCCAATCTAGAAATACCATTTCATAATCTGTGAGTGGTTTTATTAAAATATGACTATTTTTAGACTGAATATTTCTGTAGTTTTAAAACAAATTATAAAATAGCCTATATTTTTGTTTTAATTGGAAATATTTTATAATATTGTTCTTTTTAAAGCTAATTTTACTAAAATATACTTTACCTACGGCAGTAGTAATAAAGTAAAAAATAAATTGTGTCTCTAATTTTTAGAAAACCTAAAATTACTGAATAAATATTGATTTTTGCTATAGAAAGTTCTTAAGAAAAGATAAAGTTATGTTTATTTATGACTTAAAATACAGGGTGTTTATAGGGAAGGGGGTAGTTTTCAATCTTCTTGTACTTTTTCTTGTTTTTTTATGGTGAAAGTTAAATGTTAAAGCGCTTAGCAAAACATAGGCACCCCAAATTTCATTCAAATTGGATTATCGGTAAAAATATCTGAAAAAGTGTGCTTATTTTTCTAAAGTTTGATGCCCACTAAGGGACAAATGAAGCACTGTTGTAAAAAAAATACGTACTATAGTCTGTCAAACGACAGAATTCATGACAGTGACAATTGTGTCTGTCATTTTAATTCACAGTCAAATTGTTTTTTTATCATTTTTTGGATGAGGTCTGTCGAAATCTTCCCTGATTCGTAACATAGACTATAGTTCTATTTCCACGGAATATTGGGACACCCTGTATAATCTAAAAATGGTCATATTTTAAGAGTCACTAATAAATCTATTAACCACAAAAAAATATACAGTATTCTATTTTAAAAATTATCTTTAGTGTAAAAGTTATCTAAATCACCCTGTATATGAACATATTTTTAAAATGTGCAAAAAATTGAGTAAAATTCTCAAATAGACAGGGCCTATTTTACCATAAGGCCCGGGCCTTGGGCCCGGTGGTCTGGTGGTCCCATTAAAGGTTGTAAAATATTCATAATTTCTTGAATTTTTGAATTTTATTGGAAAAGAGGGCCCGAATTTTTGCTTGGGCCTTAGGGCCCGACCGGATGAAAAATAGGCCCTGCAAATAGAAAGCCTGATTTTTTATTTTTGGATTATTTTGAAACACTGGGCCACCCTGTATACCGTGTGTGTCTCAAGAGTGGCTCACCCCTATAACTTTCTTATTTTTTTAGATGTAAAAACGAGATTTGGTATGTTAGTATATGACATAAATTAGGATTGATTGACATATTCAATTGTTTTTGGTCACTTCCTTTTTCACTAGAAATGACTACAACTTTTAATTTTTAAATGAGATTTGGTTACGTATTTTTTTACTTTACGCGATAGAAAATGACACTCTGAATAGAATGACATATCATATGTCAACTTTTGTCATTTTCGCATATATGGTTTATTTGAAATTGTAACATGCGGTTCTTAACGACAATTTGACTCATAATACCAATTGTGTGGCATCAAATTATTCGTAAAAAAAAGCTTTTTAAATATGCTAATGAGCCACCCTTGTTTCGTATGAAAAAGTTGAGATATGATTAAAAATACGATTTGGGCATCTTTTAACTGGCCAGGACAAGATACGAAAAACATTAAACAATCAAATCTATTTTTCCAAGGCTGCTTGATTAAAAATTAGTGTTCTTAACATAGCCATGACACCCTAGGTTGAAATTTAAAATACAATTTTTTTTAAGCGAAAATGTCAAAAGTTGACATATGGTACGTCATTCTATTCAGAGTGTCATTTTCAATTGTATAAAGTAAAAATATACCGTGGGTGCCATTTAAAAATCAAAAGTTGTAGTAATTTCCGGTGAAACAGGAAGCGACCGAAAAAAATTGAATACGCAAATCAATCCTAATTTATGTCATATACTAACATACTAAATCACGTTTTTCTATCTGAATAAATAAAAAAGTTATAGGGGTGAGCCACTTCTCAGGCGCACCCGGTATATACATATATAATTTTTTGTTACAGGATTAGATATGGTCGAAGCTGGAACTTGCCTAGGACCAGGGACACCTTATGGTTCTGCCCTGGTAAAAGTTGGTCAGTGGGAACAAAAACTTGGTCAAACCGAGAGAGATTTCATTGGATCGTCAGCAATTTGTTTTACACAGCCTTTACGAAAATTCTTGGACACTGAAATGAAAACTATATTGAAGGAACAGAGTATTTTAGAAATGAAAAGGTTAGTAATTTTTGTGTTTATTGTACAATGTGATCGAAAAAAACGGCGTCAGTAATGGCCATGAAATGAAGATCGCTGTCTTTTTATATGTACAATTACATGGGGAATGTCATCGATCGTCATTTCCAAGCCAACTGGACCCCGTTTTTTTATCAAACGGTATTTATTGTATAGAGAGATCAATAAAAGATGGCGTGCACGTCATAAAAAGGTCGAAACTATTAGCAAATTAAATTTCCAATAAATATACATTTCTTTGAAAGATAGAGCGCACTTTTTTTTCTTCTTATAATCTCATTTTCAATTTTATTCTTGAGTTTTCTTCCTGATTTTTTTTAACAGGAATGTGTCTAAAATTAAAGTGAAAAATTGGTGACAAAATTATGACTTCTATTTGACACTTATTAAATATCAAAGTAAAAAGGTAGCCGTGGCAACATTGCGGCGTTCATTCGTCAAATATTTTGATTAGGTGCACGCCAATGAAATGTATATTTTTGTATTATAGGTTAGACTTGGACGCTTGTAAAAATCGGGTGAGGAAGGCAAGAAATATGCTAGGTCAATCCACCGTAAGTATTTTTTTATACACGTAAGTATTTAGTCATTTGAATTTTAAAGTATAAATAATATACATGGTATCTCGGAAATAAGTGCAAGTATTTTAACTGGTAGTATATTTCGACCCTAGAAACACGCCTACGAGTTTTTTTTGCGAAAAAAAATTCTTGGAAATTTAAAATTTTTCTTGACATTTTCCCGGAAATTAAAAAAAAATTTAGCGCCACTTGTTTATTCACCTGAGATTTCTCTACCTTGAGTGTGAGTATCTCAACCTTGCAGTATTGCAACCATAGTTCTATATTAATTATAAATTGACAGACAAATTTCTACACAAAAAATTAGGGATGTTAAATTTAATCTTTTATTTGTGCTCATTACTAATAATTCTAAAAAAAACACACATTAATTATTTTTAGTACTTACACTTTCAATGAAAACTTACAAAAACCCCACTGAATTAACAAAAATATTACGTTTATGACGTTTACGAAAATCTTTGTTATGCTGCAAAATAACTTTATTTTAAGAAATTTCTAAAATGTTTATCGTAATTCAGTTTTCAATATATCGAAAACAGCCCGACGATTAATCAGTTAATTTTTGTTTTGTTTGTTTCCTTTCATGTTTCTCTGTTTTATTTTTAAAATTTAATACGAATTTGATTGCTTCAAATGTCTTGAATTTGAAATTGTTGTAACTAAGGCAACGTCGCTTAATATCGTCGCATGACGCAAGCACGCCACGGCGGCGCGGTGCCTCAAAGGACCAGTTGACGCGGCACTCTTGGCGTACGGTTGGGCTGTCGATGGCATTGTCGAAATACATCGAAAAGTCATGTGTAGAAGGCATGTGTGAAGCGAAAAAACCAAATACATATTGAAAATTGAGTGAAACATGTATTTTCTTAAATTAAAAGTAGTTCGTGAAGTGGCGATAAGAGACAATAATTCTCAACATTTATTCATTCTGAAAAGTATTAAAAGTAGCGTGCGCTTTTCAAGGTGTTTTGTAAATCAGTGGTTCGAATTGAGATGATATATGAAAATAATGTGTTAGAAATGGGGACTGTTATTTTAGCAGTTATTATAATAGTTTGTACAAGTAAAGCAGCACAGTGAAGTTTATTTTAGTTAAGTGTGTATCGAAAAAGAGAGCTGTCACAGTTACATCGATCTGTCATAAGTATATTTTTTTAATATTGGGTAAGTTTTTTCTTTTAATTTATTTTGTGTAATAATATCACAATCATAAAAATGCAGTGCATCTCTGCCAAACTCCTCAGGTGGTGTGATTTTATGATTTATTTTTATAGCACTTTCTTGTCCATATGACAACAGAGGGCGTCGAATTACCTGAGATCCGGGTAATTGGATGTAGTTGGCGATATCTGCCGGCGGTTCTCAAAATTTTGCTATTATTTTTTTAAATTTTCAAAGTTAAATAACTCGATTATTTTCAATTTATTTTTCAAATGGCAAAGAGAAAATATGTTTCTTTTGACCAGATCTACCACCTCTTAAAATATTTGCACTTATTTCTGGGACATCCTGTATATATAAAGTCCCATCTACCCACAACATTTTACTTGTCTTTTAAAACCGTCTTTCTATGGATATCTGGAGTGGTAATCTATCCCCACATTTATTCCGAAAGAGATAACCGTATAATCTAAGTGCTCTAATAATTTCTTTACATCAATATATGCCACATATAATAAATTTAGAAGAGAACAGTTTCATCAACATCTCCTGATACAATATTTTTCTATCCCAACCACAGAAGGTGATCCTTTTGGTAAATGGGTTCATGGAAGTAACGCTATGTTTTTTTTGTTTTTTAATGTACATATTAATTAAAAAAAGTATTTAGATAATAAATGATAAGAAATACATTTATTATCGTTTCTAATTATTTGTTTTAACTATTTATTTTATGCTGCAAAGGGTAAGGAGGATGTTGCACCAGAAATTCTTCTGGAACAGGTACCATAATAATCTTAGTAGTTAAAAGATGTTCGTCTCTGTTTAAAAGATATTCTTCGTCAAACTTCAATGCACAATAAGTTTAACAGTTTTTGTTTAATAATTCGAACAATTCCAATTGATTTTATGAGTTTCCGGAAAATGTGTACAAATTTGAGTTTCTGTGAACAAAGAAATATTTTAAAATTTTGCATTCTTTATAACTTAGAGTCAATGATTCATTAAATTCCGAGTAAATAACGTTTTTGTGACTAATTTAATATAAAAAATATTGATCTAGAAGAAAAAATAAATAATTTTTTTATCAAAAAGTTTTTTTTTATTTAATTATCAACTGAGATAAAATTGGATTGGAATTGTTCAAATTATTGATCAAAAACTGCTAAATTATTGTGCCTTGAAGTTTGACGATGATCTTATAAACGGTTAATTTAATCGACTAATCATGAGAAAGCATTTTTGTAGAGCAGTGAATTTCTTACAAAAACACGAATTTTTGTTAACGAGTTATAAAATTCATAAGAAAAAAGAAACCTGCCTTATGATAATCAAATTTCAACCTTTAATAACTTTCGAACGATGAGCTTTACAAAAAAATTATAATATACCTTTTTTGTAGAGAATTCAGTTTCCTACAAATATAATATGTGAGAATAAAGATTTTTTCCAAATAGGAAATACCGAAATATGAATTTTTCTTTCTAATAATAAGGAAAAAATAGAAAACTGAAAGGTGGAGGACCTTCCTATTAAAATTAAAAGCTTATACTTGGAGATAATAATTTTTTTGAGGTGTCTAGTGTCTACCAATCTTTTTTCAGAGTATAAAGTGATAAAAAAATAGTCGATTTTCTTGACCCACCCTAGAATACACGTATTACATGTTATCATAAGCAATATTTTAAAAATATTGTTATCGTTTTCAGGCAGAAAGAGATTTAAGAATCGCCCAATCCGAATTCGATCGGCAAACGGAAATAACGAAACTACTGTTAGAAGGCCTAAGCTCGTCGCACGCCGCTCATTTGAGATGCTTGTACGAATTTGTTGAGACACAGGCTCGGTTCTATTCTCAATGTACCACCATTATGACAGATCTGCAAAGAGAACTGAATAGGTTAGTAAATGAAAATAATTAGAAAATTTAAAATATTTATATGCGGTAAGGCGACACGGGTTTTTTATTTCTGTCGTAAAGCTCCGTCTACACATAACACTTTTTTGTAAGCTATTTTTATTGAAACAAAAATGTTCCAATAAGAATTGCTTACTGGAAAATGAACTGCAACTTTATTGCGGCAAGTAAAGTTGCTGCAACTTTTCTTGCATGCAAGTTAAATTGTCAACTGTAAAACAGCATTACGTCTTACCTGTTCAATCAAAGCGTATCAAGTAAAATATTTTGTTTAGTCCAAAAAATGGACGTTTTACTTGTACTGAAAAAAATTAAAGTAAATTTACAAAAAATTGTATGGACTAATTATAAGTTTCACAAAATAATGTAATTTTAAAAAATTATTTAGATATATTTTACGATAATTACCAAACGGGTATTATTTTTACAATTAGCTTCGCTTGTTTTCCAATGAAATTTAAACCATAAACACAATTTTGTACTAAGATTCCATCTTTTTCCTTTTTTCAACTTCACTAAACACAATGCTATTGTAATTGACAAAGCAGTGCTTCCTCCATAATTTTTACTAAAAACTGATCTAAAACCGCAGGTTAAACTTCCAGCACGGCATATAAATCACACGGCAGGCTAACTCTGCCCAGATCCCATTGTTTAAAATTTGATATCACCATTATGGGTACCGAGTCAGGGCCATAGACAAACTAACAAAAGCAAGACGCGTCAACGCTGTACTGCAAAACGGTAACAAGTTTGATAAGAGTTTATTACCGCGCTTGCGTCAACTGGCCTTTTAGACGAGGACGGTTTACTTATGGATTGTGTATTTTGTAGTAGCCTTTTAGACAAGGATGTTTAATTAAAAAGCGTTTATTAAAATCAAATAAATTTATTTCCATCGGTAAAATAAACAATAATTACTGGACATAACAGATATAAAAACAAAAGTTAAATAAACGAAAACGTATTCCTCTTATTAAAATAACAAAAAAGATGATAAAAAAACAACAGTTATGGTAAACGAAATAAAAGCATTATTCTTCAAAAGGTACAAAAAAATAATTATGTATATTATAATATTAATAATAGGAACAACAAGAAACATCTTAAAAAATATACAACTTTTTCAAATATAAAACAAAAACATAAACTTCACATTTTCACAAGAATTTGCAAAAATATTAAGAGTCTATTATAAAATATAAAGCACGAAAATTCAAATCATAAAAAGATTAAAAAGATAAAGATTCTTATAACTTACAGTCAATTTGTAGGACCTTCGTTTTGTCTACGTTAGCGATGTAATCACAATAATATGTATAATCACAGTAATTATTATGTTCTTCATAAATGTAAAATGTATTAAATTATTTGTTTTCGTTTTGTACGCTAATAAAATAATAGTAATAAGCAAACAAAACGCAAAATCAGGAATTCAACAGTTCGTTCAAGGATGGTTCAAGGCAAAAACGTTTTTCGTTTTATTTAGGTTAGGTTTAACGAGTGCGACTGCGCGATGATTTCTGACTCAACTGGCCAGCGCAAAAACAATAATTCGACTTCCTCAATCCTTTGAAAAGTCTTGCTTTTGTTAGTTTGTCTATGGTCAGGGCCGAATTAAAACGTGTCAAAAAATTTCCCAGAAAATAAACTATTGATAAACAGAGTCGTATTAAAAAAAAATACTCTAATTGACTGAAACTGAATTTTATTTACACAATACTTTTATCTAAACAAATGAATCGTTAACCGCGCATACTCCTCGAAAAGTAAAAATGAAAAAATCAATTAAACATTTAACTGTAGAGAATAAACAATTAAAATTAAAAAACATGCCATGAGTTACAAACAAGAAATAAAGAAATACCCAATAAAATATCTATTGAGGATACGTACAAATTATGTCCATCAATGGACATAGCAAATTTTATTAATATTCAAATTGCACAAATTAACAAATCAGCTAAAGGAAGAAAAGTAACTGATGAATTTTTAAACGTTTGGCTATATACTTTTCCAGGCCAAAAATATACAAGACGCTCTTGACAAATCTATTTTGCCTTCCACGTTCAGAGACACTAAAGATAATGAATATATGACATCGATATCAAACCTGGCTTAGAAAATCTTAGTGTATTTGAGACTCTGAAAAAGAAAAGTTGAAAGTTTCGATGAACCGGATGAACTTAATCGATATTGTGTTTTATGTATTGAAGACATTAATATCAAGTGCAATTTATTTTATAATAGTGGTCGTGATAATATTGTAGATTTTGAGGACTAGAAGGGGAACAGAGAGTTTAAACCAGCTCGGGTGTCTAATGTTGTTATGGTAAGAGGTTTACCAATGGGAAGCAGTCCCTAGCTTATTTTACTTGCTTTGTATGTACATATTATGTTTGTTCGGGGAAAATCTTGTAAGCTAAAATAGAAGCACTTCCTTTCATTGTAGGAAATTGAAATTTGGCATGTACGTTCAGTCCCGATGACAATACATTTTCTTGCAAGGCATGACCCGAATTTTTGACAGCTGTCAAAAAAATTTCAAAGTTGTCCGATTTTGATAAAAATTGATATATAGGATGGCCATGGGCTAAAATGAAAGAAAAAAATTGAGCTGTCAAATTTGACAGCTGTCAAAAAAATTTCAAAGTTGTCCGATTTTGATAAAAATCTCTATATAAGATGGCCATGGGTTGAAATGAAAGAAAAAAAATTGAGCTGTCAAAAAAATCTCAAAGTTGTCCGATTTTGATAAAAATCGATATATTGGATGCTCCCTACCCCATAGTCGGTTTTCATTTTATTTGTCTCACATTTGAACTGTCAAATTTGACAGCTATCGTTTTTTTAAGTTTTCCTTTTTTAATGGAAAGCGATATACATATTATTATATTATTAGGATGCCCATAGGAAGTTATTTAAGAAAAAGAATTGAGTTTAAGTGTGTGGCACTGAGAAACCAGCATAACTAAAAAGTAAAAATTAAATTTAAGAAAAAAAACTTTTTAAAAACAAGCTTTTATTTAAATACATTAAAAATAAAAAAATAAACTTTTTCTTTAAAACTTTTATTATGAACTTATAACGTCATTACACACTTTTATATTATACGAGTATAAAAGCTTGTCGCGAGATTTGAGTGTACAGTTGCACTCATAAAAATCTGGTACGACAACTTTATCTTGTAATTCCAATATCTTGTAAACCTATCATTATTCCCATCCAGGATAAATTCATCCAGTTTAGAAGAACATTTAAAAAACTTTGTGTCCGAATATTACACACTGGTACTGAAAATTGCCAAAATGATCTGGTAAACATATCTTATTAAAAACGGCAGACCTTATTATAAAAAACAACGAGACCTCTGTTCTTTTCTCTCTGAATTGTCATGAGCTATCCATAAAAATTAAAAATAGATACGGATAATCAGAAAAACAGTAATTTAGAAATGAATCTTGTTTGTCATTTTGCAGGAAACCTAATAATAAAAATTACTTTGAATGCCGTAGGCAATGATTGAGTATTAAAACTAAAAGAATTTCGGACTTCCATTGTACTACTAAACTCCCAAATCCAAATATGTAAACACAATGCACACACAATAAACAAAAATAAAAAAACAAAATAGATCATTCAAAAAAGAATGAAATAAATTAAGCCGCACGCTACTGACCCAACTGTATGTTGTCGATGACAAGACTACGACCGACTACGACACTGATTAATTTCTGTTGCTGGCACCCATAATGGCGGCGTGCGCAAGGATATGCGCGTAGCGTTCCCGCTAAAGCGAGTTGGCCTGCCGTGTGATTTATATGCCGTGCTTCCAGTGTGCACGCTAGTCTTTAATCCATCTTACGTGATTCTTTTAAGAGTCTATTTCACTAGTCCGAAAAAGTAGCAAAATAAGCGTTCGATATTTAACGTTTTATGTAAAACTGGCTGGGTATTTTTACACAAATGAAGAAGGAAATTAAAGATAAAGGATTATACTATATCCGTATTGTAGCACATTTTACACAACTTCTTTATTTTTAAGGTTTTGATGGTCAAACATCAACAAAATATTCCTTATATTTGGACTAAATTTTCTCGGAAATAAAGATATAACATAAAATTCCGTTACAATACGGAAATAGATTGAAGTTTTGTGATTACAATTTTTGTGAATACAATTTTTTATATAATTTATATGGTTTTGTAACAAATTGTTCGCTATTTTATGGCAATTGCTGAAGCTCTGCAAACCTTAATCAAGCCTTAATCCAAGCGTTGTGTTTGGAATTTTGGGTGTGGCTTAAAGCTCTACGCGCACTGAAGGGGTATCGGCGCGATCGACCGACACGTGATTTTCAGTTTACGTTGAAATAAATGTAAGCCCGCGCACTGCATTAGATCGGTGCGCTTCGAGCTATCGGCGGCACCCGGCGCCATCAGGCGAAATCAGAGAATTCATGGGAGGGGGACGAATAGTCTACGCCGAGCGACTGTTTTTAGTGGAGCGGTTTTACATTAAACATTTCCGATGAATTATTAATCGAAAGTGTACGAGACCATATCATACTTAATATGCGGTTTTTTATAAAAATTTCTTTCAAGCACGTAACCTATATTGTTTAATACACTTATTCAATAACTGAATTAGAAAACCTTCCGATTAAACCCATTTATTTCTCATCTCGTTTTGATTATCCCACATTATTATGGAAATCGAATTTAAATATCGTCAAAAAACTTATCATGTTATTTAATTTTTGGTTTGTTTTGACGTTGGTAATAACAGCTGATATATAGACATCCTATGTTACTATGTTGATCGCTCCGTACAAGGTACAAATAGAGAAAATAATATTTATGTTTGAATAAAATATTTGTACATATATCTACCGTATGATAGAAAAAAACGGCGTCCAGTTGGATGGGAAATGACGATTGATGACATTTCCCATATATATATTTACATATAAAATGACACCGACCTTTATTTCATGGCCATCGCTGATGCCGTTTCTTTTCGATCATACGACTATAAAAACTATATATTTTTTCTTTTTTCATTTTTTTTTACTTTTTTATTATATTTTAAGGTTTTAAAATCTTGGTTTTAAGTCAGTAGTGAATAAAACGAAACTTTTGTTTACATTTTGTTTAATGATTGACGTTTCGACCAATTTTTGACTCTGTCTTCTTCAGAATCTATAATATACAATACTATTTTATCACTAACAATGTGTTTAATATATAATTTTTTCTTACCACAAACTTAGAACATCATTTATACGTATATTATAGATTCTGAAGAAAACCGAATTAAAATTGGTCGAAACATCAATCATTAAACAAAATGTAAACAGAAGTTTCATTTTATTTACTACTGACTTAAAACCAAGATTTTAAAAATTTAAAATAAAAGCTATATATATGTATATAGTATATAAAATTATTTTATAAATGTTTGTAATGACACTTATTTAGATTAAAAAACTAAAAATAGAAGTTTTATTTGATTATTTTTCATATCTAGCTTTATTTTTAAATATCAAATTAAACCCTTTTGAATGACACCAAATTTGTTAAAATCGGTTAAGCCAAGAGTAATGTAGTATTTTTTTATCCCCATCTTCCACTCTATTTCACTAATTTCTAAGATCTATCTAAAGTTCTATCTAAATCTTTCTAAAGATCTAAATAATATTAATTTCCATCATAAAGCATAGAATATAAAAAGTTGCATAAAAATATACATAGTAATAATACTTTATAATTTTTTGAAATACCGAATGAATTTGACTAAATTTGAATAAACTTCTCCTCGTCTATGCTCAAATATATGCTGGTGACGTACTCTCGACCGTCGATCGTGCGACTTCAGTGCGCGGCTACCATCGACTTTCCGACAGGTCGTGTCGTTCGCTCGCGCCGATACCCATTCAGTGCGCGCTCTCCTTAACACGACGGGATCAGGCTAAGCCTTAGGCTGATTTCTGAAATATAATATATATTTTCTTCGCTTTACCCGACCCCTGAGAGCGACCCGAACAGTACAGCGTAATAGACTCTTAAATGACAGGTATAATATTATGTGTAGACGGGGTTAAGACGGAACACCGTCTGGAGAACAGGTACTTAAGCTGATGATGCTGATGTTTTCAGTCCGCATAAAGTAAGTCCAATGCTTCGCCTCAACAGCGAGGAGTTGGAACCGATTACCACCAGTAAATTCGAAGGATCTTTTACGTCAGTGCCTATTAAGTCTACCGAAAACACCGATTCAAAATTCTAAAGCTTGCTCGCTTTTGTTTCGTTAACTGAATTGTAATTTGTAGTTGACCATTATTTTTTATTTGATTGGTATCATTGTGGTACTTCACAGTGACAGCCGATCCTAAATTATCTGGCAATCGTTAGGCTCTAACTACGTAAAGCCTCGTCTACACATAACGTCTTAGCTGCCCAGTCAAGACGAATAAAGTAAAACTTTGTGTGTAGACGAAAAACAGTCTGTTTTAGTCGAAAAAATAATATGGATAACCGACTTTTAAAAATCAAATATTTTTGAATAATTTCACAAAATAATGTAATTATACAAAATAGTTTAGATATTTAATCGTTATTACCAAATGATACGATTAGCTTTAAGGTGCGTATTCACTATCCGAACGAACGAACGAACATTTGTTGGTTCGTTCGGTAGTAGTATGGACGGGACCGAATTTTAGAACCGAACGAGTAACATCTACCCATTCGTTTTTGAACTCCTTTGATGTACCGACTCGAAACGGATGGTCGAGCAAGCGAACGAACGAACGGCCGCATGCGTTCGGTTCCCCGTCCAAATATACCGAATTCCATTCGTTCGCTCGTTCGTTCGTTCGGATAGTGAATACGCACCTTTATATGCTTACAAATGAAAGTTAAACCACAAATACAATTTTTTGTAGTAAAATTCCATGTTTAACTTCACCAAAGACTTATATTTGATAAAACAACAGGTATAGCGTTATCTGTATAGACGGGGCTAAAGACAGACTGCTGTCAGTTTTGTAGAAGGTTTTCCGCTTGATGTGACACGCAAAACTGACAGTTATACCGATTTGGTCATTGACACTATGCGGTCTGGATTTTAACGTGTAAAACAGTGATGTAGACAGCTAAATGGAAAATCTAATGTATTAAAATGAGATAAAAATTGGGTCGACACATTTCTTCTATGCGGTATTGCCGGATTTTGCGAAAAATTGTCATTTACGAAAAATGTTGCATCTAGGGTTGGAACTTTATTTTTCACTATTAATTACTCATTTTACTACAGCTGTAATAGATTATATTTAGTTTAGATATATTATTATTTCAGTAATATACGTGAATTTTTTTAAAATAGCTTATATTTTTCTACACCATTTTCCTACAAACGTAAAAAACCGGCAACACTGTATGCCGCTTTTGATTTTGCCTCTCTGTCTGTCAACCGGACATTTATATTATTCTCTGTCACGCTCATTAAAATCCCGACCACATAAATTGGATGACCGGCAGGGTATGTAGAGGCTTAAGAAAGGAAGTTTTCAAATAATTATTTTGGCAACTTTTTATACTTCTTAGCTCCATCGCAGAGGCGCTTTCTTAGAGATGGTTAGATCCAAAGACATCTAACTTCAACCTAACAAAAATCGATGATGTCAAATATCTGCGGATTTCCTTAAATCTGCGTCTTGTGTTTGAAAACGAAGTATGTTATTAATTTTTTTGGGTACCTATTGTAATCATAAAACATTTTTCGATGCATGTCATCAATCATATCGACATTGACACTAAATTTGTTGTATAATTTAAGATACCGAACAGCTCTTCATTTTACTTTATAGAGCAAATGATTGTAACAGATTTTGATTTAGATTATAGCTGCAAAAAATAGTTTAAACCGAATTTTATTATCGCTATATTGGTCACATTGCGCCGTGTTTAGCAATGTTGTCCTTTATTATTTGACAATTATTATCCTAGTGTCAATCATTATTTTGTATAGTATCGTGTTGTTGGATCTTTGTGAGTAATTCTCCGTTTTTTTGTCTATTTTCATAGTCTTTTTAAAATTGCAATTTTAAGCACAAACAGTTTTTTAAGAACTAAATTTTTGAGTTTTTGTATTGCATTTCTTGAAATTTGAAACTCAACAGTGTTGTCATATTTATGCAGCCATCTCTTTTTAACTTATATAAAAGTGTTAAAGTTTGTATGATTGTAAACAAATGGCGTGTTGTGTCTCCAGTTAGATGTCTTTGGTTAAGTCTTAAAAATGTTGTCTAGAAAAATAGAGATTTGTATGTTTTAAATTTTGCTGATATGCTAAAAGAAGTACATATCGCCATTTTATTAACTTATATTTTCTGTTTGTGTGTCTTTTATGTGTTTTGTGGTAGATTTCCCTAAATAGCACTTTTTTTCTAATAATTATACTCGTAGTTTAGCCAGTAGTACTCCCAACACTTCCATATTTACACTCCAAGACGAATCTTCCACCGATGACATGAAACGGGCAAGAGTTTTGTTTGACTACAAAGCCAAAGGTCCATCTGAACTAAGTGTTAAAGCTGATGATGTAAGTATTTATCGTATGATAATGAAGTGTCATTTATTTATTCTCAATTTAAATCATTGGAATATCCTGCGATGGTCCGCAATTGTATCCATACAGAAACCCTAATTAGCTTATAAAACAATAAACTTTTCATTTTTAACCACAATTTCTCTGGACGGATGAGGTAGAATGAGTGGGAGGGGGGTTAATAGACCTTACAGATCTATTGTGTCTTGACGGATGATAATCAAAGGCCTAAATGACATTGCTCGCTAATCTTGAAGTAAATTAGTGGCAAAAGTTAAAAGTTTGCTAACTTTTTCTACTAACTGAAAATTTCTACCACTATTTTTGAGTTCTGAATGCTTACAATGAAACTAGAGGAACAAACTTCTACGCTAATTGAAACCGCTAATTTATTCTACTAATTGCAAGGTTCTCAATGAAGCCTTAAGCTTGATTTTCATGCGTCCGTTATCCGTTGATACGATGGTCCGACGAAGCTCTGATTGGTCTTAGTGTTTTCGCGCCACTTTTCATCCGTAAATTTTTTACTTTACTACTATTTAATCTAACCCTAATAAAAATATAATAGTACAAGAGCTAGCACCGTCGGGAAAACGGGAATTTTAAGAAAGCTGGTTCTTTAATATATCTTTTGCTATGCTTTGCTGTGCTCTCCTGATCAGAGATACAATGATGCGATTTTCACATTACTTTGCTACTTTTTTATGAAACGAAATATGCTAAACATAATGTTTGTTCTATCGTCCTTAGTTCCTGAAATACAGGACGAATTTGTGATGCGCAGTAGGGAACAGATGTTAAATACATATATGATGCGCAGTAGTGAACGCAACGCCTACCGGCAGCCAGACAGTTCGCACTTTGTTCAGGGGAGCATAGCAAAAGATATATTAAAGAACTAGCTTTCTTATAATTATCTTTCGAAAACGTTGCTAGCTCTTAGACTATAAGTAAAACAGAGTAATTCTTAAGGAAATGAAAATATAAAATGATACCAATCACAAGCAAATCGTATACCCGATGAACGGAGGTATGAAAATGCAATAAATTTAAAAACTGCGTAATTTTCTAACCAATCGAAGTCTTTAAATTCAACCAATTAAATTAATATCGTATCGTCGGACAACGGATGCTTGAAAATCAAGCTTTAGACTTAAATTATGGAATATTTTTAGGAAATACTAGTGAAAAAATTGCCAGACGAAGATTATTTTTTATGCCATAAAGACGATAAATCTGGTAAAGTTCCACCCGAAGTGTTGGAGATATTATTTTAAAACTAATATAATATCACCCATTGCCATTGTTTGAATCAAATATACACAGAGTGTTTAACTTGCCTATTAATGTCACTTCACTCAAACATATAATACTCTAATCAAAATATCTTTGTAGCAATTATTTCTCTCTTAAAACATATTTGATAATAACCACTATTAGTTATACATATTTTTTAAAAGCGTGATATACAGGGCGTCCTACCTTATATAATAGGGTGTAACAGTAATTTAAAAATAACAATAAGATGTTGGGTATTAAATATTTGATTGTATTATTTTTATGTTCTGTCTACTGTTAATAAAATTTGAGACACCTTGTATATTCTTGACGATGCTTCGAGTTTTAATGGAAACATTATAAGAGATAGCCATATTATTTTCTTATACCACTTTTTAGATTAGTATAGAGTGGCCGTATTTAAATATCCAAACGCTTGATATATCAATATTTGAGTTCAAACGCTTGATATATCAATATTTTCTTCCATTCTGTAGTACTAGCATCAAAGATGCAATGCATTTGAGTCATTGATGACGCAATGGGTTCATCTTTAGATGCGGCAACTCTTCTTTTCTGTGTTACCAGTCAATGATTAATCTATAAAGATAATTTTGTTATTTAAAAGACTTACAAGTTCTAACTTTTAGCTCTTATATGTGTACTTATAAAATCTATTCAATAATCATCACGTTCTATGCGATTCAATAAAATATTTAGTGTTTTTCAAACTAGGAATATCTATGCTTATTCAAGCAAACTTGCCTACATACTATATTTAATCGAAACAATGAAGCTAGCAGCGAAATTTAGACCTATATCGGGTGTTTTTCAAAAGTGGCTCACCCCTATATTTTATTTTATTTTTTCAGACAATAAAATTAGATTTGGTATGGTAGTATATGACATAAATCAGGATCGATTGACGTATTCAAACGATCAAATATATTTTTTTCTTTTTCTTTTAACACTTTAAATTTTTAAAATACTATTTATATTAAGCGAAAATGTCAAAAGTGGACATATGATATGTCATTCCATTGATACCATTTAAAAATCAAAAGATGAAGTCATTTTCGGCGAAACAAGAAATTACTGAATCCATAGATCATACCAAATAAACTTTTAGTCTCGTGTTTAAGCTTGACCGGCACAGCGTTGCCGATTTTTACATATTTTCTTTTAATCGACATATTTCAGGAAATAAAAATGAATTAATTATAAAATGTATAAACGTTATTATTTACATCAACAAAACTCACCTCCTTAACAACGCTTAAGGGGCATAAAGGGCCATTATTTCCCCTTTTCTGTTCGAAATATTCTAATAAGGTTGCGATGAGTTTTTTGCAAAAACTCGCAATACAAAACTAAAGTGTCAGGAAATAAATAAATAAATGTGGCAATTTAACATTTTTTACAGCAGAGCTACCACCTGAATCGCTAGCGGGAAATTTTAACTCCAGTTAGTCATCCCGGCGCCGAATATGTCCATGGTTTAGAACAATGAAATTAATAATCGCGCCCTCAATGACGTAACTAAAAATTTATTTGGTATCGATTATAATTGAATACGCCAAGCAATTTTGATTTATGTCATATTATACTGACATACCAAATCTCGTTTTTATTTTCTGGAAAAATAAAAGAGTTATAGGGGTGAGCCACTTTTGAACAACACTCGGTATGGGTAACCCTCAAAATATTCCTAACCTTTAAATTAAAATATCTTTCATTGGACGAGTTATGTAAAAAGCCTGCATGTACATAGTGTGTTGTGACAAAAAACATTATTGCCTCGTTTTGACAACAACCGTGTCAATTTCAGCATCAAGCAATCTAGTAAATATCAAAACTGTACTTCCGTATATAGCAAAAAACTAACAACGTTGTTTAGAACGTACAGCAATATTACAGAACAGATACAGGGTGATTTTTAATTTGCGGAAATTTAATTCTTTGGCTAATATATAAACCAAATAATAATATCTCCACATATTATCCACATTTTTTTCCATTAATTATAGCATCACCTTGTATATCAAAGACAAATATTGCTAGATATTAAAATTACCCAAATTACCCAATTAAATCTTTGTCTTGATGTAGGCTTTATTCGAAAAACAATATATTTTTTATTTTATTTTAAATATTGACAAAGAACTATTGAAAAATTATCAAGCAATACTATATAATCAATACTTAAATTAGTTTTTAAAACAAATTAAAGTTATTTTTAGTGTTTATTCTATTCTTTATTGTTTATAAATAAGAATATATACTTTATTTATATAGTATAGATTGTGATATTACATTCCATATTTAAACCTTTTTTTACGTGAATATATCTTTTATATTAATATTAATTATTTAATTCTATATATATATTTTCGTTATTAATTTTTCTTATAAAGTATATATTTTGTTAATTGAATTTGTTGATTTAATTGTTACTAAGCTTTAACGTTCACTATGTTTAGATGTATAAATAAATTCTAAAATATTGTTGGTAAGAGTCAATAAAATTCGTTTAGTATATAATTCCTTATCGTGTAAATTGTTATAAATAGAAAATTATGAAATAAGATTGCAATTTTATTTTCTCGTTACCTTGGTGGTTAAAGTTGTTTGCATATTTTGATGTGACGCCTCAAAGCAAATTAAATGGACTAATCAAATAGGTTCATTAGACACAATTTATCTCTATACGAAAGTGCCTTGTTTGTCCGTGAGAGGGCATCAAACTTTAAAAAAATAAACAGATTTTTTAAGATATTTTAGTAACCGATATTCCGATTCTATGTCGACGGAATATTGGGACACCCTGTACATATTTTCTGATTTTACACTTGAAAGACGTCTTTTCAAAAATCTAACCTGGTTTTAAGTTGTCACTTTCAAAAAATGACGCAACGTTATATCGTGTTTTAAAATAAAATTCGGCCCACCGCAAGAACGATGGGCGAACTATGGGAGAGGAGATAAATAGAAAAGCGAAAAAAATTCTGGTTAGGAGAATTGTAGGCCCGTCTTCCTCAACTGACATCGATGAGAGCGCCGATGATGTCGATTTCCATGAGTTTGCGTCTGGATCCACATTTACCCGATCGATTTCAGGTAATTTAGATCGCATCACCGATTGTTTTTAACGGAGATTTCCACCAAACGGATAAAACCCCAACAAAACACATGATAACACACAACTTACTACCACAGCCTAGTAATTAGGCTAGGAACATAGTGGAGCGACGAGGATAGCAGCGAGCAAGCAGGGCGATACCGCGTCGAACAAGCCTCGAGGTGCTGAAACATAGTAGAGTGGCGAGGAAAAGCGAGGTACCTGCAAATTTATTGTTTTCATTTGCTTATTGATTATTTAAAATGTTACCAGTTGCAGTGGCTAAAATTCTGGACAGTAGTGTCGCAAACATTTGGTTTATTCGAAGCCAACAAATCAAAAGGTGTAGTGTACATGAAATTTGTACACTACAACTGAAATTTTCAAAACCCGGAGAGAATGTGGCAAGTTTCATAACCTTTACGAAAATTTTTTACCACTTCATCTCATAAAAAAGTACTGGTTACCTAAAATGTACCGGTTATGGTGATTACTATCTTTTTAGTCCAATAAAATCTCTCTTACAAACACTAAATCTATTAATTTTTGTGAATCCATCGTTTTCTACAGCGCGACAGTGCGACGAAAACAAAATTATTGGAATCGATCTCGCCGCTCGATCTAACCGCTCGAGCAGATCACTTTACTATGTTCACACGTGTCTTCACAGGTTTGTTTTGGACGCGATGTCGCGCTGCTGGCTCACCGCTATCCTCTTCGCTCCACTATGTTCTTAACCTAGACAGCCAGTGGATTTACGATTTACATGGACCTCCGCTTATCTACCTATTATCTGACAAACGAATCTGAAGCAACGAAAGTATACCTAGGCTTGGTGCATTTCAGTTGATTTCAACAAATTCCGACCGCAGCGCTCCAACGGTAGAAATCAGAAATTATCAGTATGTATTTCACACCACCGTCCCGGTTACAGTTCATCTTGATCGCATTAAAATAATATTGAAATCGTGGCTTTGTCATAATGTTTAAGTATTTTAGTTTTTTGCTAGTGCAGTTATTGAGACTATAAAACACTCAGGTACGAGGTTTGTGTAATGTGACGCTGTTTCGGGTAGTAACTCGGTATGAACTAGGTGTCCTGTTGTGACAATTTCAAATGTTAATAAAATTGCCGAATTGTTGGGTGCAATAACATTCAATAACTCAACTTTCCCGGATATTCAATTCTCCCGAAACCACATTTTATAGCTTCATAGTTTCTCACACCGATTTGATCAGAAGCAAAAATGGATTCAAGCAGTTCGACGAAACAAGTGAGTAAATAAAGTGCCCGTTACATAATCAAAAATTAAATAGACATATACTATGAGAGAATAAAATATAATTTGGCAATATTAATGGTATACTTTTTTTAATCAACCAGTGATTAAATGTTTTATGAACATCTTCTAAAATTAAAATTATGTACTTTTAAAAAATTTCGTTATAGCCGAAATAGCCCCAATTATGGCCCACTAGCAAAACCGGTGATTAAAACTATGCTCGCTAACCGTAGTTGAACTCATCTAAAAAGTGGAATAACAAATTATAATACAAGTTAGACCTTCTGAAGATATCAAAATATGTACTTTTTTATTTTTATTTATAGAATTTTTACAAATTATACTTCCTGACACTTTTAGAATAATTAAATAATAAATTTTTCGTTTACTCGCTATTTAAACCCGTGTATTTGTATATGCTAGTTTTTTACGATATTCTCCGATGGTGGCAGCACTGGCGGAGAATGCACCAAACCTATAACTAGTAAAAACTTCCTAACTTCTAACATATATTAGTGTATTTAGCAAATCACTCAACAAAATGTAGTTACTTAAAATATTACAGAAAAAGTTTATTTGAAAATATTATAGAAATTCCTGGTATAAATGGAATATATAATAATATGTAATTTAAACGGGAAATTAATCGTCTTTGGGGCAAGGTTTAATGTGAATATTAAGGGTTTACAATGGTCTGTTATTTTTTTAGACAATAAACTAAAAATTTAGAGGGCGTCGTGAGAGAAATGATCGACTTGGTAAATAACGGCCACCCTACTGTAGATATTCATTACAATCATTTCAAATAATTGATCCTCTTTAACACCAACTATCAATCTCATCTTACTCACGATAAATATTACATTTTTAATCTCTGCTTGCACTGAGATAAATAACGAGAACAATCTGTAGATCATCCACCCTTGAGCGAGGAAGAAATACAGATAATCGAACTGGACTCAGACAGTCAACGCAGTACTAGCCCTTTACTGTTGATGTTTCCCGAGCTGAAACAAGAAGGCTTAAACACCGACAGTTTGACAGAGTCCATGTCCACATCGGACCTGACCAAACTTTTGGTGGGGAAGAAAGCTGTGTTTCCACTGTTGAAAGGCTGTAAAAAGTTGAAACGTGCTCCTAGGGTAAGAAAATATTTTTACGTTCATAATCGCAGAAAGAACAAAAAAAATAGACTAATGACTGGTTCATGCTTCCGATTTTAATCCTACATGTTGGATAGTAATTGACATTGACTAAAGAATACAAGGACGAATAACACCTGCAACCAAATTGTTACCATACCACCAAACAGTGCCGAGGCACATATTTTCTAAACATAGCGGCTCGGAGAGATATTTATATTTTTGATAAATGTTTTGACTACGCCTATGGTGTATGCGGTGGTATCATACTAATTATTTAGGAAAAAGACGTATTAAAATGTTAACAAAAGGTACAAAACTAGTATCGACGTATAACAAATAACACGTACATATAATATCAGAAAAATAATTATCCAATTCAATAAAAAACGCTAAAAAGGTGGAGTGGACTGTTTATTTACCTGAAACGGTAATTTAATTATTTATTAAACGAATCTCCTGGTTCTTTCTTATCGCTGCGGCTTTTACACTTGAAAGCTGAACAACTAATCACCATTGTAATAAAGTTTATACAAAGTTTACTACACACAAACTATTAAAAATCGCTAAAATTGTCGCTGATGACTCATTTATTACAACCAAAAAAATGACGTCTAATGTCAGAAATTCTGCTGCAACCTGTATATGGGCGTTACATGTCCTTGTATTCGTTAGTCATTGTTGCATTGATATATATATATTGTTGCGGACCTGTGTGAACTCGGCCTTAGGCCTGGCCACTCGGCTATGACTCATACGCCCGGCGACGCCGACGTTCTAGAACGAATAAGAAGCTGGTGAGACGAAGAACGCGGCTAAGAATAGTGATGTAAAAATTCTAAGTAATCGTTACAAAGTAACAGTAAAGCTACATTTGAAATCAATTCGCTGGCCGAGTGGCACTTCGACGTTAAAGTCGGCACGAAATTAACCATTCACAACAAATTTCAAGTCGAATTTTGCGCATGCGTGTTTAAACGTCTCCTGACATTTTTTAGGTTAGTTGTTTGTTTTGATTTTGGAAGAGTCAAAATCCGGAACAGTTGTTAATTAAGTTTTCCAAGTTTTTATGTTTAGAAAAATGGAAACAAAAACGTCATTTAGTGATGATTTTTTTCTACAATGTGTCTCAATTATGGGATCGCTTAAGCGGGCTTCTTATAAAAGATTTTCGTTGCACTCAAAACTTTTTCTCGCCATTAATATGGGTCGGACGCCTCATTTTTTGGGTTTTGGTAAACCCCTTGGTTTTCGATCAAGCGAATTATTGAGCTGCAACGATAATTGCCGTTTTTTTTAACAGCAAAACCACAAGTCCTAATAAAATAGGAATAGCGTCCTCTTCACTCATCTTTCTTTTAATAATTATTTACTTTTCACAGGAAAATGGCTTGTAACAACAACACAAACAAAATAATTATTAAAATTTAAATGTCAAATTTGTCATAATTGTCAAACAAAAATCCCGTGCTGAAGTGGAAGTTTGCAGCTTGCAAACTTTCAATCCAACTTCAAATTGCACTCTGGCGTCGAATTTTGTTGTGAATGATTACACTGAAGTACATATGATAAGCTTGCGGGCCAAAGTACCACTCGGCCAGCGAATTGATTTCGAATGTAGCTTAACATTTTTTTACTATTTGAATTTAGGACTCGTTACTCGCGTTACTAAACTAATTCGTTACTTTTGCGCCGGCAGTAATCGTAATCCCTGGAAATGCACGAACCGAGGACTCGAAACTCGATACTGAAATATTCCTTACTTCGACGTAGGTCTAGTTGTTATCAATATGTTTATGTTTAAAGTGTTGACTTGGCCCGGCGCCGGCCGGTGTTTTGGATGGCAAATGTGTGATATTTTTATTACAACTATTATGATTGGCTCATGCCGACCCGGAGGCGGTCTGTCCCTTTGCCGTTTGTTGTCGCTTTTTATTTATAGAATAAAATTGTTTATTTAGATTAACATGTCTTAGATATTAATTAAAAATGGATTCACGTTAGTCACAAAAAATGTTAACATCTGAAAAAGCAGAGCAAATATTTTTCTTCTTCAAAAGAGAATAGATATTTCGTCATTTACACTGTAAGAAAATCTACAAAATAAAAATAGTAATTTTTAGTAAACACTGCTGCGTTAATTCAAAGGACTTTTTTGAAGAGATGAATCCGCCACAGAGGAATATACATTTTTTTAATATTTTTTACATTTTAACAAAAATATATATATTTTTTTATTTATTTTTACTCTTTAATGTTTGCCTATTTATTAATGTAATACAAAGAGAGAGAGAGAGAGAGAGAGAGAGAGAGAGAGAGAGAGAGAGAGAGAGAGAATATAAAAAAATACTTTATATTGGTCGCGTTCATCAGAACGTAGCGCTACCGCTAATTTTCTGCTGAACGCGCCGATTAGATGTGAGCGCTCTGGGATCAGTCGCCATTTTTTCCATCAGATTTAAAATACGCTACGCTACCGATGCTGATGATGGATTAAACGTCACATACGCCAAATGTCACAAAATGTTTTGGAAAACGAAAACAAAGCATTTTGTTTATTGTTCTCGGTTGACTAATCCCCTCGATTTGTGCCAAAAATGGGTGAAAACAATTTAATATGCATTACTTATGATTTTGATCTAAAAAGCACGTTCAGCAGGACAACCAATCGATGGTACATCGCTCACTGATCAACTTGTCCTGATGAACGCAACCATTTATTATACACATATTTTCTTTGTTTGATTTGTTTTCTTTTATTTTTAATTTTATTAATAGTACATAGTTTTATTTAACATATCATTAAAAACATATTATTCAGTACTTGAATACCGAGTATGTATTGAAATTATCATATTAAGCCCTTACACTAGAATAAAGCAGAAACCCCTTATAGGTTAAACCGAGCATGCAACGAAGATCGCCGCGTACAATAAGTAACGAAGTTCCACGTCAAGCCCAAGTCTTCCAACCTGTACACAGAACAACGATTATAAAGTAACGATACTAAGTACCAAAGTAACGAGTAACTAAAGTAACAAATCCAAAGTAACGAGTCCTATTACCAAAAGTAACTAGTAGTTACGAGTCCATAAAAGTAACTAAAGTTTACATCACTAGCTAAGAATTGTCGAGACAAATCTGGATTGTCTGTTGCTCTCATATGTAAGCCAACGCCTGAAGCATGAAGAGGACAGAGAACAAACAGACGTTCGACGTGTACAGTTGTCGCGCGCTAAATTCAAAATAAATTCCTGTTAGATAAATAGTTAGATAAATTGTAAATAAGTTATAAATAGTTCTTTAAGTCTTTTAATCGTTATTGTTTTTGTTAATTAGTGTTAAATAAATTGTGTTTCAGTAAATTGTGACTTTCTATCCACACGGAACCGTCGAAAAACGTAATATGTGCTAGAATATTCGGAAGAAAAGTAGGAGAAGTATGAACGTCATTTTCTTAAGTTCTTAGAGTTAAGGACTAATACTGGAAGTATGAACCAACCATTACGCCTGATTTTATTGTTATGATTGTATTGAATCATTTAAACCTGATTCTCACTTGACCTCTTCAATCCTATACTGTCATATGGTTATGGTATCTCGATGAACATAATTTTCCAATAATTTTTAGTGCTCCTTATTACCGATAGCCGAATTGGCAGAAACCCAGTCATTGGTCGCAAAGTGGAGATGCCGCAGAGCAACGTTAATCTCCGAATTTGCCGATGTTAGCTACAGTATTCCGGATGAGAGGAGCTCTATAAAATGCAACACGGATACGTCAGAGGGCAAGAGAACACCTGGAAGGGCTGCTGCATGCACCAATATAGCTGCGGCAAATGACAACATTGAAGCTGTTAATGATAACATTGCATCTGCAAACGCCAACGTAACTGCAGCTGTAAACAACAGCATTGCTACTGCCCACGGTAATATTACCGCTGTAAACGATAAAACGGCTGCTGTGAATAACATCACCGCTACAGACAACAACATTGTTGCTGCAAACGGAAACATCGCCTGTACAAACGGCAATATGGCACCTGTAAACAACATTGCCGGTACAAACGGCAACATTGTCGCTGCAAACGAAAACAAGACCAGGGAAAACAGCAACATGGCAGCTGTAAACAACATTGCCGGTGCAAATGACAACATGGCAACTGTAAATCACAACGTTGCCGGAGCAAACGGCAACATTGTCGCTGCAAACGGAAACAAGACCGGGGAAAACGACAACATAGCAGCTGTAAACAACATTGCCGGTGCAAATGGCAACATGGCAACCGTAAACCACGACGTTGCCGCTGCAAATGACAAGATTTCGATTGTAAATGGCAACATCGCCGCTGGAAACGGTAGCATTGGCGGTTCAAGCGTCATAAACGACAATACCAATAACGATAATAAATAAAACACGATATATAGTACGAAAGTTTTAATTTATTAACATTTAAAAAATTACATATATATCTAAGAATATCCTATACTTAGTTTAAGACATTATTTATTGCAGCTGCCACAGTTGATGGAGAGATAACAAAGCAAATATTATCTGACAAACTGATCTGAAGCAGCGAAATGAATGGGGGCAAAGGTAAATATGCGCATAACCTTTTTGCTATTGGCCAGCGCAATTTTATGCCCTGGAAATAGTGGAAATACTGACTTGTATTATAAAATATCCAGTGGCGAGGTTATTGTATATTGTATTTTATACTTTTAACTTGATTTTTGCATATTATAATTAGTTTTTCAACAAATATTGCTATATATAAGGTTTGTTCCAACCCGCCGCAGAACCGTCACCGAACGACTACGCTCGTGCGCAATAATTCAAATATGTTCCAACCGAGATTTGACGGTTATCGGACGATCCTATTTGCGTACCAACCTAACTTGGGATCGTTTAGTTACGATTTCAGAACGGTAATTTCGGTACATGGTCCAACTTGAGAACTGTTTGGGTTGACTTGCGCATTAAAGCATATTGGCAGGGATTATCGATTTTTAACAGCTGATTCTGGTCCGGCGTCCGGCTGATGCTTCTGTCTTTGTTATTTTTTACGAATTCGAATACGTGTGCGTTATACTTTTGCTTGTGAGTTTGTGTGGAGTAAATCGTTCGGAAATTTTAATTAATTTTTTATTTATTAAATAATGTTCAAAGATTCTACTCCTGCAATAAAGTAACAGGATACTACGCATAACAGGATCATAAAAGAGAGGATAGGTAAGTGAATTAGTGAGTATACAGTTGAAACAACATTGACCAACAATTACTGGATTCTGATTCTCCATTTCAAGAATAATACTTATTATTGCAAATTGCAAACAAAAATAATAGGGTTATGTTATTATTTTCTAAACAATCGACCCAATCAGTACTTAAAATTCTAGGAAAGTACATCATGCGTTCAGCTTCACGATTTAATTAAGTCTCCTGATACTTTATTTGTTTATTTATCAACGAGTCATTGTAATTTTCCGTATAGCTTGTAAATTTTTAAGCGCAAGTTAGAAACACTTGCACTTTTGGTAAAAATAAGTGGAATTGAGTGGGTGTTCGACAGTGGTCGCGCTATTAGAACTATGAATTCAAAAATCGATATCACGAAATCCATTAGAAATAATCGACTGTAGTTTTTTTTCAAAACCTTGCTTAATATTTCTGCTATATTTTCTTTGCAGACAGTATGTGAAAATCTTTTATAAATAAAAAATTACACGATTGCTGAAAATTGCTACGCACTAAAAGTAAATGGATTGTTTTTTTTTAATTTTTGAATGAAAAAAAACAAACAAGGATTTTTTCTTATTTAAACATATTGTAAAAGATCCGAATTTCGAAATAAAAAAAGTTTCAATATCTAAAATAGTTCTTGAGTTATTGCGTGTTATATGTTAAAAAGTTCAGTTTTTATTATCGCGATTACTGACGTTTTCTCGTTATAAAAAAATAGACACCCTCCTTATAATTCCATTTCAGATGCTCAGAAACATATATCTAATGATTTTATCTAGTTATAATTTCGAAAAAATGTCTTTTAAAAATAAGCGAAGTTTGCGATCGGGATTTTACTTTACTTGATAGGGAAAGGCGTACCGGAGAAGTGTGGCAACGCCGCAACAGCACACCGTCTCATTTATCTCACTCCGACTTAACAAGATCCGTATGCGATTTACTTCCACACGTGTAAATACCGACCCAAAAGTAAGAGTTGCCAGCACGGTATACATTTAAAGTAAAATAATATTAAAAGGTTTACTGGAAAATATTATAGAACTTCCTGATATATTTTCATAAAACACCTCACTCTCCTGAATATTTGTGACGACTTTGTTTTTAGACTGCGTTCCCCTTACTATTATCCCGTTGTATGTTTCAGATCTGTTTGTCAGACTGTAGACACTCTGATGAAATTTGCAAATGTTTTCTAGTAATAATAATAATAGAAAAGTTTCCAGGTAGTAGTCGAAGTATTGTGATTAAAAATAAATCGAATACTACCATCAAACTACACTAAAATAGAGGACAAAGAAAACTGTAATAATTTATATATCCATTTTTTATAAAGACATTTTGATAAGCGATTTTTCGATTATTTCAGGATTGTTTGACATTCTATTTGGAAAAACCGATTATACATAAAGCTAAAAACGTCATTTTTAACCGTTAACATCACATTTACCACACGTATCGATTTGGCATTCAGGGTCGAACATTCAGACATCTAATTTATAGTTTATATTATTTCACAGACATTCAAACTATACATTTTCATCTGTGGTAACTAGTTAAACGAAAAGTAGATAAACTCTTTGTGCGTTTACAATACTTTAGCGTTAAAACGTTAATTAAAGGGATCGATTGTATCTCTATGCGAATATAAAGAGTATCGTGGATTGCGTGGACAGAATTTTTGACATTTTGACAGATGATGTACGCCCAATGTGGAGGTCAGCATTTTATGTTAGACATTTATTTTCAATATAATTTGTAGTATAATAAGAGAATAATAAGAAAATTCAGAATAAACCCTAAAAAAGTAACTGACTGATTTCCCAAGCTATTTTTTTTGCACGACACTAGTTGCATGAGACTAATATTTTTGTCTGTAGATATTATTCTAGGATGGAGTCCACGCAATTCAGATCACTCGGTATAAACTCTAATAAGTTATTAGCGAATATAAATTGTCATAGTACAGTGAAAAATATACCCAACAACGTTAAAAATCTTGAAAGAAAATTTGAATAAGTGATGTCTACTCACTTGTACCTAAGGCTGTATTCCGTTGCAAAACCAGGCGAACCAGACCGGTAAACTACGGTAAGGAGCGGTTCCTGAAAAACATCGGTTTGATACGGAACGGTTTGGTAAAATATTACGTCTTGGTCAAATGTTGACGTTTTCTAAATTTCAATACCTCTATTATAAAATTTATCTTTTACACATTTTTAATGTCCCTATTCTCTGCTTTTACGTTTGCTTCTTCTTTTCAGTGGAATTTAATATTGAAAAGTACTTTATTAATAAACTGTTAAACTCGTTAGACAGCTCAAGTGAAGATTTGCAGGTCCCATATTAAAACAGATCAATAATAAATAAACAAATCTAATCAATATTTATATCTTTATAGCTTACAAAACATTCACGATTACTTGTTGTCTTGTTTTTCATGTTTTCTTTAAATGTTCCTGACTTTAAGAAACAATGGCTGCATTGATAAGTTTAAATGGCCCTAAAAGTAATTCTATTTAGTTAATGAAATTTATTTACCTTTACTGCCTACCTCCATTGCTTTTGGATGTAAATACAAAATATTATTACAAATTTTAGAAATTAAATGAGAATTTCACTCGAACTTCCAATATTTGCTTGATTTCTGTCACATAAATGACATTGATTCACAAACAAAACCAGAAAAACCAGCCTTCTCACGCTGGTTATAGTTTGGTGACAGTTATAACCGAATTTTTCAGGAATCGTGTTCCGTAATAAGAAAACTTTCAGGAAACCAATAGAAACGGAACATAAAACCATAACCAAGGTAAGCAACGGAATACACCCTAAATCTTCTGAAAGAATAATGAAAAAATTACTAAAAAAAAAGTTGTGTTTGCACCAGTGGCGCATCTAGAGGGCTAGGGAGTGCTTAGCCCCCCTTATGATTGGTGCGGGTCGTTTAAAATTGGTTTAAACCCCAAAAAGGAGATTTTAAAAGGATTTGAAGTACATGTTTGAAAAAGTGTAGTTTGAAATGTTGAAGAAGTAATAATAAGTAAAATTAACATTTTGTTTTCATATACATTTCAAAAAACTTATTCTTAACCTTTAATAATATTGAAAGTGAAAATTTACCTCATTTCAATTCTGTTTAGGTGCTGCTTTCAAAACTGTTAACGTTGTGGATTATTAAGTGCATATTTTGGCACCGAAAACTAAATTTAAATTCATCCAGACAACACAAAATGTTCAGACTTTAATTCGAATTACCCTGGTATTAATCTAGGTTTTTTTCGCTTAAAAACTTCTTTTAGTTTTACTCGTAAAACCGAAAAATATGTCTTTTTAATATTAAATTTTAGTAATTAAATAAGTAATTAATTACTAAATTTAAAACTTAAATTAAGTAATTAATGAATTCAAATTATTAATAAAACAAAAATAATGAGAAAATTCTCAAATAAAAATCTGAAATTACATTAATTATTAATAAGTATTAAACGTTATGTAGCTATTGTATATATAAAAAAACATACATTGCTTAAAAATTAATTTTATGAACATATTTTGGAACACTTGTATATGGTGCCATATAATTAAAAAAAAACGTCATCACAGTAGCCTTTGAAATGACGATTGATGATGATTATCGTTAGATCGACTCCTAGATGTAATTTATTAAAAACTGACATAAACCCTTGCCAAAAACATAAGATTTAATATAGAAAAAATTAAAAAAAATCCTAACATATAATTTTTATTGCCATAACTTGCTCTAAATTTGCAATAAAATTGAATTTTATTGCAAACTTAAAACCATAGTTTAGCTTTTCCTTGTTTTATGTTCAAGTGTAATTTTTAACAAGTTTCAACTTTTAATAACTGACATTGGGATTGACACTCAATTGTATCATCAATAGACATTTTCACGCCTACCTTGACGCCGTTTTATTTTCATCATATGCTAAATTATTTTATATATTATCTAAATTATTATAATGATTATTTGTCATGATTATACAGGGTGTCCCAATATTCCATGGACATAGAACTACTACGTATTTTTGGAATCAAACTTATAAATGCATTGAGCATAATTTAACTCTATACAAAAATACTTCGTTTCTCCGTTAGAGGGCATCAAACTTTAAAAAAATAAACGTATTTTTTAAGATATTTTAATAACCGATATTGGGGTGCCTATGTTTTGCTAAGTGCTTAAACATCACAGACTATCACAAAAATCCAGAAAAAGTACGGGAAGGGTGAAAACTACCCCCACCCCAAAATACATTTTAGTACAAATATTTTCCTAACCAACCCCCCGACGAAATATTTTTAAAATGATCCTTCTAGTATTTACTACATTTTTTGTCTGTTGTAAAAAAACGCCATCGCGCATAGTTATTGAGAAAAATAAATGTTTTTCCGAAGCTGACATACAAAAACTGTTTCTTGTCACATCAAGCTATGTATAGAATGTTCAGCCATCATTCAACGTCACGGCATTACGGCATTTCGAAAATTACTGCATATTCTTTTTAGTAATTCTCATCGTCATTTGATTTCAGGTTATAATTTTATTGACGGACATCGATCAATGTCAAAATTAAAATTTGTTTGTTGCTGTAAAACAAAATTCAATTTTTTTTTGCAAAAACGCCCTCAAAGATTTAACCAAAATGAACAAGAGCTCAATGTTAAGCTTATAAATTATTTCCGTAGGTGTTTTCTTTCTCTGTTCATGCCTGGCGCCCAATATTTATATTTTTGATTTTTTTTATTGTTAATTAGTTTTTCTCCAGTGAAATACCTTATCCACGACTGCTCTACCGATGAAAAGCTGCCGTTCGCAGTGGTAGTGTTTAAAATAACGTTATACTTTATTTATTCTGATTCTATAGACCGAAACAATAATAAATAGATAGAGACAGATGTCCGATAGACGGATGCACCATGTAGGGATGATTTATCTTATGTATAGAGTGCCCCACGTTGGGCGCCAAATAAGGTATAACGTTGTTTAAACAACTACTACTGCGGACAACATCTCAGGTTTAACATTGTATAAAATTTAACAAATTAAATAAAGTAATGCTACCCTTCATATATTTTCTATAGTCTTTTTCATGGAACATATTTAATACTATTTTTAATATATAACTTTCTTCAACATATAACCACTATAATTACTAGAGTTCTACAATGTTATTTACTATCAACAGAGTCCATGAATAAATATAGTCATTAATTTTAAGTAATATACAACTGTGTTTTCTTTCTCTGTACATGCCTGGCGCCCAATATCTATATTTTTTGTTTATTGTTATTAATTAGTTTTCTTTCCAGTGAAATACCGTATCCACGACTGCTCTCCGATGAAAAGCTGCCGTTCGCAGTGGTATATAGTGTAATATTCCTATCTAACTTACAAATTGATAGCGCTTTTAAATAATATAGTGAGTTGCTGATGTTTGAAAAATAGAAATTTCAACAGTCCAAAGGATTGGAATTAAAAGGATCGTAACTGGTGAAGAAAGTTCAAGAAAAAATTAATAAACGCCGAAAAAAAAACGGAACTCGCTCAATCAATAATATAGGAACGTACTTAAAATTTTTCTAAACAATATGAACTGATTTCAGGCACACCCTAAAACTGATATTTGACAAATAATGATGAAGAAACGGGGAACGATGGCTGAATAGGCTTTAGGTATATAAAATCTAATGCGCTTATAATCTATATAGTTGGTGAAAATACGGAATTTTATGTTAGTGTCACAAATGGTATTTGACAATAAGCTTCATAAAGGGTATAGCCGGATTAATATGGGAAATCTGCCTCTACGGCTTTTTTGACTCGCACTCAAGCGATCGATTTGGTGTTGAGTCAAAATAATTCACCTAATTTTTTAGCTCTTTAACTTAAACGGTTTTCGAGATTTTCAAAAAACCTGTTTTTTCAATTTTATTTTTATTTTTAAAGTAAAATTCAAAATTAATTGATGATTTTTTTTTTCTAATTCTTAAAAATCTAAGACATGAAAAAAGGATACGATCATGATTCTTAAACTAAAATCCGATTTGTAACCGAGGAAAGAAAATTAAAATCTTCATAGCCTAACCTAACCTTTGTGAAATATGTCACTCACTAAAAATCGTCAGAAAATGTCTTTTATACTCCTTTAAACTGAAGAATTTTTTGAAGTGGTGGAACAATATGAAAAAAATTAAAAACTCATTTTTTTTCTAAAGTCTTCGGTTTTTAAGTAACTTATATTTTTTAGTTTAAAAAAGTGAGTAGAAAATATTTTTTCATTAAAAATATATCCTTGCCAGAAATAAACATAAAGATTATTATAAAAATCAGACCAAGAAGATTTTAGAAGAAAAAAAATTGTTTACATAGTCTTTAATTTTTTTCATATTGTTCCACCACTTCAGAAAATTCTAAAAAATTCCTGAGTTTAAAGAAGTATAAAAGACATTTTCTGACGATTTATAGTGAGTGACATATTTCACCAACGTTAAAAAAATTAAGATTTTAATTTTCTTTCTTCCGCTAAAAATCGGCTTTTCGCTTAAAGGAGCCCACAGACGATCAATATATTTGCGCAATAATATTGTTAGTTATCTCCAAACAGTACAATAAATTTGTTCAATAACTAGTTTCGTTTTGCACTTTGGTTAAGATGGATAAGAAAAATCAAGCTGCTATTGCTTATCAATTGTTTTCTATCAGCGTCTGGGTATTTTTCCTTATATTTCCCTAGTAGTTCATCATATTGTTCATTTTTTTATCTCTGTTGTTATATTCTTTGCTTTTTGTATTCCGTAAGGCTGGCAAAGAATGGTACATTTCGATGACTTCTAAAATAAATCGTCTTTCTTCCTCTTTTGCTTTTGATCCCATATTTGCTGACAAACCATTGATCTAAATATTCTAAATAGAGCCGAGCAGCGAGACAAACACGCAGAGAAAACAAAAATATACTGAACTATTGTGCAATATTATCCACACACGATACAAACTAATCACTATTGCACTATAAAAATCAAACTGTTTTTGACTGACACAATATATTGTGCAACCTTTCAATGTGAACCCTAAACGGTCAATATTATTGCACAATATGAAATATTGCGCAATAATATTGACCGTTTGTGGGCCGCTTAAGAAGCATGATCATATTATTTTTTTACGTCTTAAGGCTTCTAAGAATTAGAAAAAAATCATCATTAATTAATTTTCAATTTTACTATAAAAATAAAATTGAAAAAACAGGTTTTTTCAAAATCTCGAAAACCGTTTGAGTTAAAGAGCTAAAAATTTAGGTGACTTATTTTGATTTAACACCAAATCGATCCCCTGAGTGCGAGTCAAAAAAGCCGCGGGGCAGATTTCCCATATTAATCCGGCTATACCCTTTCAAATTAATTAACGTTCAGGTTTATTTGTGATTGATGCCCTCTAACGGACAAACGAAGCACTATTTTATAGAGATAAATTGTCTCCAGTAAACTTATCTTGATTCCAAAAACATGTAGTAGTTCTATGTCCACAGAATATTAGGACATAATGTAGAATGGTTTTCAACGTATGTTATTAATGAAATAATCTAAAGTTACAACAACCAAAATTTGAAATACTAAAATAATTTAGAAAAAAAAAGTAAAAAAATTATAAAATAAAAAAACAACCTTTGACATCAAATCCGATACATTCAAACCGGGTCGCGTAAAAAAACGGTATAGCGGTACATGTTTTATATAATATGACATTCACACTACCTAACACCAATATGGTTACCATCTGAATAGTTCCAATTTCTCAGTCGATTTCATCTATTATTTCAATTTAGAATTTTCGTCTCCATGGAAGCAGTATTCTTAAACATCTAATGACGCCTCTCGGCAACGTGAAATTGAAACTATCGTCCAACAAATGTCATTGGGACTTCATGCTGACCAATTTCCGACTCCTGGCCCTCGCCTCCTGTCGCGTGTTCGTGTACTCGAACCAGAGCACGTTGGGAATCAATGTCGTGTCCCTTATCATTAGGATTTCGGAAATTCTCCTACAATATCACAGTTCACTTTGTTAAATGGTACCCAGGCTGAGCGTGCATTAGAATGTTCTAGAGAACTACAAGATCTAGATTGGAGATTTTACTGTTTCACAACGAGATCTATCGATTAAAAATATTTTCAATATGGCGGCACTTCCAGAAATACCGGAAGTTGACAACAACTTTTATTTTAAATGGGTATTCTCATTTTTTATTATACAGGGTGTTTCAAAACAAAGAGGAAAATGCATGTTTTTAAATAATGGTTTTAAAAAATAGTTCATATAATTACAAATTGAACAAAAAAAATCGTTGATATCGGTTAAGAAATGCCTCTAATATAAAATAATTAAATATTGTTAATTTAAATGGCCGGGCAAACGCTCTCTACCGCGTCTTGCCGCTGTGACGTCACCCGCCGTTCTTCTGGTTGAGTGGAGCCAGACGCGTGTTTATTTTACACAGGTTGCTTTTAAACGCTGTTGAATCCGAGTCAAAATTTTAGTTATTTGTGTTAATTAATACATAATTAGTAATTTGTGATATTTATAAATAGTAATGGATGAGCGCAAACATAAAAGAATGGTCCAAGGCCATGAGAAGAGATGAAAAGAAAAACGTTAAATTATCCTCTATTTTTACGATTTATTGTTGTGAAGATCATTTTGATGTAAGTTCATATATTTATGTATATTGTCTTACATAGGTATATGAAATATGAATGTACAGGGTTATTCATTATATTTTGACACCCACATACAGATTTAACTGCAAGTTTTAGAAGAAAACAATAAATAAAAAAGTTGCATGGTTTTTCATATACTCTCTTTTAAAATTAATTCTAGTTATACAGGGTGTCTCAAAAAAGGTGGTCCAGAAAATTGTAGGTATTTTTCGCTTTTCAACTGTCAATATTTCGTAAACATTTGAAGATAGGTATAGGATATTATACATGAAATATATCTAGAATATCTAGAAATTTCCGAAGAATCCAAAAATATATAGGGTGTTTCACTTAAAAAAGTAACTTAATTTTGGCGTTTGCTTAGACACCTTGTATAATATTTTCATTACTGATAAACAATTTATTTCCTATAATTTTGTAAAAAAAACAATCTTTAAAAATAACAAGGGTAAGGGGGTGTCAATATATAAAAAAAAACTTTCTTTTTCACGCTATGCTCTGGGGTTATTTTTCCACGTACAAAACAAATATTTTTGTCTCTTTTCACTTCTACATAACCTACAGCATTATCTCCATACGTCTCCCTACCTGATCTGAAAAATAAGTTTATAACATTAATATTTATAATAAAATTATATAAGGATTCTTGCCACTTAACTGCTAATATAGAAATTTAATTCTACGCTGTGTTTGTCATAATGCGGATCAACCTGCTCTCACTACCGGTTTAGGAGCCCTACTCCATCATCAGGTGAGCTTGGGAGCAGGTTGATCCGCATTAAGCAGGCATTTATAATATAGGAAATTCAAATAATTTGTTTTCTGACACATGGAAATAAATTGTCTGACTGTTAGACACTTAATGTCAAAGGAAGCTAGATAAAATCAAGAAAAATATATATATATGTCTTCAAACTAAATCTTAAATAACTTAAAAACTATTTATTTTAGGCATAGGAACATGTATAGTTAAAAAGTAACGAACTGAAAAACCTTTTCACTAGTTAATTAAAAAAAGTGGGTTTACATTTGAAAAAAATGATTTATGATATTTTTTTAATCGATCAATTCCATGACAGCTACTGCCATTAATATATGACATATGAACAATTTAATTTTTGAAATAGATAGCCACATGTCTTCTCTTTATGTCACAGTGGCTGTGGTAACCACTAAATTTGACATTTAGAGTATACAAATTTTTTTGACAGGCAATTTTTTTTCTCCAAATTTTTCTCAATATTTTTTTTTCTCAAAACCGGTTAATGTTAGGTATAGAGTGTTTGATATCAAAATTCATAAAATTTTAAGGAGAATTTAAGTATATAATAAAAAATGGAGGTACTCATTTAAAATAAGAAAGTTGCTGTCAACTTCCGGTATTTCCGGACGTGCCGCCATAATGAAAATATTTTCAATTGATAGCTCTCATTGTGAAACAATGATGTGCAAAAAATCCCCGGTCTAGATATTGTAGTTCTCTAGAAACTTCTAATGCACGCTCAACCTGGGACACCCTGTATACTAAGGGCTGGCAAAGGTTAGATTTGGGTCGAGACTTCCGTATGTAAGTATCCGTAAAGTAGATGCGGTTTTCACATTACTGTGCTACTTTTTTGTGAAACTAAAGAGATTTTAACAAGCTGTGTTCACCATCTTTAGTTTCATAAAGAAGTAGTACAAGATGTGAAACCCACATCTTTGTATTTCTACTCATATACGAGGAACCCCACAAAACGCACGAAAATGGGACACACTGAGTATTTATTTTTGTACACCTATTTACGGAAGATATTTTGATAAACTTACCAACTAACCACCTGAGGGAATAATGGAGTAAAGACTAAGGATGTCAATGCAAACCAGAAAGTTGCGAATAAAAATCCTACGACGACACCCCATACAACTTGAGACAGTGAGTGGTATTGTAAATATACCCTACTTATACAAACTAAGACGGCCACTACCATGGACGACGAGATAATTAAGAATTTCGAAATATTTTCAATAATCGTATTATTGTTCATATGATGAAGCCTAAAATTTCAAATTATTGAAAAAATTTCATATAGAGTAATCATAAAACAATTTCCGATGCACGTGATCAACTTTGAGTGACAAGCGATGGCGACAGCGTTGCCAGATTGTGATGGATTTATGAGATGAATCTTAATTTAAAATTGACAAACAACATATTTATTATTATCATTTTTTAAAGAGTTTTACGTTTCATTTTTAATTTAATAATTAATATTTTAGTGATTAATTGATTTATTTGTTTTATGGGATATTTTAATGTAATAAGTATTATTGGCATAAACTAGTCCATTATGAAGATTATCATAAGCGTTATTATGGGTTATTTATTTATTGATGTACATCTTACACCATAAGTGGTAATAAAAAGTAAGAAGGTGCTATTAATGCATAAACTAATAATCACAGAATTTAATAAAAACTAACTTTGAAAGTGGTATAATGTGCTTATCAATCAAACTTACTTTTCTGACTGCAGTCAAGAGTAATAAAGGACCTTTATTGTCACGTTCTCGTTCAAAATAGTTTTAAAAAACAGGGAAGCTACAAGCTCTTTGCTTCGACTGTTTAAATGCTTCGGCATATTTTCAACACACAATTTCAAGAAATGCAATACAAAAACTCGAAAATTTAGTTCTTAAAAGAACTGTTTGTGCTTAACAGTGCAATTTAAAAAAAAATATGAAAATAGGCAAAAAACGAGAATTACTCACAAAGATTCAACGACAACTCGATATTATACAAAATAATGACTGATACTAGGATAATTGTGAAATAATAAAGGACAACATTGCTGAACACGGCGCAATGTGACCAACATAGCGATAATAAAATTCGGTTTAACTAATTTTTGCAGCTTTAATCTAAGTAAAATTTCTGTTACAATCATTTGCTCTATAAAGTAAAATGAAGAGCTGCTCGGTATCTTAAATTATACAACAAATTTAAACATTTTTGCCAAAATTTCATTTAGTGAGGTTTATAGACTTTAGTGTCAATGTCGCTATGATTGATGACGTCCATCGGAAAATGTTTTGCGATTACAATAGAGTCCAATTTACGAAAAATAACGATTGCATGCATCAAACTCAGAGTGATTTTACATTTCACACCCATTTTATATATATTTTAGTATCATTTTGCTTCCACTCATTAATTTTTTCTAATGCCAATATTGGTTTAACGCCTGGCATTTTTGAATAAACATATTCTGATATGCAATCGTCAACTTTCGCGAAAATTACTGTAAGGCCCAGCGCCTACGGTGCTTCTGTTTTGTGACAAATGTTGCAAGCTGCTTTTTCCGAATATGCTAGTGAGCTCTCGTTCCATTTGAAAAAATTGGCGCCTGGAGGCACGTATAGTCGCCCATACTAAAATAAGTTAATAAAAAGTTGGTAGGCAGTTCTTTTAGTTTCAAAGTAAAGGAATTTTTCCAATTTTGGTCTGCGGTTATTTCCCCTATCCGCCACCTGGGGTCGCGTCCGATGGGAGTGTGGAGTTCTCCACACGGATTTTCTCAAAAACGGACTACGAAAACACGGAATATCTCAAAAACTGCGACTTTGACTGATTTTGATGTTATTACAAATTTTGTTGCAAATATTATTCCTAATCTTAAATTGAAAACCGCGTTTCGCTAGCTACTGTAATTTTGAAGTTACGATTTTTTAAAATGTTTAACCCCCTCCCATACCCCCTTAACAACCCTTCACCCCCACCAAAACACTAATGGCCAGATTCTCAGGTGCCACAGTATTTTTGTGCCAAATTTGGTTAAAATCGGGTTAGCGGTTTTTGAGTTATCGTGTTACAGACGGACAGACAGACACCATGAAAATATTTTGTATTTAGGTCATTTATAACCCAAATAACTCATTTTGAGTGAAATTAAAAAAACTTTTTTTTGCCGATCTTAATAAAGTCCCAAATTGGGATATGATTAAAAATACGATTTGGGAATCTTTTAACCGGCCAGGACAACACACTAAAAACATTAGACGATCAAATCTATTTTTCCAAGGTTCCATTTCTTTATAATTATAAACTTTCTAGGGTACTCCAGGAAAGACGCCATAGAGAAGGCATATATGGATGGAGCCAGTACTCTTTATGAGTCCTGCATTGTCTACGGTATTTATGATAACTAATGAGGCCTTCATCATCTGATTCTGAATATTCCAAATGAAATTGTAATTTTTTTTAATTGAACTTCTACACCAACTGATTGAAACTGATTCAGTGACTTGCATCCGTGTTCAAGCAGTTTCATTTTAATTGGAAACTGATTGTAGAGTAGACTAGTTTGCAACTTTTGTCTCAAAATTTTCACGTTCATGGTGCAAAAATGTTGTATGGTGGAAAAAAATACAGGCATCAAGTTACTTAGAAATTACATGACATTATCATATTATTTTATATACAGGGTTGCTCATACATGTTGTCATACATAAGGGAATGATCCCACACAATGATTCTAAATGTTGGTGAACATTCTCCAGTCACAAACAGGAACATTCTTTCTATTACAACACTGTACAGGGTAAACCAAAAGCTTCTTATTAACTTTTAGTCCAATTGACTGTTTTAAAAAATATGCAACCCATATAAAATGAATGATTAACTTGACGCCGTGTTTCTTTTCTATCATACAGTGCATCCTTTATACCTTACAAACACGAAATATATTATGTATGTTGCAAAAAATGAAACAAATTGAGCATGAGACGAGGGCATTCCATATTCCACGTAAACATCTTCCCTGCGAATCGGTCTTTTATCACATATTAAATGTTTTAGTACATAATTTAGACATTCTGAACATAGCGTCCCCAAGAAAAATGTTATCTGAAACGTATTTCAATGAATTCTTTTAAATTTTGATTCATCTGATTATATACTTACAGTATGTAAGTCACGTCTAAATAATATCAAAGCGACAAATCCGGCACCAATACCAAATGGGGCTAAACTAATTAGAGCTAAAAACTTCCCAATTATATCACCTGTAAAACATAATATTTGAATAAATTGCTCATTATAATTAAACATATAAAGAAAAGTTTAAAAGGCCCTAAGGTTTAATGTTTCTTACCTTTAGGGTATTCTACTAGAGTTAATGAAAGGGGTACCCATTTAGTTGCATCACTTTCTTCTGAGTTTGGAATGGAGTTTGTTAATCTAGATGCCTCAATTTCCATCTTGCATTTTTTATATGAAAGGTTTACGCGAAGGTTTACTAACTACTAAAATGACTGTTTCTATACGTTCGATTCATTAATTTTTATAAATTTCTTTGTTTAATTTATAGAAACTACAAAATTTACATTTAAAACTTCAGTAACAAAACACACTCGACGGCCACCCAAATCCCAAATCACATCCCAAATGTTACCCACGCCGTGTTATGTCAAAAACAGCTGATTAGTCTGACATAAGACTATTTGGAAGACCGAAATCCTAAAAATCGAAATTCGAAATACGAAAAATTGAAACCGACAGTTGTGCATTTTGGCTTTTTATATTTTCTGTTTTCTAATAAAACCGTTAACATTTAACATTAAACCGCGGTTTAAAAAATGCTTCTCGCTTTTTAGATTTTTACACTCCATAGAATGTCCATAGATACTAATATCGTATTTAAATATTTATTATAAAATTTACAGGTGTAAAATTAAAAAATATAAAAATACTCATTTCTAACGTGTGTTTTTTTTAACTTTTTATATACGTGTGTATTTCATTATATAACTGATGCTGGTATCTTTTTCAGCTGTTGTACATGCTGTACTTTTATAAATATAAAAAAAATCGATGAAAAATCTAGCTCATAGATTTGGCTGGATTTGGCACTTCATCAAGGTCGTTTGCCATTTTCAGGCATCTGAAATTAAATTTTTATGTTTCTTGAACTTTTCCATAGCCGCATCATCAAATGTCCTCAGAAAAAGTAAAAAAATGGTCAAAGTTCAAGCGTGATTACCGCGTTATTTTTGAAATTGATAACTTTGTCAAAGTCATTTAATTAATATCGTTAGAAGACAAAAAAATTATGGTCCTATTAAGTAACAAATAAAGGTTCAATTCAAAAATTTACCTATAATAACATTTTCCCGTAAAAGAGTATAATTAAGCAACTATGGCTCTGCGCAGGATCTTAAGTAGAAATTATCAAGTAATACTCAAAAAGTAAGTAAGTGGGATATATCATTAAACTGAATAAAAAATTGCCATTATTTATTGATAAACATTTGGCCTTTGATCATGTTAGTATGTATTTATATATTTATTTATAACATAGATGTTTAGCTTTCAGCCTCATGTATTTATAGAACGCCAAAGAATAATGAGTTTGGTAAACAATAGTATTTCCACTGGGTATCTGTTTTCCACTAAACCGCAAAATGGAAGTGAGACTAGTGGAACCTTAAGCGAATGTAAGGGAGTTTGTTTGTTGTTTTACTGTAATTTATATTATACTTATGTGATTGCAGTAAAGATGCAACTAGCTAAGGAAATGGGCGTAAATCACCCATTTACACCTGTACTTAAAACACGTTTAAGTCTAACTGAATATGTTCCTAAAAACCAAGACGACTTACCAAAACGGTCAATGCAAGACAGTTATATCGCCACTGTAATACCTCTTTCAGAAAATGTTGCCATACAAGAGAAATACACTACATTTCTTGGCTCTGTCAGGCTTGGCAGATTATTAGAAGACATGGATATTTTTGCCGGTGAGTAAAATTAATTTTTCCATATTTTTTTTATACATATAATTTTGTTTGCAGTGATTGTGGCACATAAACACATTTATAACCCCAACTTACCAAAAGATGCATTATTTCCTCAAACTTTAGTTACAGTATTAGTTGATAGGATAGATTTTACAGACTATCTTCCGAAGGTAATAACATTTTAAACTAGGGTTTCCATACATCCAGATTTACCCAAACAGGTTCTGGTTTCTAAGATGTCCAGGCTGGTCCGGTCGGAATTTGAAAAAATGTCCGGGAAATCTAACCATAAAAACAACTTAACTATTTTTGTTGAATATTTTAATTGTTACAATGTCACATACAGGGTGTTTCAAAAAACATGTGCCATCTCTCTCTGCTTTTCCATATCAACATAGGGCCGATTCTGCTTTGTTTTGTAGCTACAGGGTGTTAAAGGTAAAGGTAAGGTTTTCTTCCAAGTACCTACTTTTATTGTTTTGAATGAAATTTTGAGGGTAAAAGCTGCTATAAATGCGACATATTTTAAAGCTAAAAAAATGTTGACATTATAGGTCGACATACCGGGTGTTGCATCGTCGTTGAGAACATAGGAAATCCCATGCAAAATTTGAACTGTCCAGATATTGGCTCCCCTATGGATTTTATAGCGAAGTCGTAAATAGACTTTTTAAAGGTCTACATTTGGTAAACACACATGCCAAATCTGAACAATTTTGGACAAGTCGAGTTTAGGTAATTTGAAAAAAACTTAATTGATTTTTATATTAAAACCGAACAGGTAACAATCAAACACCAGTCAAAAACTGACATACCTTAGGTTTACAAACTATGATTTTGTCATTGTCAAAAGTAATTTTAATAAAATTTTAATATTTAGGGAAAATTAACCGAAACATGTCAGATAAACTGTCTAATCTATTTCCCGCGTATTTTATCATGTTCACTTTTTCTTTATGTGTATAACAATAAATTATTACTAGTACTGAATATTAAAATTTTATAAAAATTAAGTTACGTTTGAAAATGACGCTGGCAACTTAAGGAATGTCGGTTTTTGTCTGGTGTTTGATTGTTACCTATTCAGTTTTAATTTAAAAATCAATTAAGTTTTTCTCAAATTACCTAAAATCGGCTTGTCCAAAATTGTTCAAATTTGGCATGTGTGTTTAGCAAATGTAGACCTTTAAAAAGGCTATTATCGACTTAGATAAAATCCATAGGGGAGCCAATATTTGGACAGTTCAAATTTTGCATGGGATTTCCTATGTTCCCAACGACGATGCAACACCCGGTATTTACCAGGGACGTGCATATGGGTTATCACTGGAATATTTTTCTAAAAAGGGCATGTGCGCCACTGACCTTTTACTCTCGTTAGCGAAATGGTGTAAACAGTTTCATGCCGATTAAAAATTGACTCTTCATATTTTGTCGATTTCGGCCTCCTTGATGAGATAAAGGCAACTTTATTAATTTGCCTTGATCCAAGTCAAGAGATAATCGTTTTTTTTTTTGAAAAATATTCCATCAATAACCCATATGCACGTCCCTGATGAATTTATATCGACACTTTTTTAGCATTAAAATATGTAGCACTCGTAGTAACTTTTACCCTCAAAATTTTGTTCGAATCACTAAAAGTAGTTGGAAGAAAATTATAATAAATCGAAAAATTATTAATATATTTCGTATTATTTAGTTTTTGTTTGTTCGCAAAGTTTTATTGTTTTTTTATTTTGAATAATAAAATGTTTCGGTCGGTTCCTTTTTTTTAATTCGTATAAGTTTTTTCTTTATATGTTAACAAGTAAATATGCATTAAAATGTTGCTTGTTACTGTTTAACACGCTAAATTTTTCAATAAAATATTTAAAGTTACAGAATATTTAAAAAATATAAATGCGCCCGGTCGTGTGATTCTAAAGTACGCGCCTGCCCGAGGGTTAAAGTTCTTTTTCGAAAACGTTACTAGCCCTTAAACTATTACCTACATACTTAAATATTGTTTTTTCACATATTCACAATTTATTTCTCGAAGAAATCCGATTTTTGTCCAGATTTTAGTACTTGTCCAGAAATTCCAAAAACTTATATGGAAACCCTAATGCGCATTATCATCAACATCTCCAAATACATTTAGAATTTTATTTATTTTTAGCCAAATAAAGATATTAAAATCTCAGGACATGTAAGCTGGGCTGGTAGATCGACCCTCGAAGTCGTAGTATGGTTAGAGCAGCTCGAAGATGGCAACTGGCAAAGAATAACAAGGGCGGTGTTCCTTTTGGCCGCTAGGGACCCCACAAATTCTTACGCCACTCCAGTAAACGCCATAGAACCGGCAAACGAGAGAGAGAAACAGATTTTATCAGGTGGCGAAACCAGAAAAAAGCGTCGATTAGACATAGACACCACTCACGTATCAAAAAAACTCCCCAGCGAAGAGGAACAAAAAATAATCCATAGCATTTACACTAAGGTAACGGATCCGAATCACTTCAGCAGTACAAATAGGACTCTTTCTCCAGGAGCTTCTTGGATGAGCGACAGCACTATATCCAACGTGATCCTAGCGCAACCGGAAGACCGTAATTTGCATAATACGGTGTTTGGAGGGTTCCTAATGAGGCAGGCTACTGAACTGAGTTGGGTTTTAGGGTATATGCACTGCAAGTACAGGCCAAGGACGAAACATATAAGCGACATATCTTTTAAGCAGCCTATATCGGTAAATTCGCTTATCAGGATGCACGCCACTGTCGTTTTTACTTACGAGAACTACATTCAAAATTTGGTATTCGTCGAGGTGTATAATCCTGTCACCGGCAAATCGTCTACCACAAATTCTTTCCATTTTACTTTGGAAGCGCCAGATAATGTTCCAGATGTGGTTCCAGTGACTTATCACGAAGCCATGTTGTACGTGGACGGTAGAAGACACTTTTTCAACACTTTTACTAGCGGTAGTATAACGGAGAACTTTAAGAACAAGCTGTGATAGATTTAAGCGATATTTCGTTGAAAGCTTTATTTTTTTCGGTATGGACGACTTATTTATTTCCACTTAAGTATTTTTTATTATTGATAATGATATTAATTGGTGTTGTGGTAGAATAATATATGTTGATGTTTTCACCTGTTGTTTTATTAAAGAACAGAAACTAATTCATAGTATTTATATAGGGTTCCCAACCGTCCCGGTTTGACCGGGATTAACCAGGAATCAGAAAGTTTGTCCCGGCGAAAAATTTGCCTTGACCGGGACCAAAAAAATCACATTTACATATAATATATTTGAATTTCTAATATTTAATGTTTTGTTTCAATTATTTAAAAACTTAAAAATAATTGTCCCGGAATCGCCGATGCTCAAGTTGGGAACCCTATATTTATAATACGATAACAGGTCAAAATAATTTCAATAACACAATAACCGCATTTGCCATAAATAACTTCTACAATTGGTAAGTTTGGTATTTTATGCTACTATGCATGTATACCAGTGGAGAATTAACAACAAAATCTTACATTTACTTACAAAAAAGAATCCGGTCTGGTCAAATTTTTCTTTTGACGCGATTGATTGCAGCGCCATTTTTATTTAGTGAGAATTTTTGGAACTATTATCTAAACGATTATGGCGCCACCATGCGGAAAGTTCTAAAAGTAAGCAAATTTAGGTTTCTGTTTTTATTTTGTATAGGTGGCGCCATCCTGGGTTGAATGTTTAAGCTAATCATTTATAGATTTCTATAAAAAGAAACAACTAGTGCTCTCTAACGTTAAATAGTTGTACTTGTAAAGGAATTTTGCTATAAATTGTTTATTAAAAATATTCGATAGGACATTCATGAATTTTGAAATTTGAATGTGTATACCTGGTGTATACTTATAATATCATCCCATTGCTGCCAAAAGTCACTAACTTACTTTTTATTACTTCCGAGAAAAATGCGTCTAAAGATGAATTGCATTGCATAAAGATGTTATAGTTAGTAACTATTCGGTATTAAAATAAAACATAAACAGCCAGAAATCGTAGTTAATTACTTTTGCAATCGATTCTCCGCTTCAAAACATAGTTAGTGATTGAATTTGGTTGTTCGGAAAAATGTTAGTTAGTGACTTTTGGCAGCAATAGGACGATATTATTATATTTATATAGTACGTCAATACCTGTCAATACAGTGTCCAAACATGGTCCAAACATGGTCCAAACAGCTAAAATAAAACACAAAAATATAGTATGAAAGTGTTTATTATTCCAAATTGAATAAAAATAAATAATTAGCGTAAAAATACATATATAAACGTAGAAGACTCTATACTAAAATAAAGCTAATATTTTACAACCAACAAAATGGTTTGACTTTTTATATTAAAAGAAATTAACATAGAACCACAAATAGAACATATAAAATTTTTTATAACAAAGGAAGACTCTGATATGGTAGTCCTGTAAGTAATATATTTTAAAAATTAAAATAATTAATATTTTAAGTAGACTAGGTTTGCAAACTTTTAAACTTCATTGATTATTAATAAATATTTTAATATTTGACTGATGTAGAACTTACAATAATTATTTTAACAACAAAAAAATTATTTAGTATAAATTAAATCTAAATGTTTAAATATGCTGTTAAAAAAATAAAATAGTTTTACATTTAAAAAAAGTAGGATATTCAGAACATTAACTGACCTGAGACATTATAATTACTGACTAGGAAAATTATTCTAAAAACAACCAACTTTATAAAAATAACTTTCAGTTTACACTTAACGATAAAACCTAAATTACTGATATAAAATAAGTGTAGATAACCTCTAAATAAATGTAGAGGATTGATTTTGGATATTTCAACGCTAACGAAGAAAATAAAAACAAAACAAATAAAAGATTTATAAATTTATCTTGATATATAAAGAGTGCCACATTATTCCCTGGATATAGTACTACTAGGTATTTTTGGAGTCAAACGAGTAATGGCAGTATGTAACCCAAAACATCGAGTTCAATAAAAACTGGATGTCCTCTAACAAAGCACTTTTGTATGAGGGTAAATTGTGTCCAAGTAATATATTTAGTTCCGAAAATACATAGCAGTTCTCTCCCACGGGATATTGGAACACCCTGTATGTAGGTACTATATTATTAAATGTTTTTTCTTAGAACAATTAATTCTCTTAACATATAAAAGTTTTAAAAAAATAATTAGATAATAAATCACAAATAAGAGATTTTTTAGATATGTATGTGTGCATTACACAAATAAAGAGTTGAATATATGAAAATTGACACATATCAAAACAACTTTTTTCTTTGATACTTCATTTCCCAACCTCCCTTTTTATATGTTTAAAGACAATATTTTTACAGTTAGCCGCCATGACATATAGTATAATAAAAAGAAACATGTCCTGTATGGTCAAAAATAATATACAATATGAAAAAACGGCGTCAGCGATGGCTATGAAATGAAGATCGCTGTCATTTTATATGTAAAATTATATATGGCATGTCATCAATGTTCATTTCCGAACCAACTGGTCGCCGTTTTTTTTCGATCATACGGTATTTAAGTAGGCTATGAAAACTTATTAGGTTAGTTATCAATGTCAGAAAAAATATCATAAATTCGAGTGCCAAACCTAGAGCCAAATTTAAATAACAGCGACATTTCATGCCCTGCTTGATGGTGTTTATTTATTTATGACCATACGGAATTTAAATTTATACATACAGGGTGTTTTAAAAATGCACGGCTAAATTTCAGGTGTTCCCCATCAAAAAATATGAAAAATAGTTCCTATAAACATGGAACCAGAAATGTATAGTTTTAAAGAAACAGGGTATTAAAACTTTTAAAAAGTAGTTTTTTATAATTATCTTAAACACTATATTTTTTTGGAATTTGCTATAGGTAGCACTTAATATCAAAGCTAATAAATTGTAATTTATTAGCAAGATTTTTAATACTGGTTGCAAATTCAAACTTATTTTTTTAATTTTTTTTTCTCGGCATCGGTTCTAGATAGACATATGGTCCAAGAAATCATTGGCGTACATTATTTATCAATAATTCTCGGTAATTTGAAGTTAATAGTTTTAATTTATCATTATTACTACACATAACATTGAAACATTTCAAGAAAGTCGACTGGAAAATGTTTTTTTATAAAAAGTTTAACATCGTATCATTAAAACTACGCATTTCCAGACCCACGTTTATAGAAACCTTTTTTCATATTTTTTGATTATGAATCGCCTCCTGACCGTGTATTTTTTTAAACACACTGTATAATTTCTTTTTAGAAGAAATAAACATTTTTAAAAAATTTAAAGCAAAAGCTTAATAGGTACTTTTTCTGTGCCAAAATTTTAAAATGTTGCATAATATCTACAATTTAAATCTTAAAATATAGTTTTTTTAAACCTAACAAATATATAGATTCTCTGTGACAAAACCAAACCCAGACAAACAACTTGGGCCAACAATAATAAATGCTCCAACACAATTAGACAATTATATCATTGCAAATCAGTTTAGCATTATCCCTGACAGACATTTTAAATGTTATGTTACCCCAAAATACATGTAACTTTCAAATTTACTCTCCTTCGGGATCTTCGTCTTCGTCTTCGATTTCTTCCTTGGGTCTGGTCCATTTTATCATGGTCTCCGGCGAACGGAACAGGAATATCAATTTGGCAAATAGGTCTTCTTCTAGGGCGAATTCTCGCGCTTCTCTCACGAGGTATACGTCCAAGGTGAGCTGGAGGATACGGTCGACGTTGGGGAGATCTTCGAACATGATTTTAGCCACTTGTTCGGCGAAAACGCCACGCAGGATGCGCGAAGCTACTAAAACTAGGGTGGTGTACAGACCGATGATGCTAAAAATATAAAAAGAAAAATCAATCGCACGGAAAATTTCTGCCCACCCAGCTGCTAGGTACAGACATAGATAAATGAAACAAGTTTAGATTGGAAAGTGCCCATAAGGACAATGTAAATACTGTTTGGCGCTATTCTTGCAACGGTCGCGACCCAAAGCTTTTGATAATTTCGGAGCAGTTCGGCTTTTTCCGGAATTATGTCGCCAAGTATATGATTTATTCAAAAATTTATTATTTTATTTTAATTTTATAAATAAAACACAGTGTGTTGCATATAATGGTGCATTTAGACTTGAGCACGCACGCCCTGATCCTCCGCGAATGTTCAAGTGTAAACGGCTGTGCGCGCACGCTCACTCTTAATTTGTCTGTGCGCGAGCAGCCGCGAACGTGAGCCGTCTGGTGTCGGTTTTTGGTCCGTGCTCAAAGGGATTTTATGTGTGCGCGAACGCTTAATTTGCACCGGCAATTTGTTTTGCTTTCGTTCGTGCGTGCGTGTGTGATTTTTTTTCGTTTTCTTTATTAAAATTATGGAGTGGATCAATGAATCTTCGTTATTATTAATTGAAGAATATGAAAAGTTGCCTATATTATGGGATGTTAGGTTAGGTTAGGCATTCTTCTTCTTATTAAAAAAACAAAAAAAAATAACGCAGGACAAGACCTTTTAAATAAAATTAATATTGAGTATGTCGATATTAATGAAATTAGTATTCTAAAATTTGTATCTTTTGTTCCTAATTTTTGGTGTTATTAAATTTTGTAAATATTCAAAGTCGGGCCTGGTCATTCTTGTAAAGTTTTTGAACTGATCATAGCCCTCCTCAGACACTAAGTTGTTGCAGTAAATTATATCGATTTCTAAAAATTTGGGTTTGCCACCAGCGACGCCGACGATGTTTTCGATTTTTCTTCTTTTTAATAATAATTAAGCTGTGCATAATAATGACTGCAGCCCCGACTATTTCTTGGTGGTCCATTATTTTCGCCAGCGCAACTCTGCTGTGCGCGCACAAATGGATCACTTCATTCGTCGAAAAATAAGTTTTTAATTTGAACGGAGCCGAGAGCGCGAACGAATGCCGTACGCGCACGCTCAGCTCGTGCGTGCTCAAGTCTAAACGCACCATAAGAAACTTTGCGTATGAAATACCTATGAAACATTGGAAACCATTATGCCACGATGGTATTTGCATTTCAAAGTTCACACAGCATAAGTTTTTTTAATGCCACTTTTTCACAATTATCAGGGGTTTGAGAAAATAAGTTTGAGCAAACAAGATAGCAATCATTACTTTGAAAATGGGCGCTTTAAACACTTTTCGGTATTTTTTCAATGTGGGCGGATTAAATTTTGAAAGATTTTATAATATTTGAAGATTCAGACTTTGACAAGAGAACATTCTTTCAGTTCTTTGCGGTTGTTCTTAGCAACCGCTATAGCAGCTTGTAATTTCCAGTGAAACAGGAGAAAAAGTCCATAAATAAACATTCATTTTTTTTTTCAAATAAAGTTTCTTATATGCAAGACACTGCCATTTTATTTATAAAATTAAAAGAAAATAATAAAATGATAATAAATTTGAATAAACCAAATTTGGCGACATAATTCCGGAAAAAGCCGGACCGCTCCGAAATTATCAAAAGTTTTGGTTCGCGTCCGCTGCAAGAACAGCGCCAAATGGTATTCACATGTTCTTATGGGCACTTTATAATATAAACTTGTTCCGTTTATCTATAGTTTTCTTTAACAAACTTGAAATTTAACCTATGTTTTTTAGTTAAAACTGCGATTTTGATTGTAATAAAAAGCTAAAACCACTAAATAGTCGGAATCGGCAACTTGTCTCGTCTCTACAGAATTATTTTCAGCAAAAAAGGGATTATGACCGTTAGAAAGGTAAAAATTGATATTGTTGCTTAAGCGGCTTTTATTGAAAATACATAGATCTTTCAGCGTGTTTCAACTGCGTTCAATATCAGTTTACAGATGGTGTGAGTAGAATCTCACAAAAAGTGAAGACTAATGTCCACCAATTAGAACGTTACATTTTTCAGCTCTCATTCAAAAAATTTACTAATAACTTCATTTAATTAGAATTTGTTTTTGTAATGATCATGGACAAAGTAATAATGTAGATATAAGAAAAATGTTTATGGTATTGTAAGTTTAAAGTGAAAAATCGGTGGTTTTTATCGGTGGTTCCGTACCCAAAGGGTAAAAACGGGAACCCTATTACTAGATTTAGCTGTCCGTCCGTCCGTCTGACTGTCACAAAGGTCTATCTTATGAACCGTTATAGCTAAACAGTTGAAATTTTTACAGATAATGCATCTATGTTGCCGCTATAAGAACAAATACTAAAAACAGAATTAAATAAATGTTTATAAATAAAAAAGTACTTTCACTAAACATTATCTTTTAAGTAAGATTTTTACATAGAATTTTTCAAGTCCTCGGTGGCCGCGTAGTTAAAGCGTTAGGACTTTACGCTGCTAAGACGTTGGAGCCGTAGTAAGGCAGGTTCGAATCCTAGTCAAGGCGACTTTTTTTAATCGTTTTTTTTTTCATTTTTACATATTTTTACATATTTATTTTTACTTTTTACATATTTATTATTGATTAATACAATTTTTAGTAATGTGTTTCTTCTTTTTTTTAAATTACTTATACGCGCATTCAAAATTTCAGCTATATCGGAAAAAAGTTAATAATAATATAGTGTCTAATGTTGTATAGATAATGAATGGTACGGAACCCTTCGTACGCGAGTCCGACTCGCACTTGACCAATTTTTTTATGTTTACTCACCCTCCTCCTGTGATGATACTCAAGGTCTCCGGGAATATTTTATCGTTCAGAGTGTATATCACCAGCGAGTTACAATCTTCATACGCTAAATCTTTCAGATAATGCTTGTAGGTATAATCAGTACACTCTTCACGAACTTGCCACCACTCTTTGTCGTCTAGCGTATTATTCAGTCTTAGTAAAACTAATGTTAGATTTCTCCACGTTGGATTATTTTTATCCTCTTCTGTAAATCAACATTTTTTGTTAATATACGTGAAAACATACATATACAGGGTGTTCCTTAATGACATGCTAATATTTAAGGAGGTGATTCTTGAACCTACTCTAAGAAAAAAACTTCATATGAATATATTATGTCCTAAACATCTTAACTTTTAAGATACAGAGTGGTAAAATTTTCTATTTTTTTGCAAAATATCTCTGATGATATATTTGACATACGTCTCCCATGCATCAAAATGCTTATTTTGATATAATACAATATTTTGATATGTAAAACCCGTATGGACGGCACTAGTAGAAATAAATAAAATCCTTTGTACACCAAAACAAGTATAGTAAACGCCACGAATGTTTGGGAGTGATTCATCGGTCGCTACCATGTGAACTAATCTGTTCAAGGTCACATAAAACTTAATTCCAGTGCCGTGGTGTTTCAAGTCATATAATAATCAATATATAATCTGTTGTAATTTGTTGTTTTAATTGTCAAAGTCTTGTCAAAACATATATTTGGTTATAAATATAAACTGAAATGCCCCATTGGTCGCACTGCAAGCACACCAATGGACTGACGCACAAAAACGAATCAATCAAAGAACGCGATATAGTATCGTCTTTGTCAATCACGCTAACATTTTAGAATAAGTAGGAGGAGCGCAGGCAGATGATTAGACCATGCCTTTGAAAACCTACGTCTGCGGTAAAAATTTACGTTTTTAATGTAAAAATGATAGCGCGCGTGTCGATTCTAACTTCATCAAGTGATGAATCACTCCCACACATTCGTGGCGTTTACTATACATATTTTGATGCATAGAAGACGTGTATCAGTTTTCATAAAAATATCTATAATAAAATCAGAGTTATTATGAAAATAGTTTTTTTTAGAAAAATTTACCACCCTGTATCTCAGAAATTAAGATGTTTACGATATACATATTTATATGAAGTTTTTTTTTCTTAGAATAGGTCCAAGAATCACACTCTTAAATATTAGCATGTAATTAAGTATTTCTTTGTGATTGAATTTTTTTAATTTTTGAAGATCTGTACCCACTCCCCCCACCAGTAAAAGAGCATACATCATATGATCTTTTTTTCTTTTTTCTGATTCTCACAATATCCAATCACAAATCCCATTTAGCCATCTTGAGCTTTCCTACTATTATAATAATTATAAGGTAAAATAATTATTATTTTACCTTCAATGTCACTGGAACCCAGGATCTCGTTATAAGGTTCCGCCACACCAGTGTTTGTAATTTTCAAAAACTTCGGTAAAATTTTCTGCAACAGTATAGGTTCGGAAGTTTTATTTTCCAGCATTTTCAATAAATTATCTCTTTCCAAATTGGTCTTGTTAGGCGTACTGGCCGGTAGTTGAATCTCCTTATTATTCGATATTATGCCCGAGTCAGTCGAACTACTCGTTTTGTGCGATACCTTATAGTCCAATCTAATTTTTATAGTCTTTGCTGCAAGTAAAAATAACTTAAGTCATATTATATTTTAATTTTAGTAGATTACGGACTTGAATTTACTTCCTCGATCATTTTCATACGATCTGGAGGCGAAATACTCCATATTTTGGCAGAATCCCAACTAAATTTAGCTGCAACGATGTCACCTGGGTCGTAATTGTTTGATAATATTTGTTCAGCCCTTTTATTGTCCTTGAACTGGTTAAGCATGTTCTGATAGTCGTTGTCATTAAATCTGAAAACGGGACATTTGAACTATTTTTAAAAAAATAATGGTTCTACCATGAATAAAAATATTAAGGAAGGAGTATAATGCTATAGGAGTATTCATGCATGAGAGACGCAATCGACGTTATGGGCCCATATCCTTGACAGTTCAGTTTGAGGTTTTAATAGGGACATTTTTTTTCTGAACTTATTTTATAATATTTAGTATTTATTATCCAACTGGTTTTGTTTAGAGGTAGTAAATCTAGAAGGATATTGTGTCAGATCTTAAATTAACAGTGGCGTTATTACGAATTATCAAACAAGACTGTAAAATAGTTGGTTGTGTAGCGTGCGGTAGATCTCGGTTAAAAATCGAGATAATAACTTTTCATGATAAGTGACTATATAATATACGAGTACGTTACGTGCAAGGTTACTATAATATTAAACAGGTTGCCTCGTAACTTCTGGATCAATAGAAGCGAAGCTGCATAAGGGGAGAAAACTATGGACGTCATACACTATAAACTATAAAGTACACAATGAATATGGATTCGGATATACACTGTCGGACTGTCGGCAGTTTTTATCCCATCTATGAGTGGTAGCATTCCTATGACGTAGTAGATGACGTCTCCGATAATGGCGGATCGAGTTACGAGACAACCTTATCTTTTAATAACCTTGCGTTACGTGCAGTAAACCAATCAATTATGAAATTCACTTAGAATTAACTAATTATTATATTTCTTATCGCATTTTCGCTCTTGTTTACTAATCAAAAATGACTAGGATACGTCAATTTGACTTAGTTGTTTCTGTAGCGTATCTGTTATTTTTGTTATTAAGTAATTATTATCTTACTTAACTATCTAATACTTATCTATTTTTAATAGAAATATATTTTTTAACAATTTTATCTAACTAATAACATTTATCGACAACATAAAACAAAATTAACAAATTATTGAGTCTACCCTATATCATATTTTGACACGTTTTAAATGAAATTAAAATTATATTGTTTTAAACCAAACCAAAATAAACCGATATTTCAGTCAACCATATTGATCTTAAGCTTTTTGATATGCTCCTTTCTTAACCATTTTATTCAAATGATTCTATCGACATACTGGAACAGCGCGTTACTCTGAGCTGACATTTGATACACTGGGTCGTACGGACCGATTCTTAGCTCCAAGGTTATATCATATGGCGCGTTGCTTTCGCCCACTGCCTTGCCAAGCGAGAAAAATACCAGAGGGAACCAAATGATACCGATAATACCGGCTAGCATTGCTCCTCCCATTAGGTATTTAACTAAATAACCTTTCTTGGTACCTCTTGGTTGTGGGTATTCGTCCTCCATGTTTCTAGAACACTGTTGGCCAGAAAATTAAAACAGATTTTATAAAAATACATAATATATAATATGATATACACGGTGTCCCATATAAAAATGCACACTACAGCGATCTCGTAAAGCAGAAGAGTCAAGATTACTTATATGGGTACAGAAAATGTGTAAAGAATTAATGATGACGTAAGGACAATCTCTTTTTGGATCGCATGTAATGGTCACTTCATTCTTACCATATATATGTTACACTATATCGCTAGTCAGGAATAGAAATTGAAGCCAAATTTTTGAGATGGAGCTATACAAAATCCACATAAGTCGGTCCTTTTCGTTCAACAGCTTTAAACTACGCAAGCGCGAAGCGTGAGAAGTGCTTCTCGATTAGTTGATTTATTTCATACTAACCAATAGAAGTAGTTTCTATCTACCACGTAAATCAATTTAGCATCTGACCTATTCGCGCCTTTACTTATAAATTTAAATTTAATATCTGACAAATTTAAACAAAAACAAGGAACGGATAGATATGATGAATATCTAAAATAACAGGTTGAAATAATGCCGTTACCAATAAAAAAATAATATATTATACGTTACTAATATTTAGCGTTTAAAATCGTGAGCGGGCAGGTGACAGCGTTCAGCGATAAAGTAGACGAATCAGATCGTTTTATTTGGTGCGTGCGCACGAAAATCCTGTTGAACGAAAAGGATAGACTTATGCAAGATTGATATTCCTACTTCATTTCTTTGGCTTCGCTTTCCACTCATTGTGTAAATGCGGTACTAGCAATATATTCTTATAATATATTTGATTCTTACCTTAAGCAAAAATATGTGAGAGAATATATCTTCCATTTTCAACCAATCAAATACACCCATAGAAGTCTCGGTCCACATCCAGTCCATGACGGATCTCAACTCGAATAAGAACGGCACCAACATGAACCCTTTGAACAAGAACATATTAACCATGCTGTAGGCTTTGCACAGACAATTTCCCAAAATCCTCGAAGGATAACCGCAACGAATTTGGAAGGCTGACAGTAAAAAGTAGATGCACTTCACCATATAGTAGACTTGGGGTGGAATCACTGTTTTAAATTCCCTAAAATGTCATATTCAAATGATATTAGTTTTGATATATATGTTACAGTAAAAGTTGGAAATCAGTGGTTGTTGACAATTACTAGTAAAAGCTGACATTCACTGATCTGCCTAAGACTACGCCAGTAAAAGTTCAACAGTTATTTTTGAAACCAACTAGTAAATGCTAGCATTCCCTGGACGATAGCAGTGAGTTTGAAAGATTCAGTTAGCGCGGTTGCCACATGTTGTAAAATATAAGAATAAGTAAGGATAAGTTGAATAATAGGTAATATTAGAATAACATTAAGGTGGGCCAAACGTTGGCAACGTTGACAGTCATCTGGTGTAAATTCGCTTTGTTTTTTGTGGTTATGTATAATTGTTTTGTTATTGTTGTAAAAAGTGCTGTCCGGTATTTTCCCTATGGAAGAAATTTTCTGTGAAAAATGAAGGTAAACTAGGCACTCTGCAAGAATGTAATAGTGCTTGTTTTTCATTTTTGCAATATAATGAAGTCATAGCAAAATTTAAGCTTGATTTTCATGCATCCGTTATACGTTGATACGATGGTCCGACGGTGCTCTGATTGGTCATAGCGTTTTCGCGCCCACTTTTCACCGTAAATATTTTACTTCAGCCCGTCAACGGACCCGTTCATACGATAACGGACGTTTTAATACTTTTTTGACAAATTTAAATTAAACCTTAATAAAAATATAAGTAAAATAGCAAAATCGTTATGGAAACGAAAATATAAAATGACACCAACGTATATCCGATAAACGGAGGCATGAAAATGCAATAAATTTAAAAACTGCGTTATTTTCTAACCAATCAAAGTCTTTAAATTCTACCAATAAAATTAATATCGTATCAACGTATCGTCGGACAACGGATGCATGAAAATCAAGCTTTAAGCGTGCAAAAGAAAAAGATATTAAGGAACCTAGTGACTATGAATTTATTAAACGTTTTGATATGCTTGAACTGTTGGGTTTGAAAAAACGAATAACTCCTGTTGAAGAAAATTCGAGCATACTTTATTTTGTCCACGATGAAGAACTTTATTGAAAAAGCCTTGTACCAATAAGTAATCTTATGTTTGTTTTCCCTTTTAATATTTAGAAGGTTATGTCGTTATTTTCTATAATTTTTAATAAATATACTAAAGAATAAATTGTAATTTTAAGATATGTGGATCAGCTTGAATATTGGGGATTGGGGTGATCCAATATTCTTAAAAGTTTAATTTCTTCTAACTTCCACCAACAATAGAAGAATAGAATAACTTTTACTGACAACCTTTAGTAAATGTTACTTTCACTAGTGAATGTTAGAAATTACTAGGAAAAGTCGACAAATCTCTTCACTGTTCAATCAATCCACATTCACTGGTCCAATCCATAACTGCTAGCATTTCGTAGTGAATGTTAACAATCACTGAATTTCCGACTTTCACTGTAACATATACAATGTTAAAAAACTCAGTAAAATCAGTCAAGATAGAGGAGCTCGACAAATGAATAACTAGTGTTGTAATAGAGAGAACGTGACAAGGGAACGTTCGCGAACGTTCAGGATCGAGTTCCCTTATAAGAGAATGTATGAGCACAAACGAGAACGTTGCCACAAACATTTTTTATTTTTTTTATATTATTTGTTTGGGCTGCACCAACAAGTATTGTAGAACTCCTCTGGGTATACTTATTTCTCTGATGTACAAACTAACTACTCATCTTACTTTTCTGTAATTATGGGGAAGAGTATGAAAAGCCAAATATGTAGTATCACGACTTGTATAAATTGGAATATTAGTTTGCCCAGTATGTTTCTTCTCAAATAGATGGCTCTATCGACAATGATCAGCATGAATTGCAGTATAAGCATAAACAGAAACATAGGAGGTACTCTGTTCTCTTCAAGGTAAGCTTTGAAACCTCCATCGCTTGTTTGGGACTGAAAATAAGAGTTTTATTGTAAGCATAGTTAAATATAGCTTTCGTTCACTACATTTTGTATCCCTCTATAGTAGAAACCACTACAGGTTTCATTCATAGTAGTTTCAACTGGATTTGGGCTAAAACGTGAATTGAATTCGCAGGCATACCTGTGACCGTGATTTTTTATGACCGTGGTTTAAATAGTGATTATACGAAAAATTTATTATATAATTATTTTAAAAGTGTTAGAAAGTATAATTTGTGAAAATTATAAAAATAAAAAAGTATCAAAAAAAATATTTCAGTTGAAAAAACTTTTTAGATGAGTTCTACTACGGTAGCGAGCATAGTTTTAATCACCGGTTTTGCTAGTTGCTAGTGGGGCATAATTGGGGCTATTTCGGCTATAACAAAATTTTTTAACCGTACATAATAATTATATGTTTAGAAGATGTTCATAAAACATTTAATCACTAGTTGATTAAAAAAGGTATGCCATTAATATTGCAAATTATATTTTATCCTCTCATAGTATATGTCTATTTAATTTTTTGATTGTGTAACGAGCACTTTGTTCACTCACTTGTTTCGTCAAACTGTTTGAATCCATTTTTGCTTTTGATCAAATCGGTGTGAGAAACAATGAAGCTATAAAATTTTGTTTCGGGAGAGTTGAATATTCAATGTTATTGCACTCAACAACCACGTAATTACACCCTTCTTTACGTGTTAACATTTTTTTGACAATTTTATTAACATTTGAAATTGTCACAACACAATACGACGCCTAGTTCGGATTTTTTTCACTTATTTTTTACTAACTCGAAACAGCGTTACATCACACAAACCTCGTACCTGAGTGTTTTATAGTTTCAATAACTGCTCTAGCAAAAAATTAAAATACTAAATTATGACAAAGCCACGATTTTAATATAATTTTAAAGCGATCAACATGAACTGTAACCGGAACGGCGTAAAATAAGTAGCGAAGATTTCTGATTTCTGCCGTAGAGTGCGCTGCGGTCGGAATTTTTCGAAATCAACTGAAACGCACCAAACCTATACCGCCCATGTTAACCTTATGGTGTTATGCAATTATCGACTTCAAGTGTTGGTTGCGAGTATGGAGTTTGCTTTACTGTCGCGCTATTAAATAAATAGCAAAAACGCTGCATCCCGGGGATCTTTGTGCCATTCACGTTTTAGCCATTCGCAGTTTATTTTTAAATTGTTGACAGCTATAATTGCTGCCTATATTTAACTATTTTTTGCTCATCTCTAGTTTCAACCTTTAATTATTAAAGTGATTAATATCAAGTGTTTTACTTACCCCGAACGAAGAATATCCAATGAGAAGAACAAAGAAGTTGATAAAGTCACAGAGGAACATAAAAGTGTATACATCGGCGGCTACACGTGCCGTTGGATCTAATAATTGTTGAAAAAATATGCGCACCGACTCAGCGTATTTTGCAGCTCTGTAAACACAATTATTATTATAAACGTATTATAGAGTCATTTCACGACGATATTTATATTTACCCTAATTTTATTGACTGTGGAATATGATCGCAGTGATTGACTTCCACACTTTCCAACGAGAGAATTTGCGATTCGTCGCCTGGATCAGGCGAAGGTGGTCTATCCCCTCCCCCATCGTGTATCGAAGGCAGTTTTTTCTTTCCTTTACCATGAGACTTTCCACTATCACTAGAAATATTTAAAGAACAATGATTAAGTAAATATTTTTTTGTTATACAGGGCGTTCCTTAAGGGCGTGATTCTTGAACTTCTAAGAGAAAAACTTCATATGAATGTATGTCCTAAACATCTTAATTTCTGAGGTACAGGGTGGTGAATTTTTCTAATTATTTTTTTCATAATAACTTTGATTTTATTATACATGTTACAGTGAAAGTTAGAAATTCAGTGATTGTTAACATTCACTAGGAAATGCTAGCAATTACGGGTTGGGCCAGTGAATGTGGTATTTTAAAGAGATTTGTCGACTTTTCCTAGTCATTTCTAACATTCACTAGTGAAAGTAACATTTACTAAAGGTTGCCAGTTAAAGTTATTCTATTGTACAGGGCGAGTGTGGTGAGGAAGAATGTTGGTGGAAGTTAGAACGAATAAAACTTTTAAGAATATTGGATCACCTCAATATTTAAGCTGATCTACATATCTTAAAATTGCAATTTATTTCTTTGGTATATTTATTAAAACTTATAGAAAATATCTACATAACTTTCTAAATATTAAAAGGGAAACCATAGTAAACATTTTAAAGCGTACAAAACAATTAAAAAAAAAACAATCATAAACATAAGTTTACTTATTAGTACAAGGTTTTTTTTAATGAAGTTGTTCATCGTGGACAAAATAAAGTATGCCCGAATTTCCTTCAAAGGGAGTTATTCGTTTTTTCATACCCGCTACTTCAAGCATATCAAAACGTTTAATAAATTCATAGTCACTAGGTTTCTCAATATCTTTTTCTCTTGCACGCTTAACTTTTGCTATAACTTCATTACATTGCAAAAATGAAAAACAAGCACTATTATAGTATTTTTAATACCCATTTAGAATAACACCATCCTTATTTATTATTAATAAATCAGTTGAAACAAAAAATTACCAACAAAAAGGAACGTCGATAACTAATTTGTTAGATGTCACGTTTTTGAAGTTACGTCAAATTTTGATTTCATGTATGTCATAACGCAAAATAAGATATAAAAATGCGATATTCTGATGAATCCAAAAAACTTATGCTTAATGTAGTAAACTATTTTCAAAACGATTTAGGATCTCGATTTAAGGCAATTCAAAAAGCGTCCGAAGCACTAAAAGTTCCAGTTTTTCATGCGGGTTCAGATCGTTCAAGAAGCCGCATACGTTAAGTTACTAAAACGGCTGGTACCTCTAAATAGGTATTAAAAATACTATACATTCTTGCGAGTGCCTAGTTTACCTTAATTCTTCACAGAAAATTTCTTCTATAGTGAAAATACCGCACAGCACTTTTTACAACGATAATAAAACAAATTATACATAACCACAAAAAACAAAGTGAATTTACGCCAGATGTCTGTCAACGTTACCAACGTTTAGCCCAATTTAATGTTATCCTTATATTGCCTATTATTCAACTTATCCTTATTTATCCTTATATTTTACAATATGTGACAACCGCTCTAACTGAATCTTTCAAACTCATTGCCATCGTCCAGAGAATGCTAGCATTCACTAGTACAAGTTGGTTTCAAAAATAGCTGTTGAACTTTTACTGGCGTAGCAATGGTAATAGCAAATCAGTGAATGTGAGCTTTTACTAGTACTTGTTAACAATCACTGATATCCAACTTTTACTGTAACATATGAAACTGTAACATATGATACTGTAACTTTATGAAACTTGATACACGTCTTCTATGCATCAAAATACCTTTTTTGGTGTACAAAGAATTTTACACCACTGACTTCTCTTAAAATAAAAATTATTTTCGAAATCTCCATTCATTTCTAAACATTTTTTATCTCTTGATTTTTTTCGTCTGGCGCATAGTTTTTGCTTAAAAAAATTAAGTCAGTTTATGACGAAGCTATGTCTTCTTGTAAGCCTATAGAATGTGGTGTCCCTCAGGGTTCAGTACTTGACCCTATTTTGTTTCTGGTGTTTATCAACGACATTGCAAATCTAGACATTAGCGGTAAAATCTGCCTCTTTGGACGATACTAGTTTCATTTGGAGCGGCTCAGATGTTGCGGCATTATATGATACTATATCCAGTGATTTACGCACCATTAAGTCTTGGTGCGATTCTAATCTCCTATGCCTCAACCTATCAAAAACTAAAGTTTTGTCATATAAAAGTACTATACAACCTTTTGTACTTAATAATACCACTATTGACGTCATGGACTCTGTGAAATTCTTAGGACTTGTAGACAACTCGTTAAAATGGGACTTTCACATCGAAGCTCTATCAAAGAAACTAAGCGCTGCCTATTTTGCGCTAAGATCAGTTTCTAAGGAACTTAACTTCTCAACCTTTAGAATAGCCTATTATGCCCTTTTTGAGTCACATCTTCGTTATGCCCTTCCATTCTGGGGTACTTGCTGCGCAACAAAATTTGATCGTGTTTTCAGACTTCAAAAGAGCAGTTCGATATTTATTGGGACTGAACAGTAGAACTCACTGCCAGAATTTCTATAAAAATTTGAAAATACTGACTCTTCCTTCTTTATTCATTTTTGAATCCGTTTGCTTAATCCGCAAGCACATATCTGCTATTCCCGAAAGGCCATCTCATAACTATCCACTTAGGAATGCAGAGCACGATCTTTATCTGCCAACCCCGAGCTCAGAACTAGTTAAGGGTTCAATACTGTACAATGCCAAAAAAATATCAAGTCGCTTTCATTCTTTCCCGCATTTCGCAAAGCTCTAAAATCATACTTACTGGAGAGAGCCCTATATGCGGTAAACGACTTTTTTGTTGATGTTTAATTATGAACAATTTTGAATTTTAAAATTTTGATCATCTCACACACTGGTCAAAGGTCAAGTATTTAATACTTTATAACTCTAAAATTATATCTATTTACTGCTTACTGTTCTAAAATTGTCCATGTATATTCTTTTTCTAATTTTAAAGACTTAATTTTTTTTAAATTGTATTATTTGTATTGTGTATTTTTTGTTGTTTGTATTTTTTTTTGTGATTTTGTTGTTTGTGAGTGCTTTGTCGATGAAGCTGTTTTGGCTTTTTGTACAATAAAGCGTTGTTTGTTTGTTTGTTATTTCAGGGTCAAATCGCTCAAAATATGATGCAGTGACTGTTGTGTGGAAATCATTTCTGCATCGGCTGGAAGGAAATTAAAAAAAAACTTTTTTTGTATATCAAAATAAGCATTTTGATGCATGGAAGACGTGTATCAAATATACCATCAGAAATATTTTGAAAAAAAAGTAGAAAATTTTACCATCCTGTATTTGAAAAGTTAAGATATTTAGGACATGAAATCCACAGATATACAGAAATTATATTCAATCTGCTTTTAAATTAAAATTTTTAAAACAACATTTTTTTACCTTGTCGAATGTTGTGATGACGGAGAACTGGTAACAGGTGCGGCAATACTGCTGCTATTTCCACCGACAGGTACTAGTCTTCCATCAATTAGTTTGTACTCTCCTTCAGGTACCATTGCTGCTACTTGTTCTTGAGGTTCTTTCGATGATTTCCAAATACCCATCGACTTTAACATCATTCTATAGAATAATTTATAATAATTTCAATTTAATCCGGTATAAATATAAGTAACATAAATACAATACCTGTGGAAGAATACTGCTAATAGCAGAACAAGGTCCCAATTGGCATAATTCTTCCTTCTTTGTATTCCAATGATATTAGGTGGAAAGAATGGATTGTTTCCATAAATATCTTCGTTCCATGGTATGATATCCATTTGGAATAAACATTTGATTAACACCACCAGCTAAAATTTGCGATTTTAATATTATGATATAAATTTATGCGATAAATTTATATTATAATATTGTAAATAGCCATAAAAAAAATACAGATGCTATTTGGGACACCCTATGCAGATTGTTACAAATTCGAGAGTGAGCATTGGGATCTCAGAAACTGTAAGATAATTTTATGTCCAATAAAATGACGTTTTGAAAATTATCCGGATACTGCCGAAGATATCCGAATTAAAAACAATGGAAGCTCCACATTAGAGGTGGGCAAAGATTCAACGAGTCGTTCATTTGAACGACTATTAAAAATGAACCGTGTGATTCGATTCACTGCTTAGAATACGGTTCGTTCAATTGAATCGTAGCCAGCACGGATCCATAAGAGTCGCGAGAATTTATTCATTGCTTACAATACGGTTCGTTCAACTGAATCGTGGCCAGCACGGACCCATAAGATTTGAACGATGAGCCGTAAAAAAGAATCGTGAGAATTGAATCGGATCACAATGCGATCGTTCGTTTCTACGGCGCGGTGCAGCGGTGATGAACAAAAGCCCTAAACAAACATAAAATGCAAACGATAAGAATGTTATTTACAAGAAAAACACTTATTTATAGTGTGCTCAGTACGGGAGTATCTGTAAGGTATTTAATTTTTACGTGGTATTGTGTAAAAAATTGGCAGCGGTGATGAACAAAAGCCCTAAACAAACATAAAATGCAAACGATAAGAATGTTATTTACAAGAAAAACACTTATTTATAGTGTGCTCAGTACGGGAGTATCTGTAAGGTATTTAATTTTTACGTTAATATTTTTGTTAAAATAATATTACCGAATATAAACCATTAAATGTCGGACTAAAAGACGAAATCGTGTTTTTATGCAACTCCAAATAAATATTGTTAGCCTCTTCTCAATATGATAAAAAAACAACGTCAGCGATGGTTATAAAATGAAAATCGCTGTCATTTTATATGTTCATTTCCAAGCCAACTGGATGCAATTTTTTTTTGATTATTAAATTGGAATTAAAATATGGCTCTAAAAATATTAAATTGGTATTAAGAAGTCTTTAGTAAATAGTATATATGAATTGGATTGATAATTTAATATTATTTGTAAAAGAATCAGTCCAATTACGCTAGTGTCATAAAGTGTTGAAAAACAAGTGAAAGAACTGTATATTTCCTCTTCTGGTCCCTTACTGGTGCCAGTTACGATTCTTGTTTTTATAAAACGTAAATTGTGCATGTGGTTCGTTCAAATGAACGAATCGTAGGAGTCGATTCAATACGAGAAATTGAATCGTGTGATTCGACTTACTAAAAAGAATCGTAATCCATCACTACTCCACATAACAGCAAAGACTTTATCTTACCTCAGTATAAGCAATGATAGTGACCCAAAACGTCTTAGATGGCCTGGGTATCGTGAGGGAACCCCAGAAGAACACCATCAGCGGCAGCGGCAGTGACAGAAACGTGGCTCTCTTCGCTTGGTTCAGGAAAATGGCAAAGTAGCACAACCACTCCGATCGGCTCATGATGACATACCAGATGGCCAGCAGCAGACGCACTATAGGAGGCTGGTCCACCGATGACATTTCTTCTTCTGGCGGTTTTTCAGAGCTCGAACTTCTCCTAAAAGAAGAAAGAGGGGAACGTAGTATGTGTTGGTTTGAAAGAGGTGAGTGTGGGATGCCAGGCGACAACATTGAGAGGTGCTGGTAAAAGTAAAATTTTACAGCCAAGTTGACTATGTAAAAATGGTGAAGAGGATTTAGGTGTCTTCTAAGTAAAATATAGCAAAATAAACTAAGCTAATGTGTTTTAATTCAAATAAATTGTCAAAATATAAATAGAATAAAAAAAAAGAATTTACATAATTTTTATAAATATTTCTACACCCCACAATTTTTTTTTATTAATTGGACCAAATTTTGTTTTGGTTTGGATATAGATTTTATAAATTGTACTCACAAAAGTACATCATTCCATATCTTTATTATTAAATATAACAATAAAGTCAACAAAGAACATATGTGTCTGGCAATAGAATACATGATATTATTGACAGTTGCCTGTTACTTGTCATTCGAATGTACATTACTTTTTCTCTCAATATAACCTAAAAATACCGAAATATTGATGAAGTAAAAAATAAAATCTAGTATGCACGACGGGCGTTTTTTTGTGGTAGGTGGTAGACCCCATCGTGTCCTAAATATCTGTCGGGCCAAATAGAGTATAGTATAAACATAGTTTATATGTAACATCAGTAGACTGATTGTTGGATTTGAATAGAGTAAAATTATAATAAAATAAAAAAAAACCTAATAAAATATTAAATCAAAAATATAAATATAGAATACTAAAATATTGTAAACATAAGAGGCGCGTTCGTCATTCTCCAAGCTAATCTTATAAAATATGATCAAAAAATACATGAGCTCGAAATTGATAGTTAAAAGTTTAGTATTGTCAAGGTCAAGGTGTATTACTGGTTGCATAACTGCATTACTGCTACGTAACCGCAACGTGCATTGAGGAACCTGGCGAATTCGCCAGAAAGTAAAAGAAAATTACAGAATTCTTTAGAACGTTCCAGAAAGACTCGCCAGGGGGTATATAAAGGCCCGCGCTTTGGCAGTTGGCAGTCTGAAGTTTAATAATACCGCGCTGTAAATTGTGAATTAATTGGCGAAGGTGTCAGTACTGTTAGAGTAAGAGTAGTTGCATAAATTGTGTTGTAAATAGTATAAGTTGTGTGTACAGAGTGAGACAAATAAATTCGTTAAGTATTTTATCGTGAGTTTAAATTAGTGGATCCACGGAATCCGTAACAATTGGTGTCAGAAGTGGGATAATGTCAAGGTCAAGGTGTATTACTGGTTGCATAACTGCATTACTGCTACGTAACCGCAACGTGCATTGAGGAACCAGGCGAATTCGTCAGAAAGTAAAAGAAAATTGCAGAATTCTTTAGAACGTTCCAGAAAGACTCGCCAGGGGGTATATAAAGGCCCGCGCTTTGGCAGTTGGCAGTCTGAAGTTTGATAATACCGCGCTTTAAACTGTGAATTAATTGGCGAATGTGTCAGTACTGTTAGAGTAAGAGTAGTTGCATAAATTGTGTTGTAAATAGTATAAGTTGTGTGTACAGAGTGAGACAAATAAATTCGTTAAGCATTTTATCGTGAGTTTAAATTAGTGGATCCACGGAATCCGTAACAATTGGTGTCAGAAGTGGGATAATGTCAAGATCAAGGTGTATTACTGGTTGCATAACTGCATTACTGCTACGTAACCGCAACGTGCATTGAGGAACCAGGCGAATTCGCCAGAAAGTAAAAGAAAACTACAGAATTCTTTAGAACGTTCCAATGAGAAAGAAATAAATTCGTTAAGTATTTTATGGTAAGTTTAAATTAGTGGACCCACGGAATCCGTAACAGTACGATAATATTTTTTTTATTCAACATTTCAAACTAAGGCTTACCTCATTAGGTAATAGGTGTCATTAGTCATGTAATCAGAACATCAACGGTTTTATTGAAGTCTGTCCAACATAGCATAGTGATGAGAAAACCGCATCTTTGTATCTCTTACTCATAAACGAGAACCCCCATAAAACGCACGAAAATGGGACACCCTGTATAACCGGGCTTTATAGTTGTTAAGAATGAAATGATAAGTATTTTATATTTTAAGCAAGCTTGTTTACATGTAAAAAGTCACTGACAAGTTGGTTAGCCTTTTTCAGCTCCGTTTGGATTCTAACGCAGTGACATTTTAGATAAAATAACTTTTATATTTTTAATATTTCTTTTAATAATGATATACCTAAACTTTTTCCTTATAAGTTTATTGTATTTTCTGATCATAAGATAATCTTTTGGTGCTATAATTAAAAAGGAAGCCATGAGCAAAGCGAAGACATCGAAATACAGCTCGGTGTGCGTTTTACCTCGACGAGCACGGCGAATCTAATCCTCGTTCCAGACTGGGCGCCATGATTCGGATTTCGGGAACCGTGAGAACACTCGCCTTGCGCCTACACAGCCAACATACACAGGCGTACAGCCACTCTACTTCGACCACTACTGGCATTCCAGTGGCTAGTGTATCAAGCGAATACAACCGCAGATAATAACAGTCTCAATATATTAATCATCGACTCTCAATAAATCAATCGTTTAGGAACTTTGATTTTTATTAAGAAAGGTAAAGGCCGTTAAGCAGCCCACAGATTAGCATACATGTGTTCAAGTACGTTGACGCAAAAAATTATAATGTTTAGTTTAGTCACTTAAAATAATATTCTTGATTATACAGGGTGCAGCATATTGTGCAGATAAAAATAAGTAAAAAAGTTCGTATAAGTTTATGTGTTAAAATGCTTCTTTTCGGAGATACAGGATGTAGAAATTTCATTTTTATTTCGGTTTTTGCCAAATAATTTCTGAACTATAGTCGATATTTCGATAAAAATTCGTGCTTGAGTGTTTTTTGACAAGAGAAATTTCATTTCGATATCAATATGACTCCTACTTGTAGGGGGCGCCAGCTACACCTGTGTTTTAACCGTTTTGAAAAGTAGTAACTTTTCGTCCGTACCTGTATAAAAACTACTGGGTAAAAAATATACACATTTCCGTAATTTTTTACGTAAAAAATGTCTCTTGGTAAAAATCGCTACGAGCAACCGTTCTCAAGGTATTTGGAATGGAAATAGTCAATACGTGACTATATAGTCAATACATGACTATTTACGTGATTATTTTTTTTTAAATTAATAAAAAATTTTTCTTCGAAAAAAATGATGACAAAACAGTTTCGGTAGAAATTTTTGCACAAAAACATTTCATATTTATTATTTCACTCTAATAACTATATAGTCAACATGTTTAATTTATGTCAATGACAGGTATTGATAATTTCGATTCCAAATATCTCGAGAACCATTACTCGTAGCGATTTTTTATCAAAAGACCTTATTACGTAAAAAAAACGTCGTGAATGTATATTTTTTACACAGTAGTTGTATACAGGTACGGACAAAAAGTTCTTACTCTTCAAACCAGTTAAAAAATATGTGGGTGGCGCCCCCTGCAAATAGGAGTCATACTGACATCAAAATCAAATTTATCATGTCAAAAAACTCCCAGACACTAATTTTTATCGAAACATCGACGTTAGTTCAGAAATTATTTGAAAAAAAAACAAAATAAAAATGAAATTTCTACACCCTGTATCTCAGAAACTAAGCATTTTAAGACATACATACATTTATACGAAGTTTTTTACTTAATTTTATCTTCGGACCGCCCTGTATAGACAAATAGAAATTTATTTAAAATTGCATATTAAGAAAAAATTTAGTGTATTGGAGGTATTTATAAAATTAGTGGTTGTATTCGCCAATAACTAGGTTTTTAATATAAATTAAAACGTTATACAGGGTGTTCTTAAATCACACGCTAATAATTAGGGGATGCTTTTTAGATTTATTCTAAGAAAAAAACTTTATATGAATGTATGTTCTAAATATCTGAAAGTATACTGCAAACAATTTGTTTTCCATTTTATAATTTGGCTTGCCTGAAAAAAGCCTTTTACCATCCTTTTACTATCGATAGTTGCGCCTCGGTGGTACGAAAGTACTACCATTGCACGCAACCCGCTATCTCCCGTTCGGGACTTAATATCTAACCGATACTTTCCGACAAGTCGGAATTAACTACTCTGCGCTGAGTTTGTCATTTTGTGGAATCGACCCAAGCTCACCTGATGATGGAGTACGGCTCCGAAACCGGTAGTGAGAGTAGGTTGATCCACATTATGCCAAACACAGCGTGGAATTAAATTTCTATATAAGCAGTTAAATAGCAAGAATTCTTGTATAATTAATAGTATGTATATCATACATATGTACCATGTATATCAAAAGTTAAGATCTTTAAGACACATACATATAAAGTTATTTATAAATAGGTCCAAGCACATCCTTTAATTATTACCATTATCATAAACTTATTAAATTATTTATTAATTAATTAATCTATTAATCATCCTTTAATTATTACCATGTCATTCAGGAACAACTTATATAATACAGGACTGTATTCGAATTATATAGAATACTGATATATGGGAAATTGGAATAACTTTCGTTGCACATCATAATACGACCACCAGCAAACTCCATAAGACGACGCATGGTGTCATTGATGACGTGCAACGAAAGTTGTTCCAATTTCCCTATCTGTGTATCAAAAAAAGTACTTTTTGATATAATAATCCATTCTAATATACTAACATGCAAGCTAATTTAAGTTCAATTTTGCCAAATTGATGTCTGAACTTGAAAAAGCTAACCACAATAATAAGTTGTTTTTTGACTTCTTTACGAGTAATAAAAATCTTATTATTAACATTTCGCTGTTGTTCAAGATAATCAACGAAAGAAAAAAATAATCTGTGGAAACACGGATACATTGGATCAATGTGTTTATTAACACTCTAAAACAGCCTCTACACTATGCGGAAAACTGTTCGAAACAGGTCGCACAACTTTGTCGCATTTCAGTTTATTTCCAGTTGTCTTGACCCACTTCGGTTTGCCTCGACCTACTTTCGTTTCTTAAAAGCGCCTTTCTTAAAAACTACTCGTGACGAGGGCGTGGGGTGATTTTTTGAGTGTTTCCTGTTGCCTCGTTCAATTTTGTTTCGTTTTGAGCTATTTCCAAAACGTGTCGGTATCTGTACCCGAGGCAAAGGACTTTTTTTCATAAATTTCAGTGAAATAAGTAAACCTAAACGTTTCTAAAATAGCTGTTGTTACGATGATATTTCGTTAATTACAACTCGTTTTATTTTGATATATATTTCACAAGATTAATGTTTGAACACGCGTTTATAATATGTAGAGTAGATATTTAAGAAAAAAACTTTTCACGCTCAATCAGCAGGAATATAATTTCAATATGTTTATTATGTATATGTATTATTATATTTTATGTATATGTTATGTTTGTTTTACGCGGCCTTAATTGATTAATATATCAGTAGTATTGCTTGATGAGTAATACTGGTAATATCATCAATATATCGAGCTGATTGGGAAAATTATATTGATTGAGCCGATGTCAATAAAAGATATTTTTATCTATAATAATAATATAGTTTGATATAAATCCATTCAAAAATAAGAAATAATTAGACGATTTTTTCAATAGTTTAACGCCGTGAATTATAACCTATAAAAGGCGGACCGCCAGAACAGTCACTGCGTATTGCCCTGCAGTTTTATGATTTTAAGTTTTGGAAATATATTGTTTTAACTATATTGTAATTAATAATGTTAGGTAATGATTAAAACTAAATATTCTCGTGTAACCTTAGAGGAATAGCCAATTTAATCTACCATCGGCAACTAGATCTGCTTTCAGAACTTTATTTCTGAAAGTATTTCCAGAAATGTTTTACGAAATATTTCCAGAAATATTTCGTAAAACATTTTGAGGATAGTGTAGAGGCTGTTTAACAGTAGTGTTATTTATAATGTCATATCCGAATCAATATAGAACGTCAGGGCGTCTAAATGTATAAAGAACAAAAAAGTACAGAGAACATTTTATAACGACTGTGAAGAAACTAGTGTATCGAATAAAGATAATAACAAATGACAAGTCGTAACTTATGATGATGATGAAATAAAAGACTTAAGTGATATAGGCAAAAAATGGTTGGAAAAAGCAGTAAATGTCCGATACTATTCAACTTAATAGAAATACCTCGTAGATTTTAAGATAATTTTAAGTCTTTCAAAAAATATATTCTGGCAAACTTATGTAAGCACGTGAGATGGCAGAAAGTATCTGCAATATTAATAATTTAAGAGTATCAACTTTCTAAGATGACTAAGGTACAACTGTTGAAGTAATAAAAAATACAACATGTATTTTAAAACCGCTTCAAGAGAGATAAGGTCAGACATGAAAGGCTGAAAACAAACTGTATTATAATTATATTAATAAAACATGTGGATATCAAAGGTAATCCATTGACTGATACTCTTCAAGATCAAGTCCTAGAAGATAATTATGGAGAAAATGAGAGTTAAAGTTTTTTAATGTTAATTAAAATAAAACAAGCTGGAGAAGAAAACTTGACATAATGCTTTATTATATTTTAAATTGTATTATTGAAATCTAATTTAACTCAAAATACAACTGTGGTCATTTTTAAGAATGCTTGTTTATACTTTTTTGGACTTGAACCATTTTATCTCTGAAAATATTTGAAATTTTAGATATAAATTGGTTCATCGGTATATTCTTCGTCTTCATTAAGGAATTTGTTGACTTCACATTGTCTATTAATAGCGTTTTCTCCGATTTTTATAAACATTATGGTATATAGGCGGGATAAACGAAAGATCTTTTATGTGTTGCCTTAGAGTGTGTTACGTTACGTCAATTTGAAATGATATCTTTCTTCCTCGTGCAATTTTATTCAGATCAACAACATCTCAGATATCTAAGTATTTGTAAGAAAACCAGCCTAACTTATTTATTTAGTAATAGTGAAAATATTGATAAATCAAACTATACTTTCAGAATCGATAGAATCAGACCTTTAACATTTCTGATAATCTGATTCACTTGGTGCAAATGGTTCAGACTTTGTTTCATTGTCATCCATTTTATCAAAAAAAATTTTTTTTTAGCTCTAAAGCACGTGTGTTAATATCAAGCACGGCGTTAAATTTTATGGACTTGATCCCACTTCTGAAAGGAATCAAGAGAATATTCAGAAACCAAACAAAAACAGGCTATAGCTGCTTTAATGCGTGAAGTATGACTTGATTAATTTCCCTACCGGAAAAAAAAAACAATCTGTTATAAACGTATAAAGACGATTATCTTAAAATAGTAGGAAATTGGACTTGATCCATTTTAATTCTGACCATTCCAAATGACCTTCTTTAAGCTCGGTAATAATTATCTGTAGCCAAATTTGTAGCCTACAGCGTGTACGTACCAATCCCGGCTCAATTTATAAGCAGTTTAAATGAATCAATTAAATCCACGAGGTATTTCATTATAGTATTCAACCCGTTTATGAACAAGCTCGATCTTAAGCATAACGTCTGATATAAAGTATGAAAAAATATGTACAGTTTTTGGAAAGTATGCAATACCTCTCCTCTTGGGAAGAATAGGGAAAAGGCGAAACATCGACTTTTGTATCGCTCTCTGCACTATACGAACATTTATCGTCATACGTAGAACTGCTCAGCATTGAAGTCATCCTGTATGACACAACAAATACCGCCCAAATGTTAAACAATTATCAAGTTTTGTCTTTATTAATGAATTACAGTTTCTTAAATTAATAGATAGGTGCAAATGTTCGTCTTAAGAGTGTTAAAACAACGACGAGAGTTACCAGCAAAGAAAAAACAATCAGAAAATAAAAAATACCTGTCAACAGTGAGCCCGTGCCGGAACGAGTCCGACGAGCTGAATATGCCCATTACAGAAGAGGCGGGTGATTCCTCGCTATATGCAATGAAAAAATCTACTAGTCTACTACGCTACGTACTGATTCAATTGGCCCAATTAATGCGACGCCACTGAATATGCAACCGAAAATACTTATGCGTACGTTATTTAAAGACATTAGTTACGGAGCGATCAACAATGATTGAAATTGTTGGCAATACTGGGTTATACACTGTTTTATTATTCCCATACCAATCCATTTATTTCACTAAAAAGAGTTTCTAATAGTTTGTAAGGTAACTATGGGTGGGTTTATATAGGGTGGTCAGAACTGTATTCCCGAATGGACAAAAAATAAATATTTTGAGTAGATAGTTATTTGACTGAAATTATAAATTTGGGAACTTTTTATTTTTTTAAATTAATCATACACTTCTCTTCGAGAAAATGATGATACAACAATTTCTGTTGAACTTTTGGCACAAAAACATTTCAAATTTATGATTTCAGGCTGATAACTATTTAGTCAACGCAGGTTTAATAATTTATGTCAGTGATGACAGGTATTGATATTTTCGATTTCAAATATCTTGAGAAAGGTTGCTCGTAGCGATTTTCATCAAGAGACATTTTTTACGTAAAAAATCACGAAAATTTATATTTTTTCACTCAATAGTTTTATACAGGTACGGACAAAAAGTTATTACTCTTCAAACCAGTTAAAACACATGTAGGTGGCGCCCTCTACAAATAGAAATCATATTGACATCAAAATCAAATTTCTCAAGTCAAAAAACTCCCAGACACCAATTTTCATCCAAATATTTACTTTACTTCACAAATTATTTGGAAAAAATCGAAATAAAAATGAAACTTCTACACCCTCTATCTCCAAAAGTAAGCATTTTAGGACATACATTTATACGAACTTTTTTTACTTATTTTTATCTGCAGAATATGCTCCCGATATTTCCGGAATACAGTTTGGACCACCCTGAATATAAATCCGTCATGTGTCGTCTCTTGTTGTTTTTAACCAGTTTTATTGGTTTATTTTAAAAATGACAGATCATATTTCAGTATTATTGGAGTGACGGAACGATGAACGATGCACGGACACAGATACGTATGAACTCGACTTAAGATTCTTGAGACTTGTCAAACTCTTGCCAAATTATAGGTTATAATTTGTGTCAAACTGTTAAATATTTGCGAATTGCTTTTGCATTTTGGTTCGTGTTATTACGTGTGTTTTGTATTTTTTTGACAAAAAAAAGTGGAGGAAAAATCTCTGCAGAGAGATAATGTCAAAAAATGAGTACTGGTTTAAAAAAAATAATATTAAAGTTATTTAATCAACTTTCAAGGTATAAAAGCTTTAAGTGTTATTATTGATAAAATATTTTGTTTTATTTGTGTTGTGTTTTATTTATTCCTGTGCAATATTAAAAAAAATATATTTGGACATAAGTTATATTCATAAATATAATAATTGCAAAAAGTTCTTGAAGTTTGAAAGTAAGAAATAGTTCTTTTTAATATTTTTTTCTTGGTATGCGGTGTTTTGTTTAAAATACACTCCTGTTTGTTTTGTATTAACACAGACCGTAATTTAAAAAAAAAATGACGATTAGATTTTTCAGTTTTATACATTTATTTACAATATTTTTAAGTAATCACTTGTCACTCAAATTTTAAATATATTAATTTCATGCTATGCATTCCAAATATACCAACTTTAGTGGTTACAACAGCAAAATATAACACTAATTCGTCACAATAAACCAAAACAATTTACTTTTGCAATGTATGCGCGTTTCGCTAACCATGTTAAAAAAAGTTTTTTAAATTAACAAAAACAGTTTTTTAAATATCGTCCAAAAATTAATCACATTTTAGTTTACTTTAATTTTTCGAAGTTTAATATTCCTAACGTTAGTTGCATACTTAATGGCGTCACCAATAATCGAGCCAATCAAAAAAATCTACTAGTCTACGCTAATTCTAAAAACAATCGGTAAGTGTGCTACGCACTTGACTCAAATTAAAACTACCAAAACAACTAGTAAAAAGTGACGGTAATTGAGGTTAGAATACTTACGTTGACTGTCTCATTAGGTCATGGAATGACCCAGCAGGATGCCAGAGTTGGTTGGAGCCTATTCTCACACCTACATCGTATTCAGTTTTTTCCTGAAAATTGACAAGATTTATTAAAAAACGATAATTCTATTATCCGGCCGGTAGCTGTAGGCATTATACCAAAATACTACTACATCTATATCTCTCTGACTACTACTAACTGTTACTAACCAACAATTTGTTTTGTGTGATCTGTTTTTGTTTAAATGTTTTGTTCATTATTCATGTTGGGGATCTTTTAGACAGATGTCTAATTCTCAGAATGTTGTTAACAAAAGTTTCATCTTAAAATAAAATTTTAATCAATCACAATTGTTTATCTCCATCATTTACCGCATTAATAATACAGAAATTACAGTTCAATTACAAACAATTCATTATTTATAGCGATTTACAGTAATTTTGTTAAATTATAGGTATATTCTCGTTGATTGTTGGTTTGAAATAAAATTGACAGTATCCTCCAATGAGAATGCGAGTTACTAACTCCAAATACTTTTTCTGAGCTGACAAATGAGCGAGATGCTTTACCTAGACCGTTATTCAGAAGTTATAAACTTATCGATGAAAATATGCATGAAAATTTACTTCCTAGCACACAACCTAAGACTAACGTTAAGACGTTTCCCATAAAAATAAAAAGTTTTGGACTAAAACAGTTTTGATTTTTTTGTGTACGTCCAGCCTAAATGTTTGTATGCTTACCTTTAGAGTTTGCCGTTCTTTTCCTAAAGTTTTGAGAACGTATCTGTAATCTCTGGAATATCTGTTGAGGAAGTTCGTTAGACTGATCATACCGCTTTCGATAAACGCCCATATAAATACGAGCCAATGCATGGATTTTTGGAACAGCGTATATTCCCCTGGCAAAACAAAGGAAACAATTTAATACTGTACATCAGTTTCTGCTGTGCTTCAATAATTTCACTCATTTGTAAGCTACATACCAGTCTAATAGATTTTTTTGGTACTTTTTGTACTATGAATTAAATTCTGTAATATAAACTGACCGGCAAAAAAAACCGGCCACTAAAAACGAGACCCAATTTCAAAGTTGGATTTCTCGTGAACCACTCATGGGATTTTGATGATTGTAATTTAATTCCTTTTTAATGGATGCTACGTCAGAAATTTTTATTCCGAATTTATTTCGAGCATATACAGGGCACAACAATAAGACGAAGCTTTTTGCCACTTTTGAAGTTTTTTAACACCCTGTAGGGTGCAGCAGCGATAGTAGATTAAATCACTTTGTAGCAAATTAAATCACATTGTAGCCAATTAGATTGTGAAATCTTTTGTGAGCATTTTGTTGTTTTAATCACCACATTATCTCTTTTTGTATTGGAGATATGCTGTTTTAAAACGAACGTCTCGGAAAAAGGTAGAAAGGATTATGTGTAAATAATTAAAGCGACATAGGCGAAAACGGATTTATGAGTAATGTGCAATATGAAAAAAACGTTTGTCAAATTAAAAAATGCCATATGTAACGGATGTTGCTTGTATTGTGGCTTTAATTGAGAATGGCCGAAGTCAACGTTATGTCTCCGATACCCTGGGTATCAGTCCAGGATGCCTGGAATCGGTGTATGGAACGTACGATGTGGTACGGGAAATTTCACCAGGCGAGTGGACACTAGATATTAATCCCTTACAATTTCTTTACCTTTTTTTTTAATTTTCATGTTTTAGTTAGTTTTCAGGTTAAACTTACCTACGTTCTGATGTTTGATTTGTTTTTAAAGCTTTTTTCGAGGCGTTTGTTTTAAAGCAGCGTATTTCCAATACAAACAGAGATACTAATGTGATTAAAAAAACAAAATGTTCACAAAAGATGAGGCTACAGTGTGATTTGATTTAGCAATAACTACTACAGCTGCTGCACCCTACAGGGTGTTACAAAATTTGGGCAAAAAACTTCGTCTTATTGTTGTGCCCTGTATATGCTCAAAATAAATTCGGAATAAAAAATGCTGACGTAGCATCCGTTAAGAAGGAATTCGTTTAAAATTTAAAAAAAATCATAAAAATCTAATGGGTGGTTCGCGAGAAATCCAACTTTGAAATTGGGACTAGTTTTTAGTGGCCGGATTTTTTTGCCGGTGAGTATACTAAATAAATAAATTTACTTGGTTCAGTTATTTCACTAATCTCATCGTCCTTGCTGGTACTAGGCTGAGGATCTTCCTTTATCGTGACGCTCTTCGATGTCGGTTCTTCAACCTAATCAGACAATTTCATATTATTTTTCCATTCGACTATCACGTTAAAACATGTTACGAATTATTTTACATATACATTATTTTGAGTAGAAAATTAAATGTCAGTTTACACATATACACTACACGTTGTAATATAAAAGTTGTAAAGTTGTAAGTTTGACATGGTATAATTTTATTATAAGGCATATTGCTTCAGCTAATAGAGACAGAGAAGAAAGGCTACTACCACTCTACATACCACGTCAAAAGGCTTCACGTTCAAGCTTGTCGCCTTGAGTGTATTAGTACCGTATGATAAAAAAAAAGCAGCGTCAAAGATGGCTGGGGAATGACAACCGATGACAATTTTGGCGAGGTTAACTAATTAACATAAAACTTGTCAAAAATTACCACTAACTATAGAAAGATTAACAAAATGATAGAACGTTTCCAGACACACAAATTTATTTCAAAAAATTCTCGAATTTTAAACTACACCATTTATAGTTATTTTTATACAAGACGATAAAATGGTATTTTATCGTCGACCGAAAAGATTAATGAAAGAATTAATTTCGGGAGACGATAATGCAATTTTATCGTCGTGTATAAAACAATATTTTTTTCTATAGCGAGTTACGTTTTAAAAAATATTCAGAAATTATTATTCCAAGGATTTTATTACGAGTAGAAAAAATATTGTGCTGGGTTTGCGTTGGTTTCTATGTAATTTAACAAATAAATAAAGCTGTCTCTTTACTTGTCAGTTTTGAGTTAATATTTTTTAATTCTCTTTCGTGTCGATTGCTGATTGAATTGGAGCCAGAAATGGCTCAAAAGGAAATAAGTAAATTACCAACAGATATTCAACAGAGGCGACAAACGCCATATCCAAACTACTTCCATTTAAATCCCGAATAACTTATGAAAAGAAATACAAAAATTTTCAAAAATGGAAGCTATTAAAAAACGTGTGAGAAAAAATAAAGTTTTTAACCTATCCTCGCTGTTAAAGTATCATTTAATCTACCGTTGCGGTTAAAGTACTATTTTATCTACTATTTTTGATAGTTATAAGGCAATTTTAACAGTTGCTATGGAAAAAAATCATATCTATCTAGGGTTGAGCCTAGAGGGGACCTAGGGATTTTAATTTTTAAAAAATGAAGAATAACAATATTAAAAAAAATTGAATAAAACATTTCTCTATCAATAAATTTCTTAGATTTTAAATAGCTACAAATTTTGTAAAAGAATAAAAACTAACACATTTTTTGAACAAAACAAAATAATATTAACTAAACAAAACTAGAAAACGTCATTTTTACTACATCACAAGCCAATAAAAAAGCTCTTTAAGTCCTTTATTTTGTTAAACTATTCGAGAGGATGTTTCAAAGTTTCGTCAAAGTATCGACATGTTTATCCAAAAAAATCCTTATGGGTTTTTCGCCACTGCACTAAAATCTACAAAATAAAATAGTTATTTTTTGTAAACACTTCTGGCGTTAAGCCTAAACGGACGCTGCTTGTCAGAAGTTGTGTTTACAGTAATAAAAATTTGCCTAACAAAGAAAAAAATGCTTAACGTTTCGGAAAGTTTTCTCTTTCCGTCGTCGGAAGCAAAAAAATATAAAGAATCAAGAAAAAAACTATTTAAAATATTTAAATTGAACTATTCGAGAACACTTTACTTTTTAAAACAGATACGTCTACAAGAAATGAGAACGTCAACGATTTGATTTTATTCTTGAGAACGTCAACGATTTCTTGTAGATGTATCTGTTTTAAAAAGTAAAGTGTTCTCGAATAGTTCAATTTAAATATTTTAAATAGTTTTTTTCTTGATTCTTTATATTTTTTTGCTTCCGACGACGGAAAGAGAAAACTTTCCGAAACGTTAAGCATTTTTTTCTTTGTTAGGCAAATTTTTATTACTGTAAACCCAACTTCTGACAAGCAGCGTCCGTTTAGGTTTAACGCCAGAAGTGTTTACAAAAAATAACTATTTTATTTTGTAGATTTTTCTTGCAGTGCAGTGGCGAAAAACCCATAAGGATTTTTTTGGATAGATGAATCCGCAACATAGGTATAGATATTTTTTATCGACATGTTATTTCCCTCGTATAATAGACAAATAGGAACTGCCATTTTAAGTTTAGAAAGAATCTAAAAAGTCAAATAACATAGCTACAAATTGCTTAAAAAATCATCAACATCGGACCTAGAACAAAATATATTGAACTTGAAGACATTTACAATTACAAATTTTAAGGTGTTCGTTTTTCGTGCCAGTCAATGTATTTAAAATAGTGTTTAACTAATAAAATAAATATTAAACAATTAAAAATACTTTAGTATTTTTTATAAATTTGAAAATAAGTTCATGCAAAGCGGATACTAGTATGTGCATAAAGCAACCAAAAAAATATTATAAAGCAAATTATGTAAGTAAGACTCAATTGCAAGCGAGAGAGAAATTTATCCTTGTTAGTGGAAGCGGTCAAACTGTTGTGCTAGTATTAGTAACTCACTGTTGGGGGAGCGGGTAGCGGGGCGGACATTGTGGACCGCGCAGACTTTTTTCTAGCCAGCGGCACGCTCGAGCGCCGCTTCATGCTCTTGCGCCGTTCACGCAAAACGGTTGACATGTCCGTTTTAATAGCGGCATTCAAAAACTACAAACCCATCAACGTCAAATATATGCGTCAAGAAGGATGATCGCCTACATGCAAATAGGTATTTCGTACCCTTCACCGTTAAAATACAGCCAGATTGGATGTTTTCCCAAGAAACTACGATTAATAGAACAAAAAGTACAAGGTGTATACGAAAAATGGCAAAGTTGCAATATTTTATGACCAACATTATTAACTCGGGTTTATTTAAAGAGTTATTTTTAAAAATAAATGTTACTTCATTACTGTTACTTTCTTCACATTATAGGTTTCATGCATTTCAGTTGATTTCAACAAATTCCGACCGCAGCGCTTCACGGCAGAAATCAGAAATTATTGTTAGGAATTTACGCCGCCGCCATGTTGATCGCATTAAAATAATATTGAAATCGTGGTTTTCTCATAATATTTAAGTATTTTAGTTTTTTGTTGGTGCAGTTATTGAGTGAGTATAAAACACTCAGGTACGAGGTTTGTGTAATGTAACGCTGTTTCAGGTAGTAAAAAATAAGTGAAAAAGAATTCGTACTAGGCGTCGTGTTGTGTTGTGACAATTTCAAATGTTAATGAAATTTCCGAAAAATGATTAACGCGTAAAGAGAGCGTAATTAGGGCGTTGTTGGGTGCAATAACATTCAATAACACAACTTTCCCGGATATTCTCTCCCGAAACAACAATTTATCGGTTCATAGTTTCTCACACCGATTTGATCAAAAGCAAAAATGGGTTTAAGATTCAAGCAGTTTGACGAAACAACTCAGTAACCAAAGTGCTCGTTACATAATAAAAAAAATAAATAGTCATATACTACTATACTGAGAGAATAAAATATAATTTGCAATATTAATAGTATACTTTTTTTAATCAACTAGATTAAATGTTTATGAACATTTTCTAACCTAACCTAACCTAACTCAATTTTACGACATCCACTAAATAATGTACTTTTTGGCATATCAAACCAAGTAGTTCCTCGAGAAAACACCCTGTACAGCGCTTTTAAATGTAGACATATATTCAATTTAATTAAAAAAATCGTTTGCATAGGTATATAAAGTCTGCCTAACGAGACCTGAAAATTTTCAAAAAACATGAAAACGACAAAAAATACAATTTGCCTGTGAATTAAAATGTTACTATTATATCACCTCTTGTTGGACAGACTTTAGTTGGTTAACTACACTCCGTGGCAGATTATTTTTGTATTAAAGATATTTTAAAATGCAAAAAAGTTTTTAAAAAATGGTTTTAGAGAACAAAATATAACGTAAATATGATATAGAACTAAATACTCCAATATAAAGAATCTTTCATTAAAAAAATGAACAAAATATTACTGTATTATCAAGTCTACGTTAATAGTTACATAAAAACATTGTATGTTTCATATATTCGATAACAATTAAACTTTTAGTTACGTAATCGAGGGCGCGATTTTTAAATTCATTGTTGCCAACCACGGACATATTCGACGCCGGGCTGACTAACTGGAATTTAAATTTCCCGCTTTGTATTCAGGTGGTACCTCTGTTGTAAAAAATGCCAAGTTGCCACATTTATTTATTTATTTCTTGATATTGTCATTCGTTTTGGCACTTCAGTTTTATATTACGAGTTTTTGGTATAAATGAATTGTGTTGTGATACTTTAAGCTTAAACATTTTTACTAGCAGACCTTGCAGTCGACCATTGTTCTTTTTAGAACCTCTTTTAGAGCGAAGTGTACAAGATAGCTTAATAGCCGTAAAAAATCATTTGCACTTTTATTAGAATATTTTGAACGGGAAAGCTGTAGTAATGGCGCTTTATGTCCCTTAAGCAATGTAAGAAGGTGACTTTTGTTGTTGTAAATACTAACTGTTTATATATTTATAATTAATTTATTTTAGTTTCCTAAAATATTTTGATTAAAAGAAAATATGTAAAAGTGGTCAACGCTGTGCCGGTCAAGCTTAATCACGTGACTAAAAGTTTATTTGATATGAACTATACTAAGGGCTGGCAAAGGTTAGTCTTGGGTCGAGATTTCCGTATGTAAGAAGAGTACAATGCGTTTATAATGTACTGAACAAAGAGAGGACAGTAAACACGTTGCCAAACGTATGAAATAAACCGAGAAACTGTGCACATCGCTAAGAGACGTGGAAGGGGATATAGCAGATTTGTCGCAGTTGACCGGTCGACCCAATCAATACCTCTGTCAGTACTTAAAGTTCAAGGGAAAGGTGTACGTCACGCGTTCAGCTTCACGATTTAATTACGTCTCGTGATACTTAATTTGTTTATTTATTAATGAGTCGTTGTAATTTTCCCTATAGCTTGAATTTTTTTAAGTGCAAGCTAGAAACACTTGCATTTTTGGTAAAAATAAGTGGAATTGAGTGCGTGTTCGATAGTGGTCGCGCTATTAGAACTCTGAATTCAAAAATCGATATCTCGAAATCTATTAGAAATAATAGATTGTAGTTTTTTCAAGAACTTTGTTAATATTTCTGCTGTATTTTCTTTGTAGACAGTATGTGAAAATCTTTATCAATAAAAAAAGTACACGATTGCTGAAAATTGCTATGCTCTAAAAGTAAATGGATGGATTGTGTACAATTTTTGAATGGAAAAAACAACCTTATAGAATTTTTCTTATGTAAACATATTGTAAAATATCCGATCTTGAAAATAAAAAAAGTTTCAATATCTAAAGTGGCTCTTGAGTTATGGCCTGATATGTGTTAAAAAATTGAGTTTTTAAATTATCGCGATTACTGACGTTTTCTCGTTATAAAAAAATCACACCCTAACGATATCCTTATAATCCCATTTCAGATGCTCAGAAACATTTCAAATGATTTTATCTAGTTATCTCTTGAAAAAAAATAAAAATAAGCGGTTTGCGATCGTGATTTTACTTTACTTGATAGGGAAAGGCGTATCGGCAACGCCGCAACAGCACACCGTCGCGCGTCGCGTCGGTCGGTCGCATTTCTCTCGCTCCGACTTAATAAGATCCCTATGCGATTTACTTCCACACATGTAAATGCCGATCCAAAAGTAACAGTTGCCAGCACGGTATAACAACCAAACCATTTTTCGTGCAAATATTAACACCTGTACCCAAAAATACCCTTTCGTACCAGAAATAAAGCTCAACGACCCTAACTCTTTGTTGTATAAAAAATGTGGCTTATTAAAACCTACAGACTCAAAAATTAATAATAACATGTGACAAAAAAATGATTTCTATGGTAAGTATGACGTTCATATTTTGATTAGATTTAGAGTCCGAAAATCATATTTAAAAAAGTTTTATGATTAGAGACTACTCGTATTTCACTTTGACTTCCATAAGAATTGCTCATCTGTAATCATAAATAATAACTTTTTGATCACATCGTTAAATGTTTTTCTTAAAAACACACTGGCTCTGTAAACGTATAGTAACCGCTAATAATGTAAATTTGAGAAATTCACGTCACAAAGTATTCTCTACATATAATAACTACTATTTTAGCTAATAATTGCCATAAATATGACAACCATGCACCAAATAATAAGCATTTAATAATACCTTTGAATAAAAAAATTAAGAAAGGAGCATATTATCAAAAATCTTAGATCGACCGCAACGAGACTCTAAAATGGCCGACTTAAATTCCGGTTGATCAGTGCTGTTCTAATTTTATTCAAAACGTGTAAAAATATGATGTAGGGTAGACTCAATAATTTGTTGTTTTATTTTACGTTGTGAATAAAAAATGTTGGTAGTTATTAAAATTGTTATAAAAATATATAACTCTAATAAAAATAGATAAGTTATAATAATTATTTATTAACACAAACATCCGATACGCTACTGAACCAGGTAAGTCAAATTGACGTATCTAAATTCTTTAACATCTAATCTTTGACAAGTAGTAAATAAAAGCAAAAATGCAAGAAATAATTAGTTAATTTTAAGTGAATTACATAAATGATCGGTTTACTACACGTATGTATATTATATATCCACTTCCTAGCGAAAAGTTATTCCATTGTTTCACTCCATTTTTGACTGAGATCTGCCGCACGCTAGTCAACCAACTATTTTACAGTCTTTTTCGATAAATTGCAATAGTGTCACTGTTAATGTAAGTTCTGCCACAATTTCCTTCTAGATTTACTAGCTCTAAAAAACTATCAGTAGTATAATAAATAATAAATAAGATAAAATAAGCTCAGTAAAGACTGACAAATCCACAAAATTTCAAATCAAATTCAAATGAGTCAAATGAATCGTCAAACAGAACTGTCAAGGATCCCCATCCTAGAGTTCCTCTTTCCGTCGACCATGCATGAATACATGGATAGTATTATACTCCTTCCTTAATCTTTTTATTCAAAGAATTACCTGTTATTAATCATACCGTATCCTAAAGAACCTAGCAAGAACCGCAATGGATAAAATCTTAAACTACTAAGTCATATCTCATAATATCAAAAAGGAATTAAAATCATAGAAAACAAAAACCAAATGTTTTTCTAAACTTTTAACAAACATATTATCAAAAATACAAACAAGCTAAAATATTCATATTACTACTTACTTCGCCCATTGTAGGCATATCCGATTTCTCATCATCATCCCTAATTTCTTCTGGAAGTAAATCCAACTCATCGTCCAGCTCATCAAACATGTAGTAATCGCCAGATCGAATAGCTATGAAAAAATACCATAAAAAAATCAATAAAAGTTGATTAAATTCACTAATTTGGCCATTTTCTAACTAAAAGTCATGCATTGATAATTAAAACTACTAAAACAAGAATAAGAAAAAAATAAAACAATTTTTAATATTTAATTACTTTGATAAAATTTTGTAATTTTGATATAGACATACAAAATCTTAACATTTTCCAAATTGTGAGAATTACGTATTAGAAAATGGTCAATTATACACAAATTCATGCTGTTAGGGTGATATGAAAACACATAGTGATGATAAAGACAGATTTGAGATAGATGAACCAAAAATATAGTTTAGTGTTATACAATTTCAATGTGCAGCTTCGCGTAGGATCGCTGTATCGTTCTCGTATTAGTCTCATCCACTGTGAAAATATCATACATCTCTGTTTGAGATGTAGGTATATATTCTGGATTCTGGTTTAACCAATATAACCAACCACTCCAGATCTATAAGAATAAAAAATAATAAATTCCTTATAATGGAGATATTTAAAAAAACTAGTAAACAGTAAAATACAGAATTGGTTCATCACGTGTTTGTTAATAGGATCTAATAGTAGGTATGAATCCTATAGTGTGAGTTACTGTGCGTGTTAAAGTTTTGGCCTTTACCCAAAAAGTCTTTATTGGGGGACTAGAAATAAAAATAGGATGCCCTTTTGAAAAACTACCCCAAAACCACCCCCAAAGGTACATTTTTTTAGTTGTTCTCAATTTTCTCAGAAACTATTATTTTTTCGGGAAGTTGTCAAGAGACCTAATTTAAATAAAATAAAATTTCCTATCGATTGGTATATAACATGTCTATTTTCAACAAAAAATAAATACTAACCTAACCCTAAAAATATTGCAAAAATACTTTGCTTGCATAATTTTCTCCACTTTATCCAATTTTGAACAGGTACTTATAAAACAACAGGTACTAACAGGTAATATAAGAAATATCAGAAAAGGCAACCTTAAGACACAAAATATAAAAAAAAAACAACACAAAATAAACAAAAATATACCAGAAATATACCGTATAGATATAATCATGAAATCAAGATTTTGAGCATACGCATTTGCATAATAAAGTACAGGGAAGATTCTTTTTTTACAACTGCATGCTTTAAGACAGCCCTTCTTACAGTTACATTTGATAAGCTCCTCGCAGGCTTTACTAACTTGTGGGATTGATATCCACTTCAGGCTAAGTTTGGCATCAGGAGATTTCTTGGGATCAGATTCATCCAGCCAAAATCAGAAGGGTCTGAAGCATGAATTAGAGGATTTTTCGCAGAAACCCATATGCTCGCTTGATACACAGTCCTTTTGCAATGTAGCAGTAGAGCATCCTGCGTTTCATATCACCCTAACAGCCTGCGTATGGTCTCTGGGTTGTGGTTCCGGTGGCAAAATATCTCCTTTCTGAGCTGGTTCAAACTTTTTGTTTCCCCACCGTAAATTTGAACAAAAAATGATTCTAGTTCACTGAACAAGGGAAAGTCTATTTCAATAGTAAATGGTTTAGTCAAATGCTCACACATTGCAGATATTAAAAACTCTCCTCTTCTTTGCATTGCAAGGAATGCGGTCTTTTTTTTATCTTCCTCTTATAGATGATGTGGAATCACATCCTGTTAGGGTGGTAAATAGAGGCAAAGCGCGGCTAAGTTTCGATCCCAAAGCGTGGTATAGGTTTCCGATATTTAATTTTCTTCTGTTTTTTCCCGTTCCATAATATAGATGATAGCTGGCTTCTCTAAATTACGTCAGCTTACGACACCTTATCTCCGAGACCGCCGCAGCGTGGCCCTTCTTCGAAAAACAAAGCTGGAGCAATATTGCGAATGTTGCATCATTCTTATAAGTTTAGTCAGTTTAGATCGACTTTCGAACTGTTCACGTATTTCTAAGCGGAATAAAACGTATTTTGAGGAATATAGTGGTTTAATTTAAGTAAAAAGACTAATTATCTGTCCCTAATCTAACATCAGAAGTGAGATTATGCCCCAGTGTGCCCAAAAGTAGTGAAAAGTGAAGTTTTTGAACATTAAGACAGTATTGCGTAACATGACGACATGTGCCAATTTCTGACGATACCGATTTTGATCTATCAGAAGAATAATTTCTCCTTTGTATTGGTGATCGTTAAAGGATAAATAAACAATAAAACAATCAATTTGTGAGTGCCTTCAGAACGAAAACATTAAATTGAAGAGAAGACATTGTTCCGTCGGAGTGTGTTGGAGATTCAAATGGAAATGTATCAACAAATGTCGAGCCGATTTCTGAATATTCTAAAGGTACAGTACAGTCACAGTACAGCGAAAAGAAGCATTTATTAATTTATTCGCTATCCAACAACGACAAATTGCTGACTTAGCGAAACAAACAAAGATGGCGATGATGTCATCGTCGTATTTGAAGCCAACGCCTCATCGTAGCAGATGTATCTTGTGCGCAAGCTTCGTTTTGTTACACAACCTGTAAACGAGCAATCTACGAAACTACGATCAAGACAACAGCCGAACAGCGTATACGCAATTCACGAATGGCTGAAAGACTACGAAGCGTGACGAAATTCATCGAAATACAAAGAAGTTAAAGATCGAGTCGGACCGAGTCAACGATAAGATGACGATTATTAAACAAGCAAGACTTTAAAAACATAGAGTAATCAATACTGTCGCCGAACGCCGGACGTTTATGATGACCTCATCACCGCTTTTTCCGAGAGAGATGGCTACAGCTCAGGCAACTGTTATTGTTGAGCAAAGAAAACCAACTTGGATCACGGTGCTTCCCGCTGCTTGCCGCTGCAGAAGATAAACACAATCCATTCGAGAGTTGGTCACATACCAGATGTGTTACGTCATGGATCAAGTTCCAGATTAATGGTTCCTCAGCATTTTCCGCGGCGACGCGACGCACCGCCACCGATGTCGTCAATCCGGACAAGGCTATTGCAGAAGCTGAAGGACGATTGGAAAATAGCCCGAATAAGCGAGCTCAGCACTTTAATGTCTAGCACAGCCAAACTGATTTGTTTACTTCTGAACAAAAGTTGAGTATTAAAAAGTTTTAGTAATATTGAGAATATTATTAATCAAACTATTTTATTTTTATTTGTTTATGGTTGGAGATCTCATGACCGAGAAAGTTTCTCAGCTGACAGACGACTGTAAGGCCCCACAGTTCGTGCATTGTTACCTAAGGATAGATATGCGCTGCATCAGCAACATATCAGCAAGATCGGCGGACCACCGTTGCCGTTCGTAAACAACTATGACCATGGCCTTCCACAATATAAAAAAAGCTAAGTATCAGACCATGTGACATACAGTCTTACAAACGATTTAATTTAGTTCTTACTGGTAATGTAAGAATTGGTAATTTAATAAGTTGTCAGACAAAACTTATTTCAGAATTGAATTTAATTATTTGTTCTCATTTAGTAAGTTGTCATTTAAAAGTGGAAAACTTTTAGAAGGGTTATAAAAGTTAATCTGTACAAGAAAAATAATAATGCTATAGTTAATTTTAAATTTCAATGAAAACAGTGGCAGTTAGTTTCCTTTGTAGTTAAGATAAAATGCCCATATATTGCCAGAGTTTGTTTTGACAGTTTATACAGATTGTTAAATAGTACATTACCAAGTTATGAAGCGTATTGAAATCACTAAAATAATTTAAAGATGCAATCGAACTAATTTTATTTCGAACAGTTGGAACCGAACGCTAAAAAATGTTTTAACACTAGAATTTACTTTCTGGAAAGAAATTTATCGTTTATTATGAGAACTTACAGAAAAAAATTAAAACATGCAAAAATGTGAGATTAACATTATCGTTTAACAATAAGTTCTGGAATTTTTAAGCTACATGAACGAAAATTGTTTCGTGTTTGAAGATATTTTTATAGACAAACAAAAAGGATTTTGCTTAGGTTTGGTTTGGTAAACACTTTTCAAAATCATAACATTTTGATATTTTATTATCTTGTATGATCATGTAGATCATGTTCTTATCTTCTTTTATATCAGTTGAATGAGTCTGAAACTGAGAAGCTGAAACTGAATGAAACTGAGTACTAACTAAGATAATAAAATTAATTTCTAAGATCTAACAATGTCAAAAGTAGACTAGAGAAATTAGGATTTGATATCTTGAGAAAACTGATGTTTACAGATGTTATCATAATTTTAAACATTCCATACAACATAAATTAGCAGCGTACAAATCAATGGTTCATTCAGCATGTTCTCTCGCACTAAGTGAAGCTATCAGAACTAAAGAATTAGAAACAATACAATAAGACAAAACACTAGGTTTAATAAAAGCAATAAATAAAATAATGAGAAGTTAAATGGTACAGCGGTAGCATTTGAACCGTCTTAGGCCATATCAGGTTTACTTTTTAATGTAAATATAGGAAAACAACACTATCAATCTATAAGTTGAACTGTTCAGAATGCAATATCTGTTATATAAAGACCGGTAGAAATTTAGAAGGTAGATTCAAAGAACATAGAAGATCTTTTATAAAAAAAAATATTTCTGCTTGGCAGATGAAAAAATCCATAAGTATTAAAGGTTCTTTTAGTTGCGGCTTTTGACGATGTGGTAAATTTAAAATGTCCATAGCCAACATTCTCATTTTAGACTTGGGTAAATGAAAAAGAGTAAAAAAATAGAAAATGAAATTACGCTAATCATTTCATAGAATCAGGCCATCCATTTTCAGATGGCAAGTGCATTCAAGTAATGCAAGTGTTTAGAAAGACGCAGTAGATAAGACTACTAGAATTCATCAAAATTTACGAGTATAGAAAACAGACTTAAAAAAAGACAAAATGCAACTCCAGACAGAGCTGAGAGCTTATTAGTTCGTGATGTATTTTATTAAAACAAAGCATTTTTTTTGTTTGTTTATTTTAGACATATGCATGCTGCATGTGTTACTTTATTTTACGTTTTCTTTTGAAGAAGCATTCTGGGTCCAATAAAACGCAAAATGATAACAATTATGGAATCAATTTATATCCACTTGATTGATTTGTTTTTAAGTGTGTGAAAAGGAAATGCATCTCTTTTCAAAAAAATAATTAAAGTAAATGACTTTATTCTTGAAATGTTTAGATGGTGGTGTACCTACCATCAAAATTGATTAAAATAATTTTAAGAAAATATTGTACAACTTGTACCTAAGCCTGTAGCAAAAAAATAAAGTATTTTTTTTATCTGTAGCTTAGATAATCGACAGGCATTCGCTGGGAAAGCAATGTAAAATTACAATAATTGGATATAATCAGTCAGGTAAAACAACCCTTAATACCATTGCTGTAAATGTCAGGAGTGGACGAGCATACTCAAATGAAAAACGTATGATCGTAACGCAGTTACAGTAGAGAATGCCCAGTTTAGTGGAGGCAAATTAGGCCCTTGATACAAAGGACCGTTTAAGATAACGGCTTGTCTGCCTAACGAGCACTATGCAATGATTGTTCCCGTCAGGTTATATTTAAAGGTCCCTGTTTTGACAGGCTATATTTAAAGGTCCCTGTTTTGACAGGCTATGTTTAAAGGTCCCTGTTTTGACAGGCTATATTTAAAGGTCCCTGTTATGACAGGCTATATTTAAAGGTCCCTGACTAACAGGCTATATTTAAAGGTCCCTGTTTAACAGGCTATATTTAAAGGTCCCTGTTTAGCAGGCTATATTAGAGGTCCCTGTGTATCAGGCTGTGTTAAAAGGTCCCTGTTTAGCAGGCTATTTTTAAAGGTCCCTGCGTGGCAGGCATAAATTGATTTTATTTTAAGGTTTCTGATTTACCAGGTTATACTTACAGGTCCCTGCGTAGCAGGCATAAACTGGTTTTATTTTAAGGTTTCTGATTTACCAGATTATACTTACAGGTCCCTGCGTGGCAGGCATAAATTGATTTTATTTTAAGGTTTTGATTCACCAGGTTATATTTAAAGGTCCCTGCATGGCAGGCATAAATTGATTTTATTTTAAGGTTTTGATTCACCAGGTTATATTTAAAGGTCCCTGCGTGGCAGGCATAAATTGATTTTATTTTAAGGTTTTGATTCACCAGGTTATACTTAAAGGTCCCTGCGTAGCAGGCATAAATTGATTTTATTTTAAGGTTTCTGATTCACCAGGCTATACTTAAAGGTCCCTGCTAGGCAGGCATGTACAAGGTATCTAGGACTCTGGTTTGAGTGAATTAAAGGTCCCTGTCTTATCAGGCTATATTGAGAAGATGCTTAACTTAAATGTGAGAAATTAATTAAGGTCCCCAAGCCTCTCGTTTGGGCATGGTTTTACGAACATAAACTTCGGCAATGTAAAGCGTCAAGAATTTGTATTTTGGTTAAGTTACTTTTATTTTTGAAAGTTGGATTCTTAAACTAGTTTTGTTTAGCCTTAACCCCTCAGAGGTTAATATGGCAAGCCTTGAAATTTTTGTTTTGCTTTGATGTTGTAAAAGTAACTGCCAGTAAAATCAGTTAAGGAAATTTTGTCTTCAAGATTAATGCAGATTAATTCTGATTTGTTCCCCGAATATATTTTGAACAGTAAGTGTTCTGAAATATTTGCAGATTACCGCTGTCAAAGTTTACACGCTGTCATGTGTTCAAACTGCAAACGGTGCGAGGACACCCCGACGTCAGGAAGGCCGTGATAGCTGGCTTCTCTAAATTACGTCAGCTTACGACACCTTATCTCCGAGACCGCCGCAGCGTGGCCCTTCTTCGAAAAACAAAGCTGGAGCAATATTGCGAATGTTGCATCATTCTTATAAGTTTAGTCAGTTTAGATCGACTTTCGAACTGTTCACGTATTTCTAAGCGGAATAAAACGTATTTTGAGGAATATAGTGGTTTAATTTAAGTAAAAAGACTAATTATCTGTCCCTAATCTAACATAGATATATTGAAAAATCGGGACTAAGCTCTTGGAAATATTCGAAATGGTATATTAGGATACAATTATATCGGAGTCTACGCTTTTCACGAGAACTGTTTTTGATCCTGTCTTTAGAGCATGAATTATATGTAGGATAATTTTGGTATCTGCTTCTTCGTGATCGCAGTTTTCAAACATCTCTGCTCCCGGGCCAACATGTCGAACAGTGTTTTCGTTTTCATGTGTAATGTAGAAATCACACTGGACTCCTAATTTAATTTTTGAACATTCGTTAGATAAAGGAAAAGATCAGTTTTATTATCCGAGTTCCGAAGAAATTCAGACCAGGTATTTTCGTCGTAGAACTGATTTTGATCCTGGCACTGGTACCACGATTTTCTCTTGTGTCCGACTTAATTGACATTTTCCAATAACTATCCCACGTTATGTGCAACTGAGGCTTGTTTTTGAATTCTGATAATATGTATGTCAAGAAACATCTGTTTACATAGTCTTCGAAAGAGATCGTGTCGATTTAAAAGATGTATCAAACCACATCGCCTACCATCCACTACTACGCTATCAAAGTATTGAGGGATTCCAATTTCTGCTGTTTCAGCTGTATCTGAGTTTTCTGTGTGACTCAATACAGCTTAAAATGTCGGATTTTGGTTTGGTTTGGTTCAACTTATTGCGTTCGGTAATGATTGCGTACTGCGCTGCGGTGCGGCTGAAAATTTATAGCAGCGCTGCAAAGTCATAGAAAGAACGAAATTAGTTTTAAAAATAACTGGAAACATTCAAAATAGTTACTTTTCTTCGAAATGATCAGATCATTGGAAGTTTAATTTCTACTTTTATTAATATAGGTAATATTAGTCCAGCTCGTCACATTTTTTATTTTTATCCTAATATTATTACCGTTTTTTTCGATTATTAATCAAGTGATTATGAACTTTGTATACGCCAGTCGATAGGAAATTTTCTTTTTTTTAAATTAGGCCTCTTGATATTTTTCCAAAAAATAAATAGTTCCCGAGAAAATTGCAAAAACATAAAAAAATGTACCTTTGGGGGTGGTTTTCTCTGAATCCTTCATCCTATCTTTTTTTCTAACCAACCAATATACCCATTTCCAGTGAAGGCCAAACTTTAACACGCATAGTAACTCACGACCCATTTTAGCATAGGATTTAATACCTACTATAAGGCCAGTAGTACACTATCAAATTTCTTTGTCAAAGATTTTTTATAAAATATATTTGATGAAAAATTTGACATTGTTAATATACAATATTTTATAAAATCCCTAGATCATATATACCTACTTACGAGGATGCATAAACGCCATACGATTAGCATTAAAAATGACGTATCCAGCATCACGACATGCCATTTTCAAACCGTCTTTATTGCACTTATGAAACGTTCTTACTTTGCGCATGCGCATTAAAAGCTTATTAAAAGTTGCACGTATTTCCAAAGTAATCAGCATTTTATACGGTTTAGACAAGTACAAATTATACATTGTTATGGAAGCCAACTTTTCATTGTTATCAGCATAGATAAGACTTATAATATGTTATCATATTGTGATAACATATGTCATAATCATGTCCAATCATATGTGTTCAGTGAGAAGCCAATCTTAAGTTTGTGCAATTATATTTCTATTTTTATTTCGTTGGACTTTTTAAATACTCGTAAAAATGACTAGAAAGTGTTTGGTGTGTGGAAGTTCTAATATAAAGGTCCTTGAATTATCTTTTCATAGGTAAGTAAAGTATTCAGTTGTTCTTCTATTTATATTAAACCAGATGCATAGTTTCTGGCAAATATATTTAAAGACTATATGACTAGTCAGGCACAGAAATTGAAGCCAAATTTTTGAGATGGAGCTATACAAAATCCGCATAAGTCAGTCCTTTTGTTTCAACGGCTTTGAACTAAGGAAGCGTGAGAAGTGCTTTGCGATTAGTTGATTTATTTCATACTAACCAATACAAGTAGTTTTCAGAGTTTCTATATACTACGCAAATCAAGTTAGCGTCTTACTGTTCGCGTCTTTACTTATAAATTTAATCTCTGCCATACTTAAACAAAAATAAGAAACGGATAGATTTATCTATATTTCAAAAATATATAAAAATTGAAATAATAAACATAACATATTATATATTATTAATATTTAGAGTTTAAAATAGTGCGCGGGCAGTTGACAGCGTTCAGCGATGAAGTAGACGAATCAGATCGTTTTATTTGTGGCGTGAACATAAAAATCGCGTTGAACCAAAAGGATAGACTTATGCAAGATTGATATTCATATTTCATTTGTTTGGCTTCACTTTCCACTCATTGTGTAAATGGGCTATTAACCATATAGTCTTTAAATATATTTGCTTTCTGGTTAGATTTCCTAAGAATATTGATATTCGTACGGAGCGGCTAAATGTATTTTTTATATAATTAAATTTTTTGTGACAGTAAATATTTAATTTATTGTTCAAATACATATACGCATTTTACAAATTAAATTTTTAAAATTAATATTAAAATTTGGCGAGGGGACGATATGTCCTCGACAAGGATAGATAGAGTATAAGCACCACGTGTGCAACAAAGAAAGAATATAAATGTAAGTCGTTGATATGTTTGCGACAGTTTCCATAGTGATTTACTTATCCACGTAAGTATATATGATCTAGGATAAAATCACATATATTACACTGTCAAATTCTTTGATAAAACAAAGAAATTTGATAGTGTAATACTGGCCTAAGAAGAATTAATTGTGCACCCAAATTATATACCACATGCAAAAAACAAAAAAAAACATCAAGCTATAAAAAATTCGTCATCTAATTTAAAAAACTTAGTGCGCTATCATTACATTGTGACATCTAAAAAGAGAATAAAAAACACATAAATAACTAAATATATAATACAGACGTATAGAAACAAATTAAATAAATATTTTTAAGTGTTAATACTTTTTTAGACGTGAATTTCCCTATTCCACTGACTACAAATCCGGACAAGAATGGAAAAACAACAAAAAAAATCAATTCTCCCACAAATGATATTCTCTATCCTACATTCGGGATAAAACAACGATAACAATGAAATACAAAAATATTAATTGATTTACCCTGTTTAAACGTTACTGGTTGACTTCTCCTATACATAGGCCTACGCTCTAAAACTGAATCTATAATAAAAAAAAACATTCAAAATAATATTTCGAAAAAAAATATGGCTAGTAGATATTTTTGTACAGAGTATTTACATATATAGAAAAGGAAGATATTAGTCCACTAAATTTGGTACAATCTATTGTAAAAATCATACATTATTGGTAAGCGACAGTCTTGTGTCGGTATTTACGTGTCTAGGTGTGAATCGGTCGCTTTTGAAAGTCGGGGAGAGAAATATGCAACAAGTATTTACTGTATAACCAAAATGCCAAAAGTTGACATATGATATGTCATTCAGTTCGGAATGCCATTTTCTATCAAATAAAGTAAAAAAATACAGGGGGTACCATTTAAAAATCAAAGGCTGTAGTCATTTCCGGTATAACAGGAAGTAACAGAAAACAATTGAATACGTCAAAACATCCTGATTATGTCAAATACTAACATACCAAATCTCGTTTATATCTGAAAAAATAAAAATGTGAAAAAAAAACACCCGGTAGACATTATTTAAAATTCAATGTTATTAAGAATACACCCCCAAATTTAATGGACTTTTCAAAAATATATATGTACATCACAAGCATCGACATACGTCATGGAAAAGCTATATACGCCGCGACATCTAGACACAAAACCTCCTCAGAAAATTACATTCGTGGTGGCTGAAGTGCGACCTCGTCGAGTACGAGATGACGCTCTGCCTGGGCGTGACCAAACTGCCCTGCAACCACGCCGGCCCCAGGCTGATCTGCCTCTGGACGGGTCCTCTAGGTGGCTCGCTCACCGCCTCGGCGTAAGGGGGCGCCTCGTCGTACGGCGGAGGCGAAAAGACGGGGAAACTGTCATCAGGGGAGGGTGGTCGAGGATTCAACTCGGAATTGGGTGGTGAGGAGAAAGATATTCTTTGAGGTTCCAGGTAGCCTTCGAGGGAAACTGTCATTACTGCGGAATACGGTGAAGGGGGTGCTTGAGGATGGATGGTGGAGGAACGAGGGGTTAGAGGGGCAATGTCTTCGTCCTCTTCTTCGATGGGGGTGTGGTAGCCGGTGCGGTTGGTGCCCTGGGAGGTTACGGATGAACAAGACGAGGCGGAGCTGGCTCGAGCCAACGGGGGTTTGGCTAAACACAATATTGAGGAGGTGGTTCAATGTCGAGTTGAAACGACGTTGAGTATAAACAACTATAGGATGGTTCATGCTTTCGATCTTAACCCTAACAATATCATTAGTCCTAACTTCAAAATAAAACAACGCTAAAGAACGCTAGCGTTCATGCTTCAAATATCGCGATCCTAACAAATTAGCCTTAGTCTTAAGAGTCTCCTAAGGAGTATATGAGTTCTATTATTCTTTTTCTATTCTTAGAGCTAATGCTAATACCAAATTGATTAAGTGTTGACCCAACTCCAGGATTTTTAAGAATTACCGAAATAATATTTGACATATACCTTGGTCATTGTGAAAATTAGACTCTCTCAATTTCCTACATTCTAAGAATATTTGTCAAAACATGTTTCATATGAGCGCAAGCGCATACTTAAATATTCTTGAGACAATTTGGTGAAGTATGAACTGCATTTCCTTAAGTTATTTAGATCAATTTCTTAGGGTTAATGTTAAGGATAAGGTTAGGACTAATACTCTAAGTATGAACCAACCATTTGGAATATTAAGTTAGTTCGTGTTATTAACGTATTTTTAATATAATACAGTGAAAACTAAGTTTATATTTATTATACAGAGTGGAGATAATTTCGATGCCGATTTTCTAATTTATACAATTAAAAAGCTTTGTTCGCTCTTATTTTGTTAAAATATTTGTAACATACAAACATCATTCAAAACACAAAATACGCTTAGATCTATTTTGCCCCGCTCTAAGTCAATGAATAATGAACAACAAACAAAAAATGTTATACACAAAATACTCCGCGAATGTGAGAAATTTTGTTAGTGAAACTTCCAGACCTTTAAATGTTAATTAAATATCATAAATATTAAAACTGGGTGATTTTCGCAAATCTAAAATTTATGAACATTCACAGATCAGAGGACACAGAGTAGATTTTATCAATGTAAAAATTACAATGAAACCGCCGATAGCCTCCAAACGAAAAATAAAAGAAGCTCTTTTAAACTAACTCTAAGTAAAAATAAAAAAAAAACATATACAGAAAATAGCTATCGAAATTGTCGCAACCCTGTATATTGTATGTTGTGATAAAATTGTTATTCACATACTAATAACCACTTGCATCGAAATTCGTTATTATATTCAACTATGTAAAAACTACAGAGAATAATTTATATTTTTGTCCTTTTATCTATATCTATAGATAAAAATTCAATAATAAATCACCATTGGTAAAGGTGTACTGGGCCCGTATTCTGTAACTTTGAAAACATATGACGTTAATTTTCGCTGAGCGCGCACTTAATTAACGATTTCGGTATTCTCGTCTGACGCGCTTAGCGTCTTTACTGATAGCGCTGAGCGCTTTGAAAACGGTTGTCTTAAAGGATCGTTTTGCTTGTCGAACTGTCAGTGAAAATCGAAAAAATTGTGATTTTGTGCGTTATCTTGCTCTTTAGTGAAAATTACTACTTCTATAAATTCCTCAATAAGTAATTGATAATTTACGATTTGGCAGCTACAAATATAGTTCAAAACACCGAAAATGCTGGGAAGCGTGTTCAACACTTCCCTCGTATAATAAGAATAATGGTATATCCATAGAAAAACAGCTTGACATAACTCAACAATAGGTTACGAAATTCACGTAACATTGACATTTTCCATTGTTACATCCGTCAGTGATCAACTTTTGACTATTAGCTACATTAGAAATTGTGATGTTGCCAATATGTGCTCAACGCGTATCCAGAACACGATTCGCATGGCAACGAGAATACCAAAGTCGACTGCCTTGCGTTTCGCTGATCGAATACTTGCGCTCACCGCTTTGAAAGCGTAACGTTTTTATGTCAAAGTTACAGAATATGGGCCCTGATATGCTAAGGATAAGAATCATTTAAAATATTTTTGATGCAATAATAATATATTATAATATTATAACATGGCATGTTATAATATTTTAAGGATCTGCATTTTCACTACCTAAAAACGGGGTTAAAATAGACCAAACTGTTATTAAGAAAGAAAGACCTGTGTTACATTGATATGAAATAGAAAGACTGTTAAAAATCCATCACCTCCTTCAAAACTGTGGAATAAAAGAGATAATCTGCGATTTATAGAAATAATGCTACATTTTCTTAATGAATGACAATTTTTTTGTTTAAATATCGTCTTCATATTACTGAAATCCAACAAAAATGACTAAAAAAACAAAATGTAACATAAGTTTCTATTTTTCAGAAGACTGATTATAAATACCTCATTAAATTGAATATAATTTCATATTTAAAATGTATGTGTGTCTTGAATTGACTTGAGTGTTTTTATATCCAAAAATCAGTTTTCTGTTTATATTCAAAACAATATAATCATTTAAACTATCGTTACCTTGAATCTTTTGCTGGTTTGCTTTGATACGGTCCATTTTGATTTTAATTTTTTCCAAGATTCTCCTTTCATCTTCGCTTTGTTCGTCCATCCTCTTCACTCGCATTTCTTCTATTAGCTCGGCACCTAATATTTTCGTTAATTTTTAAATTAATTTCTATTACATCGTTTACATCTGCTTTAAATATCTTGGGTACCTTAGTTTTGTACAGAGTGTCCCATGTTTGTGTGCAAAAAATTACCTAGTTAAATTAAATAAAATAACAGTACTCATTTAAACTAGACTGATTTATTCATTTAATAAATTATTTCTTTTTTATTATTTTTTCATTTTTTTAGACTGATACATAAATAAATGCCTTTATTGTCAAAAAATTTTTCAATTTGTAGACAAAGGTAAACTAACAAACAAAGTAAAAAAACAAGGTACACAAACAAACAAAAGATAATACAAAACATTATACAAATAATATTGTCAGTCTTATTGTTAAAATAAACATTTATAAATGTTTACAATGTCAAAGAACAAAAAAATAAAAATAATATTCAAAAATATTTAGCTAGTTTATAGTAAAATATCAATGACCTCTAAATAAATTCATTTCGATGTCATTAGTAAATATAGCAATAGCAAACATTAGACCAGTGTTTACAAGATCAAATTCGATTATCAAAATATAATTCATTTACGGCGTAGAAAGCCTTGTCTAGTAAATAAGAGTTCAATGCTGTGCGAAATGAAAAAAATGATGATATGTCATTTTAACAGAACGTCAACGGTTTCTTGTAGACGTATCTGTTTTTAAAAAAAGTAAAGTGTTCTCGAATAGTTGAATTTAAATATTTTAAATAGTTTTTTTCTTTATTCTTTGTTTTTTTTTGCTTCCGACGATGGAAAGAGATAAACTTTCCGAAACGTATTTTTTTCTTTGTTAGGCAAATTTGTATTACTGTAAACATAACTTCTGACAAGCAGTATTTTTCTTGCAGTGCAGTGGCGAAATACCCATAAAGGATTTTTTTGGAGAGATGAATCCGTCACATTAGACATTTTTTAGACTGATTTATGTTAATAAGTTAAATAAAGCATATTTTTGCCTTATTTATGAAAATAAGTATAGAATATAGGATATTTTAAGAAATATCATAACAAGACCAATGAAATAAAAAATATAATACATTTTAAAAAAAATTAAGGATCAAGTTTGACTCATATTTTGAAAATGACAGCTCCCAGCGAAAAAATAGTTACTCCACTACAAATTCGCCCTGTATTTCAGGAACTAAGAGGTTTAGGACAAATCTCTGTGTATAATAGCATCTTTAATTTCATAAAAAAGTAGCAAGGTAATGTGAAAACATCTTCATTGTATCCCTACTTATAAACTAATAACCCCATAAAACACACGAAAATGGAACACTCTGTACAGTACGGTGTCTTTTTATAATATAATATTTGCATACACATTTTTCTGTTTATTTTATTAGGACCATAAAATAAGTTGTTACATAAATATCAACTTCAAATGTCAAATCATATGCCGGGTCCAGACCAAGGCGACAAGAAATAAAACGATTTTGAGACAATAACAAGACAAACTTGCGACAAAAAATTGGGAATTCTGACAAGACAAACTTTAGACAAATTGTCCACACTGCAAGGACAAAAGTACAACAAAGTCAAAAGTTTAGTTGTTGCGAATGAGTTTTATTAACCATGTGTGATCTCACTGGTCTCCTAGTGTTGGCAGCACACTGCGCCGACAACTTGTAAAATATACGAACAAAACGTAGACATTTTGATTTTTACCGACTCGAGACGGGACATTGAAAAGACTCCGAATTTTGAAAAACAAAAATGAGACAAAAATGTCGCAGAAATGTATTGGATTTGTCGCAATTTTGTCGTAAAACATTAATGTTTCTGTCTTGTTTTGTCTGCTTGGTCTGGACCCGGTAATAGATTACGTTTAACCGACATTAGCTATAAAATCTGTCCAACAAGACAGAGAAGATTTCGACAGATGACATTTATAAAACGACAGAAAAAAAGCAATTTACTTCTGAATTAAAATTACAAACACAACTGTGCTATAGTAAACGCCACGAATGTTTGGGAGTGATTTATCGGTCGCTACCATGTGAACTAATCTGTTCAAGGTCACATAAAACTTAATTCCAGTGCCGTGGTGTTTCAAGTCATCTAATAATCAATATATAATCTGTTGTAATTTGTTGTTTTAATTGTCAAAGTCTTGTCAAAACATATATTTGGTTATAAATATAAAATGAAAATCGCAGGTAGATGATTAGACTGGGCGTTTAAAAACCTACGTCTGCGGTAAAAATTTACGTTTTTAAAGTAAAAATGATAGCGCGCGTGTCGATTCTAACTTCATCAAGCGATGAATCACTCCCAAACATTCGTGGCGTTTACTATACCGTCATGGACTTCTTATTGGACAGAACATAATAGAAATGAATGGATAAACTTTGGTAGTTTTTGTGTATTTTACAACTTATTTTCTATTATCACATATTTTACTGCGTACCTCTGGAAGCTAAAATTGTCGTAGCTTTGGTATCGTTGATCATGTGGAAGAAATTGTAACTTTGGAACAGACGTTTCTGCATTATTAATAAACCGAAACAGACCCCATCCCAAAACAATCCCAGGTATTCCCTAGGGACTTTACATTGACTTGAACTAGGTAAATCGGCGATTTCTTCTATGTTTCCGAATTTTCTCACACAGCCTATACCGAACAACATCAACCAATGACACTCTCCTTGATAGGCGTGCACAAATACACAGCCGATCAATTGGAAACAGGCCTTTATTAAAATGACGCATACGTTATAACCTAACAACCAATTCCATCTAAAACAGTAAAAATGTTTTACAAAAATTGATATCAGACCAATTTAAGGGTCCAGGGGAAAACTTGATAAGCGTCCATTTCTTAATTTTAGGATTTTACAATATTATAGTAGGTCTAACTAGTCTCTATAAAATTTATAAACTCTGCAGGGCAATAAGATTGTTAAATCCTATGATATATGCCTAGTAAAAATATAGAATACACGGAAAGAACCTGATAACAACCTTAAATGGCGCTTATTATGCTTTTCCCCGGAGCACCAACAACGACGTCTGTTCCGTATATGAATATAAAAAAGTATTTCATTCATTCCTTAGTCTTTTTATTCAAATTACTTTAATACTTACTTTTTTATAATATCTTTTATCGGTCGCAAGTACATGTCTGAACCTTCCCATAAAAACAGGAATGTGCCTATGAGGTAACCGACAGAAAACAAGTTAGTTCGATTCGTACCGGCCAAAAATACAGCTGCAAGTGTTGCGTAGAATAAACTACACAGTATACATCTTTTCGCTATATCAAGGTAAGACCTAAAAAGACGATAAGGTTAAATTTGGTATAATTACACTTATCTCAATAATTCAACAAAGTCGGCTTAGTTATTTATACCACAGTTTAAAGAATATATACCAGTTGGCGCACTCTTCGCCCGTATCAAAATCCCTCATAACTAACTGGACTTTGTTTTATGTATTTAAATTTTTGTAATATAATTAAGTAGTGTATTGTACTTTTTAGTGGTTTACTTAATAAGTTATGTGTGTTATCGTGTGTTATAAAAGGACCTATGGAATCCGTTAAATTAAAAATTAGACACATTACAATAAATACCTGCAGTAAGTAATAAAATCTGGAACAGGGTTTTCAAAATTCTTATCTTCCGCCAAATGAATTATAGAATCGTTGCTTCCTCCCGCGTAGTTCCTGCCAGAATATCGGCCTTCTATCCTAAACACCACCCACTGACGGGACACGAAGAAGAGAAGCAAAAAGTCCCATATCAGTCTTTTTGGATTCGGGGGGTACTTATCGTTGATAAGGTAAGCCCACTCTTGGAGCCTGATCCAAAGAGGATTTTCATTCCACGGGTAATCTTGAAAGGAAACGCATCACAGTATTTTATTAATAAAGTTTAAAGCCGATTACGATCATTTATATTGGGTCATGTAATAAACTAGGTCTATAGTTACCTATGCATAAAGTGGGCGGCAAACCAACAACCATGAAGTACTGAACGGGTAAAAGTAGGGCGATAAAAAACACATAAAACACCCAAACTTTTGACAAAGTACTCCTTTTCAGGGAATACAGTATCACCAACCAAAAAGAGTAAAATACTGCGTACAAATCCATACGAATGGCTATCACAGCTACTGTTGCCATAAAGCTTATCTAAAAAGTTATATAAACTTGTGAATTCAAGTCTCAATAGCATTTGTTAACTCAGAGAAATAGGCAAACATAGAGGAGTAATGGAATATTTTGGTACTTCTCTAAGTTTAATTATTTCTCCGAGATTTTTTACAAAATTGTACCTCAACACCGAATTTAAAGTACGAATAATTCGCTAGATATTTAAGCATATTTTGTAAATTCTTATCCGCATCTGCCCTGGTGATTCTGGGAAACATAAAGAAGGCTCTTGTGGTGGGTCGACCTCTGGCCACTCTGTAGTAATACTGACGTACCAAAATGACGGAATATAACGTCACTATTAAGATATAAATTATGTTCCATTTGACTAAACTGGGGACGGATCGGCCGACTTGGTCGGATTTATCGAAACCCAACCAATGCATGTTGTTTTCTATCCTGTCGGTTTGGTTTCCAGTACTATTTTCCTTAAAAAGAATAATTACATAATCAGGTAAATCGTAATATTACCATATAACTAACATACCGGGTGCGTCTCAAAAGTGGGTCATCCCCTATAACTTTTTTATTTTTTCAGATAAAAAAACGAGATTTGGTATGTTAGTATGTGACATAAATTAGGATTGATTGACGTATTCAATTGTTTTCGGTCACTTCCTGTTTCACCGGAAATGACTACAAATTTTGATTTTTAAATGGCACCCTCAGTATTTTTTTTAGTTTATTCCATAGAAAATGACACTCTCAATCGAATGACATATCATATTTCAACTTTTGACATATCGAAACGAGGGTGGCTCATTAGCATATTTGGAAAAAGCATTTTTTTACGAATAATTTGATACCACACACTTGGTATTTCAAGTCAATTTGTCGTTATGAACCGCATTTTATAATTTTAAATAAACCATATGCGAAAATGTCAAAAATTAATATATGATATGTCATCCTATTCAGAGTGTCATTTTGTACCGAATAAAGTAAAAAAATACCGAAGGTGCCATTTAAAAATCAAAAGTAGTAGTCATTTCCGGTGAAACCGGAAGTGACCGAAAACAATTGAGTATGTCAATCAATCCTAATTGATGTCATATAATAACATACTAAATCTCGTTGTTTTACCTGAAAAAAATAAAAAAGTTATAGGTGTGAGGCACTTTTGAGACGCACCCGGTATACAGGTTGTTAACTGGACAGTTACTTATAGGGGAACAGAATGGCAACACTGCTTATTGAGAACGCATGCATAGGGTTTTCTGCCGACTCGTCCCGTCGCGTCGTCTATTGACGAGCGCGCCGAGGTTGCCACATTTCAACAATAAAGCTCTGGCCGCGAGTAATAAACAAATTAACAACCTATATGTAATGACTACAAATACATTTTAAAAAATAAAAAATAAGAATATTTATTATCTGACAAACGGGTCTGAAACCGGAGACAAAAATGCGTAATTCAATCGTTATATCGCGTGAAACGAATTGTATATAAATATGCCATTTTAAATCCATTATAGAGTGCAAATAAAAATACTTACTGCGATACAAGTGACATTCCAAATACCCGGATCAATATATTTAATTTGGTACAGCATTCGCGCTAGTAAAAACAGTGATACCAATATAGAGCTTGAATAAATGGTAAATAACTGTACCGGTCTTCCCAAAGTCAAAGATGCCGGTATCAACAGTATCAGAATGAAATATAAGGCACACTTGTCATAAATGCACAGCAACATGGCGAAAAATAGCACTAATCGCGGCATATGGATCTCCAAAAATATATAAAACAGATTTAGGTATCTCTGTAGTCTGGTCAGCCATTTTTCGAGGACTTCTTTTAATGTGATGTCTGAAAAGAGAATAAGAAGTAGGATCGTCAGAAAAAATAATTAAGAAGAATTTAATGGATATTTAACTATAATGGAGCTTAATGGAAAGTAACTATAATAAAATCTTAAAAATGTGAGTAGGGATACAGGTAAACGATACTAAACTAGAGGTGTGCAGTTCGTGAACGAACTAGTTCCAATGAACTATTTCGACCCCGGAATAAAAGGAACTAGTTCCTGGTTTCTCAAAGAACTAGTTCCTCAGGACCTATTCCGGGATCGAGACTGTGACCGATATAGAATGATATGCGACGGCGACGGATCGGCTAGCGCGCGTAGCCCGATGTTAGGCAGGAGTGGGGAGTGCCAGCCGCACGTTATCGGATCCGGACCTAGAGAAACTAAACTAAATAAAAGACTAGTTTACGTACGTACGAATCGGGCCAGCGCGATCCCTGCTAGGCAGGAGTGGGGAGTGCCAGCCATATGCCGTATGTTATCGGATCCGGACCTAAAGGAACTAGAGGAACTAAATAAGACTAGTTTACGTATGGATCAGCCAGCGCGATTGATGCTAGGCAGGCGTGGGAAGTGCCAGCCGTATGTTATCGGATCCGGACATAGAGGAACTATTAAAACACTACTTCACGGAAATCTATTCAGTCGGCAGATCCGAGATATAATACAAGGCGACGACGATGGATTCGGCCTTGTCTATTGCCACAGCCGGCGCGGCGTAATTACCACAGAAAATTGTCGTGGATACTGTTTTTGATTTTTAGTTTGTTTTTTAAATATTTTATGGAAATGTTTCACTTTAGATCCCTAAAATTAAGAATTTTTTTAATAAAATTTAATAATTTTAGACAAAAACAAAAAGCTTGAAGTGAAGAAAAATGCAATTTTTCGTAAAATGTTTGTAATATTTGCTCTAATTGATTTGTGATATAGTTTTTTAAACTCTGGTTTGAGTTTCTTTTTTATATTTTTTTATCTGCAATAAAACTTACCTATAAGGGAAATTAAAATAACTTTCGTTGCACATCATAATACGACCACCAGCAAACTCCATAAGACGACGCATGGTGTCATTAATGACGTGCAACGAAAGTTCTTCCAATTTCCCTATATATGTTTTTAACATACACAATTACACGTCTTGTTATATCTCCGTACATTATAAAAATCATACTGTGAATAGTTCTGACTGACAACAAAACGCATTAGCAAGCAAGGGGGATGTCAATGTTAGTCGGGAACTATTGTGAACTAAAGACCTAGTTCAAGGAACTATTCCTCTGGAGGAACTAGAACTAAGGAACTAGTTCCTCCCAAGGAACTAGAACTCCCACCTCTATACTAAACACTTTAAGCAAAAATTAGTATGAATTTATAGTACGAGCGCTAGCAACGTCGGGAAAACAAGTGTTTTAAGACGTCTGGCTCTTTGATATATCTTTTATTATGCTCTCTGGAACATCGTGCACGCCGTCTGGCTGCTGATACACGTTGCGTTCACTACTGCGCATCCAAAGAAGATCCTCTATTTTTTTACTCTGCGCTTTAAATTCTAGTATTGAATAAAAACCGAACAACTCTCCATTAGCTCGGCGCGTAGAGCTTTCGCCTATGAAGCGAAGGTCAGTGGTTCGATACTGGCTGGGGGTGCAACTTTTTTATTTTTTTTTCCGTTTATATTCTGATAGTAAAGTAATAAATTAAATAAATCTGTGGTCTTTACCATACACGCCGAGGAATATCTCAAAGACTGGACTGCGCAGTCCAAACCTTGAGGGAAATCTGAATGTATGTGGTAACTTTTAGAATAGAACACTGCATCTTTAAATTTAATGTTAGTGTAGATATTATCTTTCACATTCTTAACTCAAATTCAAATAACAACCGTCTACTTACTATCAAAATCGCTTAATTCGAACTTGTAACAGGACGAAGTCGGTTCGTCTTTTTCGCTTCTCTCAATCACTTCGCCGCCTTGCATGGAACTCTCGTTTAAATCCTCATCGCTTTCGTCCACAATGGCTGTAGTGTTCTTGGGATCGGATAATTCCATGAACTCTTTGTGGAAATAATGCAACTGAATCACCGTGATAATAACGAAGAAGGTTGGTGTTACAAGCCTGACGAAGAGTTGCTTTGTTTCGAATTTCTCTAGTCCAATATCCAGCTGTCTAGAGAAAATAAATAAGCGATTTTAAATGGTTGTATCTGTATACAGTTGAGCTAAAACGTGAATTCATATACCGGATGCATCTCAAAAGTGACTCACCCCCTATAACTTTTTTATTTCTTCAGATAAAAACACGAGATTTTGTATGGGAGTATATGACATAAATTAGGATTGATTGACGTATTCAATTGTTTTTAGTCACTTCCTGTTTCACCAGAAAAAACTACAACTTTTGATTTTTAAATGGCACCCTCGGTATTTTTTTTACTTTATACGAAAGAAAATAACACTCTGAATGGAATGACATGTCATATGTCAACTTTTGACATTTTCACATATGGTTTATTTAAAATTATAACTTGCGTTAAAAATCGCAACGCTGTGAATTAACGGTTTTCTACTTAGATGAGCCCGTTCTGTGCATACAGCCCATAATCCAATACCGCCCGTGTTAATCTTATGGTGTTATGCAATTTTCGACCTAAAGCGTTGCGGGGATGGACGGTTGCTTGATTTTTATTTTTACGTATACTTACTGCTCTTTATTGACATGCAAATATTCCTTCCAATATTCCGGGAAGTTATCGAACTGGTAGGTATAAGTCAAAACCAGTACCAACATAGAGAAAATGATTACTACCAGCCAAAATCCGAACATCATTTTTCTCCAAATGGTAAAGGACAACTGAAATTAATAACGAAATAAAGCCATAGGAAAACCTACAGTGGTTGATATAATATTTAGGATAAGTAAACAATAAAATACATTTCAAAAAAAATGTTCATTTCTACAAAATAAATAATTTTATCAAATAAAAAATAAATCTGGAAAATAATTATTTATCAAAAGTAAAGAAAGAACACCACAAAATATTATTAGTTATAGAAAATCATTTTATGTAGAATCAAATCACGTTAAACGACAATTAATTTATTTTGACATATGTCAAATAACAAGTGCCATGGAGGTAGATAATAAATTACACTTTACATATGTAAAAATTGATGTTAGATGTCAATAGTATTGGAGGAAGGAGGCTTTCGAAATTTTATTAAACGGTTTATGTATATTATTCTTGTTATTTATAAATATTTTTCGATTTTTTTCTCTAAAAATCATATAAAAATTTCAAAAGCGTTAAAGCATTTGTACGTCTAAATTTTTTAGACAAATAACCAAATATTTACCTGAAAAGATAGTATAAAGATAAGAAACAGTGCCATATAAACAATACGGAACCCGGTCATCCTTTGTCCGGTTATGGCAACAGCAAACAACGTAATTGCGACAACCCAAATCCAGAATTTGGTTAAAAACTTTTTCAAATAACCTCCGACCACTTCCATTATTTTGGTCTCTGTTTTCTTTGCTTCGCCCGAAGTACCTTAAAAATCAAAAACAGTCAATAATATTAACGTATTCAAATTTAGAATACCCTATACATGAACACCAGAGCTGCAAGCTCACAGAAAACTTAAGTCTCTTTTTGACTTAAATCACCTTAATGACTTAAATCATTTGATTTTAAGTCATATTTCGAAAGCTGACTTAATACTTAAAATTTAGTCTTTTATGAAATTTAAGTCTTTTTTTCATATACAGGGTCCGGCAATAGTGCGTCGGGCATCTGTAGCTCCTAGAATGAAAAACTTGAGAATTTTGTTTAAGTGCAAACCTAAAGCATGTACTAGTTTGTATTTCCGGAAAATATTTTAACTTCTATAGGGTGGCTCAAAAAAGCGTGGGCGGATCTGGATGATTTTTTTAAATGGAATACCCTGTATATTATTGCATTTTTGGCTTCCTTTCAGATCGCTTTACATAATCCTAAGATATGAGTAAATTTATTTCGATAGTTTCAGAGATATTAAAAAATAAATCAAAAATATATATTTTTCAACCCTTCTTAAAAAAAATATTAAAAATACAAGAACTGTTCTGAAATCAAAACTATATTAGATATTTACTTTAGATGGTCTGTTCTTACTTTGCTATAAAGATGGTAATCGTAAATCACACAGGATGTTTAATATTTTACGCCAAACTTTCAAAAATATAAAATAACTTTTCTTCGTTTTTTTTTAAAATGGAACACCCTGTATATTATTTTTTTAAATGATTGAGAATTAAAAAATAAACATTTTTTGTATTTAAAGTATTTCAAAATTTTTAATACTTTTCCGGATACACGCAGTATTATTTCATATGGCGCTTTCAATGGTAAAATACGAGAGAGAAATCATTGGGTGGCTTTGATAGAAATTTACTATGGAAAATGCCATATGAAATACAAAACCGGGAATATCTGCCAAACCGTTACAAATTTTGAAATACTCTAAATGCAAAAAATGTTCATTTTTTAATTCTCCATCTACTGAAAAAATAATATACAGGGTTATTATTTATTACAGGGTTATTATATTTATTATATGTTCCATTTAAAAAAAACAAAGAAAAATTATTTTATATTTTAGAAAGTTTGGCGTAGAATTTTGAACATCCTGTATGATTTACGATTTCCATATTTATAGCAAAGTAAGAACAGACCATCTGAAGTAAATATCTAATATAGTTTTGATTTCAGGACAGTTCTTATATTATTAATAATTTTTTTTAAGAAAGGCTGAAAAATGTATAATTTTTATTTATTTATTAATATCTCTGAAAATATCGAAATATATTTACTCATGTCTTAGGATTATGTAAAGTGATCTGAAAGGAAGCCACAAATGCAATAGTATAAAGGGTGTTCCATTTAAAAAAAATCATCCCGATCCACTCACACTTTTTTCAGCCACCCTATAGAGATTAAAATATTTTCCTGAAATACATCCTAGTACATACTTTAGGCTTGCACCAAACCAAAACAAAATTCTCAAGTTTTTTATTCTAGGAGCTACAGATGCCTGACGCACTATTGCCGGACCCTGTATATTTATCATAAATTTTTAACCGCGGCATCAAATATGTATTTACCATCTTTAGTTTCATAAAAAAAAGTAGCAACTGTGAAAACCGTATCTTTGTACCGCTGCTCATAAACGAGAAACCCTGTAAAACACACAAAAATGGGACAACCTGTACGAAGTACCACAAAATTTAATTTGATTTAAGGTGTTGATGTTTTTATGTCCTTGATGCGTTTATTTTTTTATTGTTTATTATAGTTGTTTATACTAAGGGCTGGTAAAGGTTAGTCTTGGGTCGAGATTTCTGTATGTAAGAAGACTACAATGCGTTTATAATGTACTGAACAAAGAGAGGACAGTAAACACGTTGCCAAACGTATGAAATAAACCGAGAAACTGTGCACATCGCTAAGAGACGTAGAAGGGGATATAGAGCAGATTTGTCGCAGTTGACCGGTCGACCCAATCAATACCTCTGTCAATACCTCTTCACGATTTAATTACGTCTCGTGATACTTAATTTGTTTATTTATTAACGAGTCGTTGTAATTTTCCCTATAGCTTGAATTTTTTACAAGTGCAAGCTAGAAACACTTGCATTTTTGGTAAAAATAAGTGGAATTGAGTGAGTGTTCGATAGTGGTTGCGCTATTATTTAGGAACTCTGAATTCAAAACTCGATATCTCGAAATCTATTAGAAATAATAGATTGTAGTTTTTTCAAGAACTTTGTTAATATTTCTGCTGTATTTTCTTTGTAGACAGTATGTGAAAATCTTTATCAATAAAAAAATTACACGATTGCTGAAAATTGCTATGCTCTAAAAGTAAATGGATGGATTGTTTACAATTTTTGAATGGAAAAAACAACCTTATCGAATTTTTCTTATGTAAACATATTGTAAAATATCCGATCTTGAAAATAAAAAAAAAGTTTCAATATCTAAAGTGGTTCTTGAGTTATGGCCTGTTATGTGTTAAAAAGTTGAGTTTTTAAATTATCGCGATTACTGACGTTTTCTCGCTATAAAAAAAATGACACCCTAACGATATCCTTATAATTCCATTTCAGATGCTCAGAAACTTGTCTAATGATTTTATCTCGTTATCTCTTGAAAAAAAGTCTTTTAAAAATAAGCGGTTTGCGATCGTGATTTTATTTTACTTGATACCGGCAACGCCGCAACAGCACACCGTCGCATTTCTCTCACTCCGACTTAATAAGATCCCTATGCGATTTACTTTCACACATGTAAATGCCGACCCAAAAGTAACAGTTTCCAGCGCGGTATAATATTTTATTCTAATCTGTATCTACAATAAATTAATATAAATAAAAAAAATCGGTAATGGGTAATACAATAAAATTTATATTAACATTTAAAAAATAGGTATTTAAATTGAATTTTGGTTGTCTTGACTTGAGGGAAATTATATTGATTTATGTCATTTTAAGTCTTAAGTCTTTTTAAAACTGACTTGTTGCATGTCTGATGAACACTACATACCGGAAGTAGCAGCGCCTACGGTTAGTTGCAGAGGAGCCACCATATCAGCTAAAGCACTAGACTGCTTCTCAATCAACCTCTCTTGCATATACTGCCTCAACGTGATCCAAAACATGCACGTATACAGACATTTAACCACCAGGGATTTACAAGGCAATATCAGAACTTTATCGAATCCAATTTGGGACAAGTTGATTCCCTGAATGACGGATGGCAGTTCCTGTTCGGTCAGATTCATGGAGTAGATGTAGGCGGATATAAGGAGGAACCAGGCGTAGAAGACGAGGAAAGGACTGGACCGGAGCATGCTCTTTCTTTGGTTGGGAACGAGCCAGATGAGGTTGGCCCAAATTAAGAGGACGAAGGTGATCCAGCTGATAAATGTGATACTCCATGCCTACAGAAAAAATCACATTTTATTATAATTAATTATAGTTAAGCTTCATTCAGAACCTCGAAATTAGTGGTTTCAATTTTAGCGTAGACGTTTGTTTCTCTAATTTCAATGTAAGCATTCAGAACGTCAAAATTAGTGGTAGTAATTTTCAATACTAATTTTCAATTAGTAGAAAAAGTTAACAAACTTTTCTCGTTTGTCACTAATTATACTTGAAAATTTGTGAATGATGTCATTTTGGCCTTTGACTATCATCCGTCAAGAGGAACTGTGGTTACAAATAAAATATGTAAAAAAACAAAATAAATTATGCGAGTCCAAGCGTTTTCCTGAAAGACTAACCGTTTTTTAAATAACAAATATTGTAATATTTGAGGGGCGTTCACACCCTCTTGGTATTTGAGATTCGAGAAACCCCTCCTTATCGAACCTCTACACCCCACAGTCAATCCGTTTGTCAAAAATCAGCTTTAAACGTCAAGCAGTTTAAGCAGAATGGTGATTACTCAATGGTCATATTTTATGAAACACCCTGTATAGATTTTTTTAAAATCCTAAAATATGTAAAACAACAAAATAAAATAAACGTTTAAGAGTTTTTCCGAAAAACTCACCGGTTTTTAAATAAAAAATATTCTAATATTTGAGGAGTGGTTTCACCCTCTTAGAATTCGACTTTTAAAAAATCCCTTCTTATCGAACCTCTACACCCTAAAGCCAATCTGTTTTCCGTCAATCAGCTTTTTATGTCAAGCGCTTTAAGCAGGATCGTGATTCTTCAATGACCAGATTTTTTGAAACACCCTGTATACATTTTTAAAAAATCTTAAAATATGTAAAAAAACAAAATAAAATATACATGTTTAAGCGTTTTTTCGGAAACTTGACCGTTTTTTAAATAAAAAATATTGCAATATTTGAGAGGTGGTTTCACCCCCTTGGAACTGGAATTTCGGAAAATCCCTTCTTATCGAACCTGTACATCCTAGAATCAATCTGTATGCCAAAATTAAGCTTCTTACGTTGAGTAGTTTGAGCAGGATCGTGATTAATCAGTGAGTCAGTCACTTAAGGACTTTATATATTAGTATAGATTATTAGGCGTTCTTTATGAATACAACTCACTACCGCAAGCTGTTGCTATTGTTGCTTGTATTTTTTAGACATTGTGAATGATCATGATAAAAGTATAAAGTATAATTTAAACCATATAATATAACTTCAAAGTTCTGAATGCGGCTTTAAGTTTTGTTTGAAAGTTGTAGTAGACATAAAATTATGAAATAAAATATATTTTTGGACTGACATTGTCTTTAATTTTGACATTTGACACAACGTTTCATTCAGATGTATCACTGACCGTTATCAAATGTGAATTAACCTAGAATCTTAAAGCTACTGAGCTTATATTCTAGGGCAAGCCATAGAGTACAGAGTATACTTACCATCATAATGATATTGGTGCCCAAATATGAAACTTTAATTATTAGTTGTAGAACATTCTCCAAGAAATATATCAGATTTTCTATGATGGTTGGCTGGAATTCATCTTCTGCATTGCCTTAACCAAAACAATGTAGTTAGTTATAAAAAAGAGGGTTATGTTTTAAACATTTTATTTTTAAAAATTACTGAAATGATTAAATAAAGTTGTATAGGTATATTGATCAATGTAATAATAAATAAAGGAAGTTGCTTGAGCTGAAAGTAAGAAATAGTTCTTTATATTTTTTTTATGTAGTGTTTTGTTTAAAATACACCCTTATTTGTTTTGTATTAACACATACCATAATTTAATTAGATTTTAATTAGATTTTTTCAGTTTTATAGAGTTTTTTTTCAGAATATTTTAAAGTAATCACTTGTCACTCAAATTTTAAATATATTAATTTTCTGCTTTGAATAAGAAGACTAAGGAAGGAGCATAATGCTATTTCTATAATTTTTTATTAAGAGTATTCATGCATGGTGGGCGGAAAAAGGAATCTAGGATGGGGACCCTTGACAGTTCTGTTTGACGATTCATTTGACACCTTTGAATTTCATTTGAAATTTTGTGGATTTGTCAGTCTTTACGGAGCTTGTTTTATGTTATTTATTATTTATTCTACTACTGATAGTTGTATAAAGGTAGTAAATCTAGATGGAAATTGTGGCAGAACTTAAATTACAGTGACACTATCGCGATTTATCGAAAAAGACTCTAAAATAGTTGGTTGTGTAGCGTGCGGTAGATCTCGGCAAAAATCGAGTGAAATAATGGAACAACTTTTCGCTAGTAAGTAACTATATAATATACATACGTGTAGTAAACTGATCATTTATGAAATTCACTTAAATTAACTAGTTATATATTTTCTCTTGCATTTTTACTTTTATTTACTATTTGTCAAAAATTAGATGTCAAAGAATTTAGATACGTCAATTTGACTTACCTGCTTCAGTAGCGTATCGGATGTTTGTGTTAATAAATATAATTATTAAAACTTATCTATTTTTATTATAATAATATGTTTTTATAACAATTTTAATAACTACCAACATTTATTCACAACGTAAAATAAAAAAAATATTGAGTCTACCCCACGTCTACCATACATCATAGTTTTACATTTTTTAAATAAAAATAGAACGGCACTGATAAACCGGAATTTAAGTCGGTCATATTTGAGTCCCATCGCGGTGGACCTAAGATTTTTGATATGCTCCTTCCTTAGTCTTCTTATTCAAAGATTTTCTGCTATGGGTTCCAATTGTACCAACTTATTTCTTTGTAAAATCAAAAATAAACTACTTTGAAATTAAAATGACAGACACATCTATCACTGTCAAGGACAAAAGTCAAAGATTTTATCGATGAACAGACTTTAGATACTGGTATCATTTATGCAACCTCCTGTATAACAATACATACCCATATCATCCATCGGAATCTCTTCCGGGTGTTCCCCGTCAACTGTAACGCTCCCAGTTGAGTCCTGCATAATAGCACTTCTTTTACTCGAACCATATCTTCTGTTTGGACTCACACCTCTTATCAACTAAACATTTAAAACATATTACTAGGAAAATTGTGTAAATCCAAAGTAACATAACTATATAACTGTTAAAATTATTGTGCATTGAAATTTGACGATGAATATCTTTTAAACGGTTAATTTAACCGACTAATCATAAGAAACCAATTTTGTAGAGCTGTGAATTTCCTACAAAACCATAACTGGCGATTTTTCATGTTTTGTTAACGAGTAAGAAAATTCATAAGAAAAAAGAAAACTGCCTGAAAATAATCAAACTTCAACCTTTAATAACTTTCAAACGGTGAGATTTACAAAAAATGTAAGAGACTGCTTTTGTAGAGAATTCAATTTCCTACAAATATATGAGACGAGATATTTTTTCCAAATAGTAGATACCGAGATATGAATTTTCTTTCTAATAATAAGGAAAATATAGAAAACTGAAAGGCGGAGGACCTTCCTATTAAAATTAAGAGCTCATACTTTTGGGGGTGTCTACTAACCTTTTTTTTTGAGGTGTCTACCAACCTTTTTTTCCGAGTATAAAATGGAAAAAAGTTTATTTTTTTGGCCCACCCTACTGTATATCGTATATAGTTATGTTACTCTGGGCATAACAATAACATTGATAAATATAGAATTAAATGTAAAATAAAGATATGCAGAGCAGATATTAATACTGACAAGTATCACGTGACAACATCAAATATTAAACCCACCACCTGATGACAACAGACATATTTAAAATAAAAAAAATTGTATAGTAAAAGCTGAACCAAAATGAATTAAAGGGAAATAAAGAAAATACGTACTGGGGTATCTTCCGTCGGATCTGAACTGTCAGATGGTTTCCGAACTGATGCCTAGAAAAAACCAGCGATAGCGAGGCTGAATAAGCAAATTAAGTAAAAAAAAGGGTGAAATAAGAGTTAAAAAATGGGAAAATAAACGAAACCATGTTGCCATTTTGTATCATAATCTTCTTGAACTATTTACCATTAGTCAATATATAAAAAAGGCAAAATTGAACTCTAAATTAAAGAAAGCAGTTCGAACAACACTCACAATGATTTTTTGATAATCGGCAATAGTTCAAAATTGATATGAGTTTATCAATGAAAAAGAACTTGGTATATCTAGCTATACTTAATAAGGTAAATCACGAAACAAAAATGTGTTTTAAGGTACCAAATCTGCCAAAGCTGAAGCTCTTAAAAAAGTTAACATGCTCTATAATCATGCTTAAATCTATAATAAATGTTTAATCAAAATCTGAAATTACGAGTAAGTAGGCTGCACCATTTTATATTTTTGTTCTATCAAACACTTGAATTTCGCTAAGTACGAATTCTATTAGAGCATTTCAAATATCAACATAATTTGTAGTAAGAAAACAGAAAGCAAAAGTATCTAAACATTCCATTCTAAAATTAAATTCTTCATTTACAATAAGCTATTCCTATTAATCCTTCATAAACCGAAATCTTAAGCCCCGTTTACACATAACGTTTTAAAACAATGTGTATAACAAAATCAAACACTAATTCAATACACCAAAACACTTTAGTTTTGCACTGGATGCGCGTTTTGCTAAGCATGTTAGCATCATCAGCAGATGATTAAAATTAAACTTCTTCTTCTTCTAGCGCAGATCCATTAATGGATGTTTGCGATAACATTTTCCATTGCTTCTCTGTTCCGGGCGGAGTGTATTAACGACTGAACATCGTGTAGCCCTGTCCACTGTCTAATATTCCTCAGCCAAGACATTTTCTTCCTTCCGATACCCCTCCAGCCTTCGATCAACAAATGCAAGAATTGATATTTGGGGTTGTGCATTATGTGCCACAGGTATGTGGTTTTTTTCTTTTTAATCAATTCAAACAATTCACGCTCTTTGTCAACACGTCTGAGAACTTCTTCATTTGTCAACCCAGCCGTCCAAGGTATCTTCAGGATTCTGCGATATAGCCACATCTCGAAAGCCTCCAATTTGTTGATGGTAGCTGCTTTCAATGTCCAACCTTCCGTACCAAGGAGCACCGACCATACATAACACTTTTCGAATCTTAGTCTAAGGCTAAGGTCAAAATCAGAACAGACAAGTACTTTTCGAAACCTCAAGAATGCTTGCCGAGCTTGTTCAATGGGACATTTAATTTCCTTGTCTGATGTCCAATCGTCGGAGAGCCAGATGTTCAAGTACTTAAATTTATCTACTCTTTCTATGGGCCTTGAGTTAAATGTTAGGTTGGAGTTTATAAACACATTTAACTACAGAGGTTATGACGACAGAAGCTTTCTACGTCTCAATAATCAATTTGCATACCCAACAATTGCTGTCCTCCTTTCACGCAGTTGAGCAGCTCTGAACTGTTCAAGAACGCGATACTCTCCCTCCATTCAATTGAGTCATAAAGTTCAGAACTGTTCCGCGCCATATGGAGGAACCAGGCTATCGCGCACAGCTCCTTTCAGAACCGTTCTGAGCAGCCCAGGACGTAAAGCTCTGGAACTTGAAATTCACGAATGGAGGACAGCAAATGTTGCCGTTTGCTGTCATCTTATTTGATGAATAGTTTTAAGAACGACGGAAAGTAACGCCTAGCTATATCCAATTTTGCAAGAGCAGCTGTGGATCCATTGGGAAAGCCGTCGCGTCGCCTTGGGAACAAGAGGTCCCAAGGATCGTGTCCCAACCCAAACCAAAACTTTTTTTATTTTTTTTACAGCGGTTTTTATTTTTTTATGCAACGTTGGGTATGCGAATTGACTAGTGGAACGTAGAAGCTAGTCGAATTTCGAATAATGAGAACTGAGTGATGAATTATAGGTGACGACCTTGCGACGGTCACCCATCCATCCTCTAACGTCGCTTAACTTCGATGATCTATCGGGAACTGGTGTTTCGCCGTAGCTGGGCCAGGCCGGTTCGGTGCGTTTTTTTTCGGAAGACCGTCTACGGAACTGCCGTCAGTTTTCTAGACGGCTTTCCGTTTTAACTGATAGGTAGAACGTTGTGTGTAGACGGAGCTTTATAAGCCGAAATCTTACAGCAGTGAAACGAAAAAAAAAATAGGTGGGTCTAGTGCAGAGTAACAACGTTCAATTCTTACTCGAACTTTTCGAGTAGCGCTCTGCCATCTTCGTTTCGTCGTTGCTGACCTAACCAGCTGTTTTTTGGTCACTTTATCTGACAACTGACGGCCCAATTTGCCCTGGAAACTTCCGTCCAGTCGCGAGAACGGACCCTGTTTCTTTTGCAACTATAAATCGTTAGTCTGTTAGTACTGCTGTGTTTTTGGAAATTTAATTTAGCTAAGAAGTCTGTGTTAGGGTTCGTTAGTTAAGACTGTAAGGAGCACACAAGCCTTAGATATTGGATAAAATTGGTGTGACGTGACAGATCAATGTTGCTCAATAAGAATTCTTGACATTGTTAATATACAGGGTGGTCCGAACTGTATTCCGGAAACTTCGGCAGCATATTCTGCAGATAAAAATTTAAGTAAAAAAGTTCGTATAAATGTATGTCCTAAAATGCTTAGTTTCGGAGATACAGGGTGTAGAAGTTTCATTTTTAATTCGATTTTTTCCAAATAATTTCTGAAGTAACGGCAATATTTGGATGAAAATAGGTGTCTGGGAGTTTTTTGACATGAGAAATTTGATTTTGATGTCAATATGACTCCTACTAGTAGAGGGCGCCACCTACATATTTTTTAACTGGTTTGAAGAGTAATAACTTTTCGTCCATACCTGTATAAAACTACTGAGTAAAAAAATATACATTTACGATATTTTTTACGTAAAAAAAGGTATCTTGGTAAAAATCGCTACGAATAATGGTTCTCGAGATATTTGGAATCGAAATTATCAATACCTGTCATTAATGACATAAATTAAACATGTTGACTAAATAGTTATTAGACTGAAATCATAAATTTGAAATGTTTTTGTGTCAAAAGTTCAACAGAAACTGTTTTATAATCATTTTTTCGAAGAAAAATTTATAATTAATTAAAAAAAAGTTCCCAAATTTATCATTCCAGTCAAATAACTATCAACTCAACATGTTTATTTTTAGTCAATAATGACACGTATTTGTTACGGTTAAAGTCCGATGTCCGGTTAATATCGACATTAACCGGTTAATGTTTGGGTTAGGTTATGATTTTGGTTGTTTTGTTGTGTTATTCTCGAGATTAACCGGGTAATGTCGACATTAACCGGGCATCGGACCTTAACCGTAACATATTGACTATTCCCATTGTAAATATCTTGAGAACGGTTGCTCGTAGCGATTTTTACCAAGGGATATTGTTTCCGTAAAAAGTCACGGAAATGTATACTTTTTCACTCAGCAGTTTTATACAAGTACGGACGAAAAGTTATTACCCTTCAAAACAGTTAAAACACATGTAGGTGACGCCCCCTGCAAACAGGAGTCATATTGACATCAAAATTAAATTTCTCATGCCAAAAAACACCCAGAAACGAATTTTCACCCAAATATTGTCGCTACTTCAGAAATTATTTAGAAAAAAATCGAAATAAAAATGAAATTTCTACACCCTGTATCTCGGAAATTAAGCATTTTAGGACATACATTTATATGAACGTTTTTACTTATTTTTGTATGCAGAATATGCTACCGAAGTTTCCGGAATACAATTCGGACCACCCTGTATATTTGGGACTACTTAAAAAATTTGGCAAGAATTCTTTTAGAAGCATAAGTGAGATTAATCATGGTTTAAATAAATTCGAAACCATGATGAAAATATTTGAAATTTGACTTTAATACTAAAACTTGATATAATATCAATGAGTGTATTTGAGTCAAAATTATTATTAAGATTAGATTGATCATGCTGATTGATTTAAATCATAATAACTTTTAAAATTAATGACTCATAATAAGTAGTGTTTAATCATTTAATGTAGGATTAGATTTTCACAGAAATAGAACTTAAGTAAATATTTTCATTCCGATATAAACCATCTGATATCACTGATAATATTTATTAGCATTTAAAATTATTATTTATCACCAAATTCGTATTTTGATATGACTATTATTATATTGAGACAGTTATATACAGCCCAATATTTATCTAAATCATTATTTGTTTATCGACTTGAATATTTATATTGAAAAAAACTATATTTGATATCAATTAAACTTTTAGTTATGTAATCGAGGACGCAATTTTTAAATTCATTGTTACCAACCATGACATATTCGGCGCCGGGCTGACTAACTGGAATTTAAATTTCGCACTGGGGATTCATGTGGTAGCTCTGCTGTAAAAAATGTCAATTTGCCACATTTATTTATTTATTTCCTGACATTGTCATTCGTTTTGACACTTTAGTTTTGTATTACGCGTTTTTGGTTTAAATAAATAGTATTGTGATACTTTATGCTTAAAAATGTTTACTAGCAGACCTTGCTCGAACATTGTTCTTTTTAGAACCTCTTTTAGTGCGAAGCGAACAACATAGCATAACAGCCGTTGTTGTTGTAACTTTATTAGAATATTTTGTACGGGAAAGCGATAGTAATAACCCTTTATGTCCCTTAAGTGCTGCTAAGAAGGTGAGTTTTGTTGATGTAAATAATAACTGTTTATACAGGATGTCCCACTTAAGATGGATACAAGCCAATATCTTGGTTGTTTGTTGAGAGATCTTTTTCATTTTTGGCAGGAGGCTGTATGGCTATAAAACGTACATTTTGCCCAGGGTAAGAAATGCGATACCTCATAGACGTACGTTTTAATGGGGTTTGATATTTCGAGTCAAGGGTAAACTACCCGTAGGACAGTATTTATCTCAAATCTGATAAATTATATTCAATCATCCTTACCTAAGATACTTAAGGTCTAATTTTGATAAATATTGATACAGGGTGCGTCATTAAAGTAAGACATTTTTATTTTTATTATTATTTTTTTAATTACTTACGACGCCACTGGATAAACAACAGGTTTATTATCAATAACCATTTATAACCAATTATCAATTAATAATCGATTTAAGTTTTCAGATAGCTTCCATAATAATATACTATAATAAGATACGATACAAAAAAAATAAATATTTTCAATTTATTTTGTTTACTTTAAAAAATTGTTTTTTAAGTTTGCTAATACAAATAAATAAAATGAGTTACAAAATAATTTAAAAAAAGTTTTATTTAGGAATATTTTAAAAAATCCAAATAGTTAGCTATTTAAAACAATCACTATTAACTTTGAAAAATATGCTCTAAACAAAGATTTATAAAACTCTAACGAATTAAAAGTCAACATCTTCGACCAAACCACCATAAAGAAAACGATTATTAATTGATAATTGGTTATTGATAATAAACCAGTTGTTTATCCAGTGGCGTCGTAAGTACTTAAAAGATAATAATAAAAATAAAAATGTCTTATTTTAATGACACACCCTGCATCAATATTTATCAAAATTAGAACTAAGTATCTTAGGTAAGGAGGATTCAATATAATTTATCAGATTTGAAATAAATACTGTCCTAAGGGTAGTTTACTCTTGACTCGAAAAATATCAAACCCCATTAAAACGTACGTCTATGAGGTATCGCATTTCTTACCCTGGGCAAAACGTACGACTTATAGCCATACAACCTCCTGCCAAAAATGAAAAAGATCGCTCAACAAACAATCAAGATATTGGCTTGTATCCATCTTAAGTGGGAAACCCTGTATATTTATAATTAATTTATTTTTGTTTCCCAAAAAATTTTGATTAAAAGAAAATATGTCAAAGTGGGCAACGCTGTGCCGGTAAAGCTTAATCACGCGACTAAAAGTTTATTTGAATGAAATATCTATGAAAATTTTAAGATGCCAATTCTTCATGCCAAACAAAATATAAAATGCTAATTTTAATGTTTTTTAATGTTTTCCGCCATACTAGGCAAATTTATTTTTTAAGATATTATTCACTGTCTTGTTACAAATATATTTCATCATGGAGTCGATATTTATATTAATTTATTATAAGGTAGGTATTATTCAAGCTGTTAATAATCAAATGCAGAAAAATACTTACATCTGGTTGAAGTAAAGCTTTGGCCTCCAAAACCAAAATATAAAACAGCCAGTACAAAGCAAAAGGGTTGACGTAAGAGGCCCATTCTGCTTGTTCAAAATTAAATGTGCGAGGATCATCGGTACCGTTACAGCTTGAACTCCTCAAAGGCGTCAAACCAAAATATCTGAAAAATTAATTCAATACAGTGTGTCCAAAAATGTTGGACGCGTGGATTTTTTTTTATTTTAAGTTCCTTTGAAATTTTTATTTTGATAAAAGACTCTGCATCCTGCCAAACTCTAAATAAACTAGTCAATATTGAAGTATCGCAGTTCGTATACGTAGGAGCTTCAAAAATATAAAATTCCCTTAAGAGAATACCAATGCCATGTGGTTTAAATTTTTTTTTACAATAATGCATATATTAAGTGTTTTCTATACAGGGTGGTCCGAACTGTATTCCGGAAACTTCGGCAGCATATTCTGCAGATAAAAATAAGTAAAAAAGTTTGTATAAATGTCCTAAAATGCGTAATTTCGGAGATACAGGGTGTAGAAGTTACATTTTTATTTCAATTTTTTCCAAATAATTTATGAATTAACGTCAATAGTTGGATGAAAATTGGTGCCTGGGAGTTTTTTGACATGAGAAATTTGATTTTGATGTCATTCTAACTCCTTCTTGTAGAGGGCGCCACCTATATATTTTTTAACCGGTTTGAAGAGTAATAACTTTTCGTCCGTACCTGTATAAAACTGCTGAGTAAAAAATATACATTTACGACATTTTTTTTACGTAAAAAAGGTCTCTTAGTAAAAATCGCTACGAGTATTAATGGTTCTCCAGATATTTGGAATCGAAATTATCAATGCCTATCATCATTGATATATGTATATTAAAAATGTCGACTAAATACTTATTAGATTGAGATCCTAAATTAGAAATGTTTTGTGCCAAAAGTTCAACAAAAACTGTTTTATCATCATTTTTTCGCAGAAAAATTTATGATTAATTTAAAAAAATAAAAATTTCCCAAATTTATTATTTGAGTCAAATAACTATCTCAGTGTGTTTATTTTCTTGTCAATGCACTGTCGACTATTTCCATTTTAAATATCTTGACAACGGTTGCTCGTAGCGATCTTTACCAAAAGACATTTTTTTACGTGAAAAGTAACGGAAATTTATATTTCGTCACTCAGTAGACTTCGTCATACAGGTACGGACGAAAAGTTACTACTCTTCAAAATAGTTAAAGCACATGTAAGTGGCGCCCCCTACAAATAGGAGTCATATTGACATCAAAATCAAATTTCTCATGTCAAAAAACTCCCATAGCCCAATTTTCATCGAAATATTTACGTTACTCCATAAATTATTTAGAAAAAATCGAAATAAAAATGAAACTTCTACACCCTGTATCTCCGAAACAAGCATTTTAGGACATACATTTATACAAACTTTTTTACTAATTTTATCTGCAGAATATGCTACCGAAGTTTCCGTGATACAGTTCGGACTACTCTGTATAGAATTGGGTTACTCACCTTGCCCATGTGCTATTTTTATCCAACAGTTCTTGCGGCCATTGAAACTGGTAAGCGTAGAGGGCACTCATATGAGCAAAAACGATCGGCAATAGACAGCACATCAGAATGGCGAACCCTCTGCGCAGCTGTTTGTAGCACGCCCACCAGGTGGCCACGGATAAGAAAATCAGGAAATAGAGGCCGCCCACGATGGACGGTCGGAGAATGGCGGCCAGACAGAGTGTAATAAGGACGCCATATCGACCTAAATGGAATATAAATTTTGAAAAATGTCTCGCTACCAGGATATTCTATTAATTTTAATTTTTTTAGACATTGTAAATGATCGCAAACTTTTTGGCATAAAGTGTAATTGAAACCACTAATTTCTCCAAAAAATCCTTTATGGGTATTTCGCCACTGCACTGCAAGAAAAATCTACAAAATAAAATAGTTATTTTTTGTAAACACTTCTGCGTTAAACCTAAACAGACGCTGCTTGTCAGAAGTTATGTTTACAGTTATAAAAGTTTGCCTAACAAAGAAAAAAATGCTTAACGTTTCGGAAAGTTTATCTCTTTCCGGCGTCTGAAGCAAAAAAATACAAAGTATAAAGAATAAAACTATTTAAAATATTTAAATTGAACTATTCGAGAAAACTTTACTTTTTAAAACAGATATGTCTACAACATAGACTAATGTCACGTACTAGAGATAGATTGGACACTGATATAAAACAAATAAGTCCTTCATTTGGTGATCCGGAAGAAACTAATGGAGAGTTTTGGCATGACACAATTTTAGCGTTCCGTTATTTATTAACGTTAACTAAAACGGTAACGTTATTAAAGCACGAAATTATTCCTTGTAAAATATAAAAAATCTAGACTTGTTTACTATATCTTATGTTTTATTAAATCATTAGAAGTGTAACATATTCAAAACTAAAAATAAAATTATGAATATATAGGTACATTTTAATCACCAGCACATAGTGCCTATTTTTTTTGATTTAACAAATAAATTATAATATAGTAAAAATATTATAGACTACTAATTTATTGTTACTAAAAATACTATTTTACCAACTATGTACTTACTTATTTATGATTAAACATTTTTTTATTTCGTTCATAAATATATTATACCTAAGATGTTTAAAAAATGTCTTTAATAAAAAAGTTTAGTATCTAACACGAAAATGGTGATTGACCGAAAATATCAAAATGCATAAACTAATAAAAACACAAACTATAAACACAAATCACCGAACTTTCCGGCAAATCAGGAATATCTGAATTAATAATTATTTAAAAATAATTTAAAAATAATTTGACGGATCACCAACATTTTGACAACTAGATCAAAACTAGACCATAGATGATAGTAAATATAGAAGCTGTCATGTCATCTTCGTATATAAATTAGAAACCTGTAATTTCATGTGTTTTGCGCCGTCTGGCGATGCGGAAGAAGCTAAATTTATAGTCCCATAAAATTACTATAGAGTGAAAGATTGAGTGTCTAGGGGCTGGTCTACAAGAAACCGTTGACGTTCTGTTAAAATGACATTATATTAAGTTAAACTTCAAAATTAACAATTACTACCTGATAACAATTACTTATAAGGTAAAACCAAGCCCAAACTTTCTGTATGATTATTTTTAAATTTTACGTATGTTAAAAAAAATATAAAAAAATAATAAAAAATGACAAAAAATAAAAAAAATAATAAAAATATAAAAATCCATAAAGGATTTTTTTGGAGAGATGAATCCGCCACATAGGTATAGAAATTTTTAACCACTAATTTATTCCACTAATTCAAGGTTCTGGATGAGGCTTAAGTGTGATATGACAAAAAGAGATAGGCAAACACCCGGTATATTAAATTTTGGGTAAATTCCCGATGTTTTGCATCCGGTATATACCCAATGGGTAAATACATAGGGTAAATTCGGTAAATAACGTATATATCGAAAAAAAAGCGGCGTCAGCGATGGCCATGAAATGAAGATCGCATGGGGAATGTCATCGACATTCATTTCCAAGCCAACTGGACGCCGTTTTTTTTTCGATCATACGGTTTGGTTTGGGTGGATACGGCTATATCGGGTGCGTCCTAAAAGTGGCTCACCCCTATAACTTTTTTATTTTTTCAGTTAAAAAAACGAGATTTCATATTTTAGTATATGACATAAATTAGGATTGATCGATGTATTCAATTGTTTTTAGTCACTCCCTGTTTTACCGGAAATAACTACAACTTAGACTACAAAAATAGATTTGATCGTCTAATGTTTTTAGTGTCTTGTCCTAGCCGGTTAAAAGATGCTCAAATCGTATTTTTAATCATAGCTCATCTTTTTCAAATGGAACGAGGGTGGCTCATTAGCATATTCGGAAAAAGTATATTTTTTACGAATAATTTGATACGACACACTTGGTATTTCGTGTCAAATTTTCGTTATGAACCGCATGTTATAATTTCAAATTAACCATATGCGAAAATGTCAAAAGTTGACATATGATATGTCATTCTATTCAGAGTGTCATTTTCAATCAAATATAGTAGAAATATACCGAGGGTGCCATTTAAAAATCAAAAGTTGTCATTTCCGGTGAAACAGGAAGTGACCGAAAACAATTGAATACGTCAATCAATCCTAATTTATGTCATATTATACTAACATACCAAATATCGTTTTTCTATCTGAAAAAATAAAAAAGTTATATGGGTGAGCCACTTTTGAGATATCCGGTATATACCCAAGTATATTTATTTTGTTATCTTACCCCAGAAAAGACTGCACAATAGCACAATATCCTTAATTGTATCGAAAATACAGCCCAACGCAGCCAGTTCAATTTAGGTTAGGTGAATAATAGAATTTTACAAGGGGGTTCCCCGACAAAATATACCGGTATATACCCTACATCTTCTGGGTATATACTAGGTACAGTACATACCCAAATTTCTTTACTATACCCATTGGATATTTACCCACCGCCCATCACTAATTACAAATCACAGAACAGTACAAATACTGTTTGAGCATGCTATCTTACCAACTCCGACAACAAACGACAAGTATTTCTTTCTGGTTTTGACCTCTTCGTCTCTTCGTTCGCTCTCCGTTCTCGTATCTTCTTGGGAGGCGTCTGGGTTTGGCGCAGTCAGTTTTTTGAATAGCACGTAAAAAACCACCGAAGTGATTAGCATGATGGGTTCGGGTGAGATCCATGTGAACGCGTTGTTCACCGATATGTTATTCAGTCTTACGAATCCCACGTGGCGTAGGAGTTTTTCTAAAAATTCACAGTCCTGAAAATGGATTAAAGTATTAAAGTAAAATTAAGGTCCCTTTTCATTCATACAACTGTGATATCAAATAAACTTTTAGTTACGTAATCGAGGGCGCGATTTTTAAATTAATTGTTGCCAACCATGGACATATTTGGCGCCGGGCTGACTAACTAAAATTTAAATTTCGCTCTGGGGATTCAGGTAGTAGCTCTGCTATAAAAAATATCAAGTAGCCACATTTATTTATTTATTCCCTGACATTGTCATTCGTTTTGACACTTTAGTTTTATTTTACGAGGTTTTGGTTTAAATAGTGTTGTGACACTGTAAGCTTAAAAATGTTTACAAGCAAACCGTGCAGTCGAACAATGTTCTTTTCAGAACCTCTTTTAGTATGATGTGTACAAGATAGCTTAACAGCCGTAAAAAAAATCATTGCAACTTTATTAGAATATTTTAAAGGGGAAAGCGTTAGTAATGACCCTTTATGTCCCCTAAGTGCTGTTAAGAAGGTGAGTTTTGTTGATGTAAATAATAACAGTTCATATATTTATAATTAATTTATTTTTATTTCCTAAAATATTTGGATTAAAAGAAAATATGCGAAAGTGGGCAACGTTGCGCCGGTCAAGTTTAATCACGCGACTAAAAGTTTATTTGATATGAACTATATATATATGTTACGGTTAAAGTCCGATGTCCGGTTGATATCGACATTAGGTTAATGTTCGGGTTTGGTTATGTTTTTGGTTGTTTTGTTGTGTGTTATTCTCGAGATTAACCGGGTAATGTCGACATTAACCGGACATCGGCCCTTAACCGGAACGTATACACTTCATATACCGGGTGCGTCTCAAAAGTGGCTCACCTTCATAACTTTTTTGAAATTTGGTATGTTAGTATATAGTATTCGTTTTTGGTCACTTCCTGTTTCACCGGAAATGCCTGCAACTTTTGATTTTTAAATGGTACCCTCGGTATATTTCTGACTTTATTTGATAGAAAATGACACTCTGAATAGAATGACATGTCATATGTCAACTTTTGACATTTTCACATATGCTTTATTTGAAATTGTAACATGCGGTTCATAACGACAATTTGACTCGAAATACCAAGTGCGTGGTACCAAATTATTCGTAAAAAAATGCTTTTTCCAAATATGCTAATGAGCCTTTCTTGTCCTATTTAAAAAATTTTAGATATGATTAAAAATACAACTTGGACATCTTTTAACCGGTCAGGACAAGACACGAAAAACATGATCAAAACTATTTTTCCAAGGCTCCTTGATTAAAAATTAGTGTTTTTAACACAGCCGTGGCACTCTAGATTAAAATTTAAAATATGATTTGTTTTTAAGCGAAAACGTCAAAAGTTGACATATGTCATTCTATTCAGAGTGTCATTTTCTATTGAATAAAGTAGAAATATACCGAGGAGCCATTTAAAAATCAAAATTTGTAGTCATTTCCGGTGAAACAGGAAGTGATCAAACACAACTGAATACGTCAATCAATCCTAATTTATGTCATATACTAACATACCAAATTTCGTTTTTTTTATTTGAACAAATAAAAAAGTTATAGGGGTGATCCACTTTCGAGACGTACCCGGTATATAGTGGTACATATTACACTTCACATTCTAAAAAATAGATAGTTACCTTTAAAAAATTGGCATATGGTGGCATAGCGAATAATGCTATTTGAAATCCTAGTTGTCCTAATGTTGTTAGTGTGGAGATGGCAATGAATATTTTCAAAAATATGCCGGAATGGCCCGGCATGGTGCCCTCCGTAGGCACCGGCACGAACGGTGTGTAGCATAGCAGCAAAAAGTATAACGCTGAGAGCACTGATGGTCGAAATACTATACCTAGAAAGAAATAGAAAAAAATGACGTTAGAATACTCTTATAGTGATCGAAAAAAAAGACGTCAAGTTATTTGAGACATAAGTTGACAGCGAGAAACAACTTCAAACCTTACTTTCAAACCAAGCTTTCAAACCAACTGTGACGCTGTTTTTTCGATCGATGTTACAAAAACTAGGAAATATCCACTAGGATAGAGTGACATAATCGGAGATATTGAAACACACTTAATATCTTTGTACATATTTTAATTTACTTATTTCTAATTAAAATAATCTATATACACGGTGTCCCAAAGTTCCATGGGCATAAAACTACTACGTATTTTTGGAATCAAAATAAGTTCATTGGACGCAATTTACCTCTATACAAAAGTGCTTGGTTTGTCAGCTAGAGGGCATCAAAGTTTAAAAAAATAAACACTTTTTTTAAGATATTTGAAGAACTGTTAGTCCAAATTGAATGAGATTTGGAGTGCCTATGTTTTTCTAAGTGCTTTAACATTTGACTTTCACCAAAATCAAGAAAAAATACGGGAAGAGGAAAACTACCCCAACTATCTAAATTTTTTGCTTTGACTTCTTTTCTTTGACTTCTAATCTTTGACAAGCAATAAATAAAAGCAAAAATGCAATACGTAATTAATTAATTTTAAGTGAATTTCATAAATGATCGGTTTACTACACGTATGTATATTATACATAGTCACTTACTAGCGAAAAGTTATTCCATTATTAGCCTTTTTGGATAAATCGCAATAGTGTCACTGTTAATTTAAGTTCTGCCACAAGAAAATCCTTCTATAGATTTACTACCTCTAAACAACTACCAGTTGTAGAATAAATAATAAATATCATAAATTAAGCTCATTAAAGACTGATAAACTGATAAATCCACAAAATTTCAAATCAAATTCAAATGTGTCAAATGAATCGTCAAACAGAACTGTCAAGGATCCTCACCTTAGAGCCAGTTGCAAATTAAATTCCATGCAAATTAAATTAAAACTTAACCCAAAAAGTTATACAAGGTGAGACAAAATTAATATTGAATTTTGTTCAATTTTAGAAGCAAGTTACTCTTTTATTTTAAACGGAACATCTGTACTAATACCGCATGATCGAATAAAAACGGCGTCAGCGATGGCTATGAATTGAATATCGCTGTCATTTTATATGTAAAATTATATTGGAAATGTCATCGATCGTCATTTCCAAGCCAATTGGACGCCATTTTTTTTCGATCATACTGTATATAAAATATGTATAAAATCCTTAAGTGACTGACTCACTGATTAATCACGATCCTGCTCAATCCACTCAACGTAAGAAGCTCAATTTTGGCATACAGGTTGATTCTAGGGCGTAGAGGTTCGATAAGAAGGGATTTTTCGAAATTCCAGTTCCAAGGGGGTGAAACCACCCCTCAAATATTACAATATTTTTTATTTAAAAAACGGTCAAGTTTCAAAAAACGCTTAAACACGTATATTTTATTTTGTTTTTTACATATTTTAAGATTTTTTAAAAATGTATACAGGGTGTTTCGAAAAATCTGGTCATTGATTAATCACGATCCTGCTTAAAGCGCTTGATTTAAAAAAATGATTTTTGGAAAACTGATTGACTTTAGGGTGTAGAGGTTCGATAAGAAGGGATTTTTCGAAACTCGAATTCTAAGGGGGTGAAACCACCCCTCAAATATTAGAATATTTTTTATTTAAAAACCGGTGAGTTTTTCGGAAAAAAAACTCTTAAACACGTATATTTTATTTTGTTGTTTTACATATTTTAATATTTTTAAAAATTTATACAGGGTGTTTCATAAAATATGACCACTAAGCAATCACGATTCTGCTTAAACTGCTTGACGTTTTGATTTTTGGCAAACGGATTGACTGTGGGGTGTAGAGGTTCGATAAGGAGGGATTTCTCGAATCTAAAATTCCAAATGGGTGAAAAACTTCTCAAATTTTACAATATTTGTTAATTAAAAAACGATGAGAAAATATTATCCAGTTTGTATGTTAATGGAAATTCTTGCTTTGCTGTATCATCACCATTACAAATGATTAATTCGACGCAAACAAAGTCGCGGGTACACGCTATTCAGTATCTTATTCTGATACTTCAATGGAGAATTTATGCCTTTTCAAAATACTGTTGCGGACCCGTGTGGACTCGACCTAACCTAACTATATGTCCCGCCCTCAAATGACCTTAACATCGCATTAAAGAATAGACACCGTAATGATTCATTCGTTCGAGAAGAATCGAGTCCCACTGAAATGGAGTAGTACATACGAGAACATTCGAAACCTTCTCTATGCACCTAACGATCTATGGACTATTCTAGAAATCTTTAGCTGTAGGTATAAAAGCCGGCGGCTGTAGCCTAGGGAGAGCAGTTATAAATAGACGAGTGCAGTTGACGCGCTAAAATTCAAAATAAATTCTTAGTTATAAATCGTTTGTAAATAGTTCTATAAGTCTTTTATCGTTATTGTTTTTGTTAATTAGTGTTAAATAAATAGTGTTTAAATAAATTGTGACTTTCTATCCACACGGAACCGATGAAAAACGTAACAATACTGTGAAGGTTGTCTACCTCAATCAATCCACTGTCATGGATTTTCTCGTTAGACAGACTTAACTCCGTAAAATAATTACCCAGATACGAAAGGCGAAAAAGAAGTAAAAAATACCACCAGTTTGTTTTAGAGGTGCGGCATTTCTTCCCCGGAGTTGTTTGTCGAGTAAATGGCCAGCGAAATGGAATGACGAAAGTATCGGTATCGCATCGCAACATTAATTCAACTTAGATCAGAAAACAGTTAGGGGAACAATAATGCAAAATAGGTTTCCGTCGTAATATTTCGCCCTTTTCGATATTCAACTATTCCATTTTTACATTAGTAGAATTAGTTTTTTTCATTAGGGTATAAGTATAATAGACAGAAATCCATTGTTCTTTCTTGGTATTTTGAATCTATAGTGTAGTTCTAAAAGCCTGATAGCACAAGGCCCTCATTACAAATGTGAAAAGCGTTTTCTTGTGTACAGTTTGACATGCCAAAAGATGGGATCACTTTCAGTCTTCCAATGAAATTCAGCCAGCTTTAACACGTTTGCAGATGAACACATCTGGTACGTTAACAATAGAGCAATAAAAACCATAGAGAATAAAGATATCCATGGTTATAAGAGCTACTTGAGAAGGTACTGACCGCACCAGTTTGGGGTATTAGGGTTTTAAGATTTATTTTAAATTTTGTTAAAATACAGGGTGGTCCGAACTGTATTCCGGAAACTCGGCAGCATATTCTGCAGATAAAAATAAGTACAAAAGTTTATATAAATGTATGAATGACATAAAATGCTTAGTTTTGAAAATACAGGGTGTAGAAGTTTCATTTTTATGTCGATTTTTTCCAAATAATTTCTGAAGTAACGTCAATATTTAGATAAAAATTGGTGTCTGGGAGTTTATTATATGAGAAATTTGATTTTGATGTCAATATGACTCCTATTTGTAGGGGGCGCCACCTACATGTGTTTTAACTGTTTTTAAGAGTAATAACTTTTCATCCGTACCTGTATAAAACTACTGGGTGAAAAAATATACACTTCCGTGATTTTTTACGTAAAAAATACCTCTTGGTAAAAATGGCTACGAGCAACTGTTCTCGAGATATTTAGAATGGAAATAGTCACATACATACATACATAACATACATTTATACGAACTTTTTTACTTATTTTTATCTGCAAAATATGTTGCCGAAGTTTCCGGAATACAGTTCGGACCACCCTGTATAAGAAATGGGTATATTATATATATTATTTCACGTTTCACGGGTTAGAACAAATCTTTTTGTCCAAAGCATTATTTGAATATAATCATTTATTTTATTGTCCCATTATGTCTCTGTTTCGATCTCGGTGTTCAAATGCAAAAATCTTAATTAGTTTTCGGGCAGGTCTAGGTCATTTGCCGCCGACCACACCCATTTTCACCCTAAAAACAACGTTTGATGCGCCTATACTAGCCGTATATTCCCTTACTCCTTCTGCCTGCAAAACTCTCCCTTTTTTCGTACGGTCGGAGATCCCCAGGGAATTCGCGGTAAAATGCCACTCCATGATTAAAAAAAAGTCGGTCACACGACGAAACAGAACGTGAAAAAGGTTAGCATCGGAGGAAAGCGAGACTGGTTTATGATTATTTGTTATTATTAACGTAAATTAGGTTTATTTGGAAGAAAATTGATATTTTGAACTTCCCTTGTCTTTATTTTCTTTATTTATAAAACTACGGTACAGAGAAGTACCTACTTCGGTCGTAGTTTGTCTACACATAACGCTATTGGCACTGTCAGTCTTACCCTTAATCTAAGGTCTTACTCATGATACACTAACGTCTTACCCGTTCAGTATTTATGGGCACCAGTCAGAAATCTACGCTATCGAAAAATGCATACAACCATACAACTTATCTTAGATTTGTTACAAAACCGTATATTATATATCACTGTAATCACAAAACTTCAATCTATTTCCGTATTGTAACGGAATTTTAAATTATGCCTTTGTTTGCGAAAAGATTTAGTCTAAACATAAGGAATATTGTGTTGATGTTTGACCATCAAAATCTTAAAAATAAAGAAGTTTTCTAAGAATATGCTACAATACGGATAATAGTATAATCCTTTATCTTTAATTTCCTTCTTCATTTGTGTAAAAATACCTAGCCAGTTTTACATAAAACGTTAAATGCCGAACCCTTATGTAAAACTTGGAAAATAAGTTTGTTATAATAATGCTTTTATTTATTCACTATTTTAAAAAAGGATATGCATGCCTTTGGAAACTCTCTATTTAGTTATCTAGTAATGCTAAAACACTCTATTTGAAAGTCGATTAGAGAAAATAGTATGATTCATTGGCAAGCGATGTAAATATTTGTGATCAGGTAAAATTGTGATGTAAGAGGAGGCTTAGCTT